GGCTTGCCGAGGTGCTGCTTTCTCGAGGCTTGACACGCAAAGAGAAGTCGCGATCCAGACAATTTGCAGTATGGAAGAAAAAGGAAAGTAAGGAGCTGCAGAAAAAGGAAGGAACGATCAGACACGGAACTTGAGGAATGTGGAAATTTGTGACGGCGTGGGGAGAGGCAGCTTGCTGGAACGCAACTAGACAACGGCAGCTACGACCCTGGAAAGATTAATCGACTGCTTTTCGGTGTGACAGGTTTTCATGGATTTGCAAGGCAGACATATTGGAATTGGAAAGAACCCGAAATCAAAACGGTCCAGTACCCACTTTTTATCGGAAAGGAGACAGCGATATTTATGTTGCTCACCGTATTCTCGTAAGATGTGCTGTTCGCTTTGTTGGGGTTTCCCCAAAGCCTCGAACGTCGCAATGTCAAATAAACAAGCCAGGTGCGCCCCGAATACATCGTAGAGCGGTTTGTTGACATTGGCGCCAGGAGAGACAGCCAGACCAGCTGAGGACTAGCGGCAGGGAAGGAGCGAGGGGCGTCCCGTTTTCCAAGATGTCTGCTGTCTGCTGGTAGCACTAAGTGCGAAAAGGGGCTAGTGCATCCACAAAGGAAAGCGACGAAAAAGCCAACTTTTGTCACAGTCGCAGTTTCCACGGTTGCCCCTTGTAACGGGTGGAGATAAAGGCAAGCTCTTGCACAGACGGGAGATTGATAGGCCACGAAGCACAGCAAGAACTTGTTGCAGAGGTGGCCGTTTGTTTCGGTCGCTCGACTTGTCTTCAATATAGTCGCTCTGTTTCGCTGACCTTCTGTCTGACCTTCTGTCTGACCTTCTGTCACGATGTTTTTCGAGCTCTTTCCTCATGAGCTCCTCTTTCTTTTTGGCGTCCCAGCCTCCCTAATTAGGAAAGAAAGCAGTTGCTCTGCTTCCCGTACTGTTTGATTCACACACCATATTACAGCTCGATCGGAATAGATTACTTCTGCTCTTACAGCACGGGCTATTCATTTACTGGGTCCCTTGGTTGAAAGGAGACACCCATTGCAACCGTCCGGCTTTCGTAATGTGTTGTTCTCGGGACGTGTCCGATTGCTCCTCGTGTTTCTCGTCCACCCGTTTACACACCTTTCCGCCGTACATCCGTTTCATTTACACCTATTTTGGGTCGTCAATTTCCCGGAAAGCTGTCCCATCTCGTCTCTTCCCCCTTGGATAAACGACAGAAGGAAGCACGCGGACGCCTCTCCCGCCTCGGCTTGGTGGTTGGTCGCTTCTCATTCCCGTGCCATGTGCGCCAGATGAATCTCAAATGCAGTCCTCAAAATAAACCCAGCCACCTCAATTCTCAATGCACGAGCCTAATGGACCACAGTCCGCGGAAACGGTATCTTGTTTCTCCCTGAAGAGAGATAAAAAAGAGAAAGTGAGTGGTCGTGGTATGCCGTGGCACCACACAAGATGCTCGTACAAAGTACGTAAGACGTAACCACTTTGCTTTTGGATTATTGAATAAGTCGTACTTTCGTACTTGGTGTTTTTGTGTGCTTTTGTGCTTTTGTGCCTTAGGTCTCTTTTTGTCCTGATTTGCCTTTCTCTTTTTTCTTATCGCTAGACTGAGGTCACGGCAGGTACTTTTTCTATGCTTACTTACTTGCTTGTAATTACTACGGGGCAGTGTGAAGCCATTTATGTTTTTTTAAATGAATGTAAAAACCCCAATGCACACAAACAACATTAGCACACCAGACGTCGTAAGTGTACGAGGTTCGTGTTTGTTCGTTTTGAACATAGCTCCTCTACAGCCCATTCCAGAGCACTTCTGATCCCTTCCCGCATTTCCCGCATTCCTCGGCAGAAACGGATGACAGACTTGGCGGTCACTTTAAGGTTACCATATCTCTGTTTTTACACGTGTATGTGGAGAATAGGCGACGGGCTGTGAGGAATGCAAGTAGGAGGCTACTGAGAACGATGCATTTTGATATATTCGAAGACGGGAAAACGTGGCTGCATCCTTTGAATTGAGCCAACCAACCTATCAATCAACCAAAAACAAGATCTTCCTTGTTCACTTAAAAAGGAACACGAGGTCTAAATTACTAAGATGGGGAACGCCATCTAACCCGAGCGATGTACGCAATTCGCGTACCTGTGCGTGTGAACTGTCCGCCTTTAAGGTTTCCCGCTTGTCCTCCAGTTCGACGTCGGAAACGAAGTTCGAAGCGCCATTTGCCAAACTCTTCGCATCCTTCTTTTTCGCAATCCGAAGTTCTCGTTCTCGAGAGCCTGACCGTGAGTCCGCAGAGACACTTTGTCTTTTGAGCCTCAACAGCCTGATAGTCGTCAATATCCGTATCGAAAGCAGACGACATTGCGTGCTGGGGTGCGATGGGATCCCCGGCATCGATGATTTTACGCATCCGGTGATAGTGCACCAATTGCAAAGTCAAGCCAGCTATCAGAATAGAGAGCAGGCAGCCTACACGTGTGCGGGTGGTTCGGGTATCAATATGTAGGATCTTGCTGCCATATCTGACAACTTGCTTACAACTCGCCGTGTCGCCGAGCTGGATCTGACCTTGGAATGGGTCGAGGCTCAAGTCTCATTTTTGGTACCGGTGTACATCTCGACGCAGTGAGAGGGTGACCTCGTGGCAGCTGCTTGGGGGTGCTTCCCGGCCTTACGTTCGACTAAGCGGGTACTAATATTATCGTTGTTGCACTTGACGTCAACTAAGATCTCGTACGTACTGTTGTAATGCGGACGTCAATTTTCAAAATAAATAAGCTGTTGGCGAAGGAAGAAAGATTAAGACGAAAGAGAAGGGACACTAGCATTTTTTACTTCTGATGTTGATCTACATCTCAATCAGTGCACATGTAAACTTTGTAGACGTCGTCAAGCAATAATAGCTAGCAAGGTTGTATGGTAGATCATTCACAATGTACACTTTTCAAATCCGTTTACTGAGGTAAAGGTCCACAGCCCTAAACTTCTGAGCCGAACAACTTGACGTCAAACTGTATACTGCCACTGTGATCAGGTAGAGAAAAGCTCAATGGTATATCTTGGTGTCGAGTAATGATATATGAAAGCTCCTGGACTTCGTTCCAATTCTTTTAAACTTGGGCGGGGGCGAAACAAAACAAATAGGTCCTACTGGACGAGTAGGGTCCATGCTGCAGCGGAATGTTAAGCTCTTTGGAGAAGCCCCACCCCCGCGTTTTTGCATAAGCAGTAAATTTTTCGAAAACGTGGAATAAGGTTGCAAATTGTGTCTTGTATTGAATATGCCATTTCATATAAAAGTTCGAGGCCGTGCTGTTTACTGATATAGTAGACTTATCATCAAGGTCTACCTGCTTACCTTTGTCAATGCTACTTACGATCGTCCGATTTGGAAGCAGGTTGCCCACCTCGAGTACTTGCATGGATGGATTCGATATACGCAAAACATGACGGTCCGAACAGGCAACGGTCGCTTTTCTAAGCCATCACAACAGCACAGTTGTACACGAAGACATCGGATGGCAATGGGACTCTCCACTGCAAAGGTTATATTTAAGAGACACTTCATTGACGTCCTTTATCGATTCCATGTCAATTGAACCCAAAAGAGTTCATATTCACTTACAACACCGTTACAGCACTAGGCCGAGAAGGGTCAGGATATGCTGCCTGCCCATGCCCAGTGGGGCATGACGGCTGCGTCACTGCTAGTAGCGGGACCCACGCAACTCACGCCTACGATATCACGCGATAGAGATAGAGGGGCTTTGGGAGCGTGAACGGTGTTATGAACGGTGTGAACGATGTTCACGGCGACCTGATTGCGCAAGGCGGTGAACAACGGTGTGAAAAGTATCATGCGATGCGTTGTAGTCGGAGTTGGAGATGCTCGTCAAGTGAGTCGGGCAACAGACCGCATAGCTACATATTCTTGTAAACGTGATCTGGTCGGGCCTCGTCACAGCACAGCGAAAGCCCACCTCGAGCATTGTCTTGTACCGAGCCCCTTCATGCACTCCCGCGATCGGCTTGATAACGAAAGAGCCGGGTTCTTCACCAGTTTCGTTCCTCCTTTGCTCGCATCCTCGCTTGCCCGTCGCCTCTCTTGTCTCTTCCAACAACCCCGTCGCCAACCAGAAAGCTCAGTGTGTCGTCACTTATTACGCAGTTACGTGACCGGACTGAAACGGATCCGGGTGGTCTGCTCATCCCAAGCAGTGTTCTGACAGAGATCCAAGGCTCGACGGGGTAGGTCCCGGTTCTCCTACTGCGTAATATTCGTTACGTTTTGGCTTTTGGCCAAGGTGTGCCACTGCCAACAGTACTTTATTCGAGCACATATCACTCCAAAGCCGCAACTACCCCGCCCCATCCCCTCCCTTCCTCACGCACGGAGTACCTTCCCTCCTGATGGCGCACGTCTGGTGACTTCCTTCGCTTCAGTTTCTGATAAGGCACCTCGACCGCACTTGCCTCGATAAGCGCTGCCTGCCTAGCAGAATGTAGGCTGCCCCACACTGTGCTTCCGTCCACTTGTTATGCTCTCCCGAACATTTACTGTCTCCGCCCGCCATTGCCTCTACCCTATCGCTCTTTCCCTCTGTCCCAGCTCCTTCCTTGCTCTAATTCTTTCTTCAGTCTCTGCATCTTCTCTTTCGTCGCCAACAGTTGACGATTTTACATCTTCGCTTCCTCTTGTCATTTTGGTTGATCGGGCAATAACTACAGTTCGTCATCTGCACGACGCACCTCATCCCGCGCATCCCGGTGTCATCTGCACGATTCGCCCTTATCGGCCATATCCACCAAGCCCGCGCATAGCCTCGCCAGAGACATATCGTTATTTTTTTTGTACAGACTTTCGCATTACCTTCGATTGTGGCTTTAACATCTGCAACTGAACATACATCGAACGCTTCTCGAACGACAATCTGAACGTCAATCTTCGATACTGCCAACATATCTGCAGCTGAGCCGTCCATACATCGCCATGGCCATGTCTCCGGAGCTCGACAACGGAGCTGTCGGGTACGAGAGCAGTATGTTTTCCACTCTTTTATTTTGGTAGTGTATCGTCTGTGTCTTTGCTTGCCGCGTCTAACATGGAGTAGTCCTCGTCAGTCTCAAGTCCAGCAACAAATCATTCCACGGTAACTTCATCAACCGCGAGATCCGCCTAACGACCGACAAACCGATGTTCAAGATCGGCCGGGCGTCCAAGACAGTCAGCAAGGGACTTCTTCCTGCCTCCGACAACGCCTTTTTTGATAGCCCCGTTGTCTCTCGGACGCACGCCGAAATCACGGGCAACTTTAATGACGGTGTATGTGGGCGTTCCGTATCTCACGATCCCTTATCCGTGCGGTCTCATTAACATTTTTTTCCCACTCCTTTAGTCGGTCACGGTAACAGATTTGGGCTCACTCCATGGGACATTCGTGAATGGAAAGCCCACCAAGGAGACTGCTTTGGTCTTAAAGCAAGACGACATTGTCAGCTTTGGAATCCACGTATCTCGTGGCTTGGACGTCTTCTACCCGACTTCGTGCAAAGTCACTTACGTCAGCACACTGAACAAGTGCGATATCCCATGCCGTATATAACTCGCTTTCGTAATACTTGCTAACATACCACCCTAGGCCTGCCGAGAGGGCTCGCTCTTACTGTGCGCCTGACTCCGACTGTGCTTCCGACTGCAGCGCCAGTGACTTCGAATGTGACTCTGCTAGTATTTGCAGTCACACTGGGCCGAAAGCCATTCCTACAGATAGTGCCAAGTCTAAGACTGCGATCTACGAGATCGAGGACAGTGAGACATCTTCCAACGACGACGCTATTAGCGTGGAGGAAATCACGATGTGCTCAGAGACGAATGTTCTGCCGCCTCTGGATAAATTCGTGAGCGAGGGTCGTGGCGAAACGGATGATGTTTATGCAGACGACGACGAGGTGGTTGACGAGGACTACGGCGAAGTGAACGAAGACTATGAGGTCGATGACGTCGCCAATAGTTCAGAAGATGAAGAAGCGGAGGAGGAGGAGGAAGAAGGCGATATAGAAGACGACGAATATGAGGGGGAAGAATACGAGGAAGAGGACGACAATAAAGATGTTAAGCTGCCAGAAGACATGGAGGGCAGCTACCTCAGCGAGCAACTCGAAGGCTACGCCAAGGGCACCAAAAAGGACAGTCCCCCATCGCTCGTTTTCGGCAAAGAGCCCACCCCGAATAACAACGACTCAATGCCAGTCCTCGGCCTATGGACACCGCCACCCATGTCCGCTGAGGATGTGGCCACCCTGTCCCGCATTGTTGAGGATGAACTCATACACGAACAGGAACCGATTGAAGAGGACGTTACCAATGACGAAAATGCTGATGTCGATCCTGTCGACGACGGCAAGTCGCTTCTCCTCGATGACACGCTCCCACGCTCGGTGTCTGCCAAATTCGATATCTCGTCGCTTCTCAACCCATCGCCACCGACTTCGTCTCCCGCAAAGATCCCGACCGACGGCATTCCCGCCACCCAGGCACCTGGCGTTTTACCCGCTGTCTACCGAAACATGCCCGCCAGTTACGAAACGGCTGAACCCAGCGAGGCATCCCGTGCCGAAATCACCGACGAAGCCCGTATGAAGGTTAACATGGTCATTGACTCCCTTCAACAGGCGTCGCCGTCTCCGGCTCTACACCCGACTGTTTCCGACCTCCCGCCGCTCGTGGCTCCTAGCGGTGAGGAAGATAGTGAAGACGTGGATTTGACCAACGCGACGACATTCTCGTTGTACAAGAAGCGGAAAGCAAACAGCAAGAAGCGTAAAGCCGACGAGATGCTTGCTTGCACATCAGGCATTTCGGCAGCTACTATTTCTGTGGCACCCCCTTCCGCAACCGAGGCCCCATCCGCAAAACGGCTTGCAACACCCGCCGCCGTGGCCGCCAAGAAGAAGAGCAAGGGGCGGGCATGGGCAGTGGCTGAGAAGATTGGCATTGCCGCGCTCGGGGGTGCCGTTGTGCTTGGCTCGCTTATCTACACGGCCCCTTCCTTCTGATGCCCATCTGTCGTTTTGCCAAAGCAATATTGTCAATATTCGGCAATTATTTCTCTTTTGTCTCATTTCCGTCTTATTAATTGTCGTTTTTTTTCCGGGTCGGTCATGACTTTTTTTTCTGTCTCCCGGTTATCAAGGATTCCCTGGCGTTTTTTGACACTTCAACCATAACGCCAAATTGCAACGACCGGAGTTTTGTAACGTTATGTTCTTGACATTTCCCTTCTAATGTTATTGTTTTTTCTTTTTTCTATTTCTTTTTCCTTTTCTTTTTCTTTTTCTTTTTCTTTTTCTTTTTCTTTCTTTTCCTACTCTTTCTCTTTCTCTCCAAATTTTACAAGTTTGCCAGGGGTGAGCTATTTTCCTGTATGTTACATATTATAACCTTTCGGCAGACACGGCATGGGACAGGAATGGAACACCAGCACACATACATCGTTCACAGCAAATTCAACAATGCAAACCGAAAGTCTATATAATACAGTATATGCTTGGTTTTGTCTCCATACGCGTTTCTAGTTGCTTCCTGCTGTTTCTTGCTCTGGCTTTATTTACTCTCCTTGCATCCATTCATGCCAAATTCGATATTTGTATTCAGCTTTGTGTTTCCACTTTGCTCAGTTCTCGTCACCTGTGTTTGCAAGATTTCGTCTCATGCTAATTGACTGATATTGTGCATCGATCCAGAAATCGTAGGAAGAAATGGACAACTACCGATGACCGCTCTTTTATAAGACAAAGAGCTGCATTCCGGTTCCTTGTCTCGTCACCAGCACTGTTATTATCCGCATCTGCACGTCGGTTGCTCGTTTTTTTGCGACCTCGTCAGAACAAAGCGGTCAGTGAAAGGTGGATCTATCGGATGTGGCCGCGTGATGTAAAGAATGAAACGTGTTGCCCGGCGTCGGGTGAGACTTGGAGTTGCACAAAGTGTGTGAACCCGATATGCGACGCCTCGTGTTTTGTCATTCAGTTTTCTTCATCCTTGTTTTTCTTTTTTCCTTCATGCTTCCACCTCCCCTCATTTTGGCTCCTCATTCTTCTGTTGTCCTTTCGTCCATCGCGTCAGTTTTTATCGTATCAACATCACTTCGTATCAGGCCAGCTGTGCGGCAGCGCCTCAGAAATCTAGCCATTACGTCCACCATCTGTGCCCATGTCGTACGACTGGACCCAAAGCAAGTGGCTGCTGCCGTGGCGAGGAATCTCGAGTCAATCAAAATGGAAAATGTCGTCTACTCCACACCTGCCCTCTTTGCGTATATGCACACCTGTAAGCAGGTAAGAATCCTTTTGTTCTCTGTCGTACAAAACAGGCAAAGAGTGAAGTCTGTACGTCGTACTCGGTGACAGGCTTGCGGACATGCAGTATTGCGCTGTTTTGTTCTGCCCCCCTCTCCCTTCCCAAGATGCAGCCTCGCTCATATCGGGAGCTCGCCATCTTTGTAAAGAACGCTGATCCATGTCCATGCATGCAGGCTGCCTAATGATGCCTCCAGAGTCTGCAACGAGGAGATATTACGCCAAGTAGGAAGGGGTTGGAGGTGATGAAAGTGTCGCAATTTTCTCAGATTCCGTCGTGCAACTTGCTGGTCTACGTTTTGTGTTTTCCTCCCCCTCGATCTAGAATAGGTAGCCTAAAACCACGACCCGTACGATACGATTGTCCTCGGCACTGCATGACTGTTTGATTTATAGCCAGAGAAGAAATAATGCGGCCCGGTGCAGAAACTATCAAGAAGGGCCATAACGAAGGTTATAAGAACTGTACAGAATTGTTTAGCGTCCATGCAGCTATGCTCCCATCCAACATAGTTCGGAGTCTACGCATTCCCTGTAGGACAAAAGTGGCCTGAAGAGACTTTTGTACGGGGAATGGGAGAAGGCGTAGTAAAGGATAGGGAGGCGTCTTTGATACTTGGCAGAAGACCAACGCCGTATGTTGTGTGATGCTTTATAGGTGACCAATCCGGTTCCGAATCACCAGCCATCGTTCGTATCGAATTCCGCCACGGGCTACTAATTCCATATCTTACTGACTAACGTAGGAGCTCTACCCTGGCCCTGTTCAGTCGTTTTTGCACTGTCGTATGAGAAAGGTAGTGTGCGCGACGTTGTTTGAAGGACCATTTTGAGGGCTGCTCTGCGATTCCGACCACAGACAGGACGGTAGTTTCTGTATATGTCTATCTTAGGCCAATATCCTTTACTATTAGTGGTTCTAAAAATCACCATTCGTAGAAACGTCCGAAATCGTACTACAGTTACCAGCTTCGTGTTCTGAGTTTGAGGAACTCCACCAACTACTCTCTGCTTTTTAAGAAAACGCAAACGACCATTACCTACTTAATCGGGCTGTCCAGACATTACCAAAACATTTCCGCCTAACAACCAGGCCGTATCCTACATGTTCGTCATATAACTGCCAGATTCAACCTCCTGACGACTGAATCGAAGTAATATACTTCGGTCTCAGGCATCGCATTCAACCGTCGACCCTCCCGGCTCTTTGCAGATTCTATCATGGCCAGGCCTTACTACACGGACGAGTTTGTCTACGGATGGCCGCAAAAAAATTGTGGTTGTTCGCAGATCATTGAGTCGTGCTCCTACTGCTGCGGCAGCTTCACTGCGTAGGTGGATAGTTCTTATTTTGTGGAATACATCATACGTCGACGAGACGGCTAACACATCCAGCTGCTCCTCCTGCACATACTGCTATGGTCTGGCCTACATCGAAGTCCCTTGTCCTCACAGCCGCGCACCACGCCGTGAAGCCACAACGGAGTCGGCATCCTCGTCCTCGCCACCCACATCGTCGTCGCCACGGGCCTCGGTCATGACTCGCTACCACAACCAGGACGTGGCCCAGCTGTCGGTTCGCGGCGTGTCGTTTGATGCGAGCTTTGTGGATAGCGTGGCAATCCGGCACGGCGACAATGGCAGCCACAGCGGTGGAAGCAGCGGCAGCCATGGAGGCAGAAACCCTAGCCGCCGCGACCCAGACCACGGATTGCCACCTTCGCCGTCGTCTTCCACTGCTTCTTCTGCCTCGTCGTCGTCGTCGTCACCGTCGTCGCCATTATCGCCGAAACGAAGACCTCGCTTTGGCCGGAACAAGAAGGGGTCGAGTGGCGAAGGTCGAGACAGTGGTTCAAAGAGCAGTCGTTGAGAATGTAGAGGGATGAATTTGATGAAGCCAAGGATGCGATGGAATGAACTGGATGTGGAGTGGTAAATGTTGGGTCTCAATATAATGCGCAATATGCGTGGTTATGAACTTTATGATATATCAATTTACGTTGCTACAGTTCCATTCCCGAGGATCTGGCTCGATCTGGCTCGATCTGGGACCAACATGCCGAAGTCTTGACCCCAATCGACGTTCGATCTGAGCTTCATCCGTGTTGATCTGCGCTCCAGCGTGCCGATGTATGTGATTTGTGACAGAATTAAAGACAGCGCTTTCTTTCCACCCCTACAACGACGGATATTGTAACGGAAACCCACAATGGGGCGACGGATCCAACCGCATGTTGTTGTACAGGAGACACAAAAAATACCCGTCCGCAGTGGCGCTGGCGGGTGGCCACATGCGTGTTGTTTCGTGTTGCGGACACAGCCTTCGCCAATATAGCCCATCACACATTTATTGACCGACACAAAATAATTTGCGAAGAAACGAAGCAGGGCGGAGCACGCTCGGTGTGCAATTTATTTCATTTTCGTTGCAGACGAGGCGCAGGGATGCATAAGAAACGAGGATTCCTTTGGATGGCGACTACAGCATGGCAAAGAACAACTGTAGTGAGATTCTGCAAGGTGGAGATAAAGGAATGATACGATAGAACACAAAACATTAGTAGAACGGATCAAAAAGGAATAAATTAAGCAAGTCGATATAAGCCATCATTGTCGTCGAATTGCGCCAGTGATTTTGTGTAAGTGGTCACGTGCACACAAATCATGACTAAGCCGTTCGCAAGATGGCCCCACTCTTGTCCATTGCCATCTCCGCTAGGTAAAGGGTCCCAGCCTCGGGGGCACTGGAGCTGCTCTCACCTCGACGGATCGACAATCCGCTGCCGACGACCACGCTCGACGCCGACCGCCACCATGTCTGTCATTCTGTGCACAGGTACGTTGTAGATGTCTCCCTGTCGCCGTGTTGTTCGACATCGCGCCTCTATTTGCTGACTCGCTCCTCGTCCGTTACTTCCACCTCTCCAGCCGGCTATGACCACACCATCCGCTTCTGGGAGGCCCTCTCGGGCATCTGCTCCCGCACGATCCAGCACCCGGACTCGCAGGTGAACCGCCTCTGCATCTCCCCCGACAAGCGCCTCCTCGCCGTCGCCGGCCACCACGCCGTCAAGGTGTTTGACATCAAGTCCACGAACCCCAACCCGCTGCTCGTCTTCGAGGGCCACACGGGCAACGTCACCGGCGTTGCCTTCCACTGCGAGAGCAAGTGGATGGTCACGAGCTCCGAGGACGGCACCGTCAAGATCTGGGACACGCGCACCGCCGCGATCCAGCGCAGCTACAGCCACGGCGCACCCGTCAACGACGTCGTCATCCACCCCAACCAGGGCGAGATTATCTCGTGCGACCGCAGCGGCAGCGTCCGCGTGTGGGATCTGTCGGAGAACAACTGCACGCACGAGCTGATCCCGGACGGCGACGTGCCCATGTCCTGCATCACGATGGGGATGGAGGGCTATCTGCTATGTGCCGCCAACAACACGGGCAATGTCTTTATGTGGCAGCTGCTGCCCACCTACGAGCGCACCAAGCCCGTGCCCATCACGCAGTTCCGCGCCCACAGCGACTACATCACCCGTATCCTGCTGTCGCCCGACGGCAAGCGCCTCGCCACCTGTAGCGCCGACCACACGGCCAAGATCTGGGAGGTCGACACGCGGCCGCCCGGCCCCGACGAAGAGCCCAAGCCGCTCGTGCTCAACGCCACGCTCAACCAGCACCAGCGCTGGGTGTGGGACTGCGCGTTCAGTGCCGACTCGGCCTACCTGGTGACCGCCTCGTCCGACCACTACGCCCGTCTCTGGGAGCTGCACAGCCAGCAGGTCATCCGCCAGTACAACGGCCACCACCGTGGCGCTGTCTGCGTCGCCCTCAACGACTACTCGGACACCCGGTGAAAGATTGGAGGGATTTTGTTTCGTTTTTTTTTTTTTTTTTTTTTTTTTTTTTTTTTTTGACGACGGAAAGACGACAAGCACCTACGCTTAGTGCACTTCCCACGTCCCTTCTCCCATTATTTACAGTATTTTGATACCCACGGCCGCGATGGTGTCCTGCGAAGGCAACGTGCCCATGCCTCGAAGAAGAAGAGCCGCGTCGAGGTGGAGGTAGGCCGGTGTTTGGAGAAACGGATTGGTTGGCTTGGGACACAGCTTTGGGCACACGGAACGGACCGTGCACAGTTGGGAATATGACGGCCAGTTCGGCCAGGTCGCAGTATATACTTGCAGATGTGTGCTACGCCACAGCATGGGCGACGGGATGCCACAAACGGCACACCCCAGAGGTCGGGCGGCCGCCATGCATACTTGCCCGCTTAATAACGGCATCTGGTCGCCGAAGAAAATGGACCTCCAACTCTATAGAGAACAACGGCATGGCATGAGCAAAGCAAAGGAGAGAAAGGGAGACAATGAATCTTATATACATGTGGATATATCGTTTCAAAACGTATTGGTATTTTGTTTAGCCAAGGGTCGCTTGCTTCTATTGTGGACGGAATCGAATGAAGGCAGAAAAACAAAGAACAGTGACATGAGCGGCATTACGCCGTTGTGATGACAACGAGAGCAGCTCACCACCCGTCGCCCCAGCCGTCGGCATCGTCGTCGTCTTTTGGCGCCAGGTTGATCTTTTTGGTCACCGGCTTGGCGGCGGGTTTCGCTGCCGGCTTGGCGGCGGGTTTTGCTGCGGGCCGTGACGCCGACGGTACCCGGCTCGACGAGGCCGAGCCCGTTCCGGTCTTCGCTAGGCCCTTGGGCAGTGCCTTGCCGCCGCCGGCGATGCTGCTCTTCTTCTTCTTGGCCTCCTGCGCTGCCAGCCAGCCCGCAAAGTCGGGCTCCGCATCGTCGTCGCCAAACGGCTGCACGCCGCCAGTACCGCTGGCGGTTCGGCTCGACGTGGCTGCTGCCGCTTTTGTCGTCGTCTTTGCCGCGAAGGGATCCGCATTCCCGTCGCCGTTGTCAAAGTCATCGTTACCCCACGCATCGCCGCCGTCATCGCCAAAGCCGTCGTCCATGGCGCCCCACGCATCGTCCTCGGCGGCGGCATCGGCATTGTCGGCTGCATCCGCAAAGTACGAGTCGCCTCCCACATTCGAGGAGGACGAGTTCCGCGACACGGGCTGCGAGGCCGACGGCGAGCGCACGGCCTGGCGGTGCAGCGTCGAGGCCGAGGCCGTGCTGTGCATGGTCGGTCGGCCGGGTTGGGCTGTGGCAGACGGCATCGGCGTGGACGCCGAACCGGCCGCGCCCGACTCCATCTCGCCGGCCGCGGCGGACATCTTGTTTGTAAACGAGGAAATGGCCCAGCCGGCCCAGGAGCTGGTGGACCCGGAATTTGCGTCGGGCTGCGGCGTGCTCATGCGCGCGGCGCCGTTGGCGTTGGCATCGCCACCCGCTGTTGCCGAGGGTGGCGGCAGGACCGAGTCGGGCATCGCCGCGGCTGCTTTGCGAATGCGGTCCATGAAAACGTCCATGGTCTTGGTGGCCTGGTCACGCACCAGCTTCTCCTTGTCGAGCAGCACGGCACAAATGGCGGGTAGGATGCGCCCGGCAATGTCATCGGGTGAAAAGTGCTCGGCCGTCGCTGCGAGCGCCAGCAGTGCGGCGTTGCGCGCGTGTACAAAGGGATCGCGCAGCGACCGCGAGAAGGCGGCAATGAGCACCTTGCTGCGCGAAGAGGTGCCCAAGTTCTTGGCAATCTTGCCGAGGCAAATGGTCGTGTTGGTGCGGATGCCCGGCTGCTCATCGTTGGCCGTCTTGGCCAGATAGCGCAGTAGCTCGCCGTTGATGGTGCGGTCGGACAGCTTGGGCACAAAGACAAGGACGGATTTGAGCGTCTGCTCGCGCACAATGGGCGCAAGGTCGGTGAATCCGCCGACGATCTGGGGGAAAATCTTGTCGTTGACGATGCGTTGCGGGAAGCGGTCGATCATGAGCGGCAGGTTGTCGAGCAGGCAGACGCGGATGCCGCGGTCGGGGTTGGCAAAGAGGCGGATGACGACGGGCGTGACCTTGGTCTCAAAGTCGTCGTTGGACAGCTTTGTGCCGATCTTCATGACGATGCCAAAGGCCTTGGGGCCGCCGCCGCCAAACTCGACGGACTTGAGGAGCTCGGGCAGCACCTTCATCTTGAAAAAGTCCTCAGGGAAGTCGTCTGTCAGTTCGTCCAGGTCGCTGGTTGGGTTAGCAGGGGTCACGCATGGCGGGATCCAAGGTACAATGCGGACCTACTCCAAGAAGCGCTCCCGTTCCTCCTCGGTCTTGACGCCGAGGTTCTCAATGCCGTCCGTCAGCTTGATCAAAGGCGAGTCGAAGAAGGCGCCGTGGCGCTGGCCCATTTCGAGGAAGTTTGCGACGCTGATGCGGGCCTTGGGGTTGGCATTCACAAGGCGCTTGTAGCCGGTCTGCATGGTGGGCGGCACGTTCTTGGTCTGGCCGGCCTGGTCGCTGCTGGCAAAGTCGCCGTTGAAGACCTCGTAGATGAGCACGCCAAAGTTGAAGGAGTCGACGGCCCAGTGGTTGCTGCGCTTGATGGCGTCCCAGCCGTTGCGGGCCAGCTCCGGCGGGGTGTAGCGGGCAGCATCCGGGACTAGGCTGCCGTAGTTGTAGATGATGGCGTCGTCGTCCTTGACGTTGCTGAGAACCTCGAAGCCGCCGAGTTTCCACTCGCCGCTCTCGGATGTGAAGATCGAGGCGACTTTGAGGCTGCCGTGGACAGACGAGGCGTCACCGTTGATGAATTTGATTGTACGCTGGGAGTCTAGTCAGGACAGGGCGAGACAATAAAGAAAAAAGAAAAAAAAAGAAAAGAACAGCATGTCAACATACAGCAACACTGGACAATCCCCACTTCAGCGTCTCAGGGCTCAGGCTCTTGCGCTTCACATGCCACCGCAGGGGCACCAGGCGCTCGGTCGCAATGTAGATGTACGTGTCCGTCTCGACGGTGTCGAGCACCCTGATGACGCCGGGGTGTCGTAGGGTGCGCAGCTTCTTGAGGGCGTTGCGGGCCAGCGGGAGGCGCGCTTTGTTTGCGGTGACATCGAAGGAGAAGATGCTGCAGTTGGATCCGTCGTCCTGGGGCGGGAGGTGTTAGAGGGGCTTCAGCGAGGACACGAATGAGGACAAGTAGACGTCAACGCGTCAAAAAAGACTGGCAGGGCTGCATCGTCACGCACTCGTCGGGTTCCGTTGTACAATGTCCAGATCGAAGGGTCGAGGTCGACGCGGTCGCCAAAGGAATAGGGAAACGGGGGCCCCTTGGCGATGGCCGACGCGACGGCCGACTTGAGGAAATCCATCGGGGCGGGGCACGCGTCGCGGATCGGGGGCGACGGCGGCGTGGGCGGCGAGGGCGGGAGATCGAGTCGGCGGTCGGGTGTCGTGGTGGTTGGCAGAAGGATAACGAGGCTGCGGATCCTCGCAGAATATACAATTCAGGGTGGCCCTATATTCGGTGCACCGTGGGATAGGTCAATCGTAGCTCCCTGAATGGGGTTCACCCCTCCTGCCGCTTTTGGCGCGACGTGTTTAATTGCTGGAAAAGCTGCCACCGTTGTCTCAGTGAGACGACCCCAGGCGGCCCTGCTGTAAGACCCCAGCGCGCCAACTGTGCACTGTAGTCGTGTGCTCCGGCGCATCGTTGTTCCAAGCCGGCCTACGTTTTACTGGATGGCGCCTTCCGCATCGCTCGTCTCGTCTCCTTCCCTCGTGGTTGCGGTTTTGGGACTTGGTCTCGGCAGGAACAGAAGGCTGAGGGACAGCTGGACGGGGGAAGGAACGAACCTCCTGAGTGGCACCGACTAGCGCTGCAAAGGAACAAAATAAGTGGGCCGCGGTTACGGTGTGGATGTCGCTCTTTCCCTGGGCAGCCTGTATTACAGTGTACGCCGGGACCTGCTGTATAACGCAGAACGCAGTTCCCACGACTGCCCAAGGATGGATTCGCGCAACCGCTGAAAGTCGCAAAACAGAGACACCCCCTTGTCGTCTACCCGCCGTGTTGTTTCGCAGCGTCTAGTCTATCAACGGTCCGCAAGTGGGCGTGTGCTTTTTTGTCTGTCATCTGGCTCACGGCCAGCCTCGCCTCTTTCCTGCGCTCTCCCACACCCTCACAACGCGGGCCTCTCGTCGTCCACCCTCGTCGCACTTCGTCGCCTATCGTCTCGCCTCATTTTCTCGTCGTTGATTCGCCGCCGCGCGAGATCTGCCAGGCAACACACGGCACGCAGGCAAGGCTTCCTGCTCCGCGCGGCTCAGCACCGCGAGGCCATTCTCACAGGCTCAGCAGCGGCGCGTGCTCCGTCGGACGACCTGCTTCGTCGTCGCCGGCGCCCCTGAGAGCCGACTTGGACCTGCGCGACCGCACAGCTGTCTGCGCCTCAGGCCCCGGCTCTGCGCTCCATGCGTCTGTCCAGGCCGCAGCGCACTGGTGAGCGACAACGGTGACGGCGCCCTGCTGGCGTTGCGGCCGAGGTCTCGTCCTGAAGTGCCGTGAACGGCAATTCGTTGCCCGGCCCGGTATGTATTCTATATTCATAGTCCTTCTCATCTTCGCCGTTTTTGTTGTGAGCGTGGGTGGTTCACTTTCCTTTACCTCTCACACCTTTGCTCTATATTTTCCTCTCTTTTCACATTCTATTCTGCTCGCTCTCATCCCCCTCCCCGATTCCCCAACCACCTGCAGCCTTCCCCCTCTTTCATCCGACAATTTCGTTGTTTACCCTCGTCTCTTTTTCATTTTCTTCATTGCCCCCACCTCCGTCTATGATGACTATTGGTAAAAGGTCAGACAGCCTCATGGCGCTCATGGCGGCCTCTCTGGTTTACTTGGCATTCTCGCCTCTGTTTTCGCAGGTGGCCCTGTGTCACACAAACTTGGTCGCAGGCTATACAGTTCTGCCCACACGCTGAGCGTTCTGTATACTGTTCTGCGGCTGAGCGGCTGCCCCTGTTTTATTGCACTTTTTTCATCCCACCTCGCCTCAGCTCAATGGCCTGCTGGCGAACAGGGGCGGCTGCCACAGACCCCTTATACAGACGCTGCATTGATTGCCTGGCCCTCTGCGGCCAGTCAACCACGGCGTCTCTTGGGCTGCCACTATTTTGGAGTCCCGGATGCACCTTTTCGCGCAGATACTTGCCTCATTTTACGGGCTTGTTCCAATCTGTGCGGATGCTTAGCACCGGGGCCAAAGGCCATGGCAGACATTTGGCTGTGCAAGGAGGGTGACACGATGCTGTCCTGCTTCTCGCTATGCCTCTCTATATACGGGACGGGCCCCTGTGGAGGTCGAGATGGCATGCGTAACCGCTCGGCCGTGCTGCATGATGACCATTATAAGAAACTGAAAAGACCTGAGACGGAATCCCTACCCTCTGCTTCCTGTTCCTTGTCCCGCCCTTTTATATGTTTCCATTTGTTGCATCCTCGTCGCTTCGCATTCGTGCTCCATGGCTATAGCTATGCTGTCCTTTCTTCATACGACTAACCACGCATGCTCGCTTCTGGCGCCCCGTTATAGACTCACACTGCATCACGCGCGGCTGGAACTTTTCCTGCTCTTTATTTTTTCAATGTCCTTTGTCGCTCTACAACTCGAGGAAAGAGATGCGAGACGCATCTTTACCAGATACGTCGGCGCCACCACGCCGTAGTGGCTATGATGTCCATGGGAGGCTATTCAGCGACCCTCTCAGCAGCAGGGACGGCATTATGAACAGCATCCTACAAGGCACAGCGCATGACAGCACACTGCCGCGGCTGCGCGGAGCCACCGATGGTCTGCCGTCCGACGGTCCACACTCCAGGGCTGGCATTGTCATCGCGGAGCAAAGCCCGGTGTCGCCGCCCCCAGAGCCATGCACTTTTCCCGGGTGCTTGGCGCTGACGTGGATGACGACGCCGTTTTGTATTCAGCATCTGGCACGGATACGCCCAAAGAAGCAAAATGGCACGAGCGCACCGACAACAACAGGAGCAGGAGCAACGGCGACAACGGCGACAACGGCGGTAGCAAAAGCAGCACCAGCAACCATTGCAACACCAATACATAAATCAGGCGATACTTTGGCAAATGTGTCGGGAAACCCGTCACCGCGGGCGTCACAACCGGCTGCGGCGGTGGTTTCCACATCTGCCACTCCGCTGCCCACATCCGATACTCCACGTCTGCCCAAAAATGCAGTACTCTCACCTGAACTGTCGACTACTTACATGAGGCGTAAGACAGCCCCAGGCAGTGGTTCCCGTCCAGCGTCTGCAGCAAGACCATCTTTTCTACCCCGCGTAGGACAACACGCCGCTACGAATACCGCACCCGTTACACCCGCGTCACGCGCCAACGGCGAGAGTGTGGCAGGCTCATACTTTTCTTCTTTGCACACCGCTTCACGGCAAAATGGGACGGCGGACCATCTCCCTAACGGTCGTGATAAAAGCAGCATCAAAGACAAAGACAACAGCAATGCAAACGGTGGCAATACTATTTTGACGCCTTCAGAAAGCCCGCCCGAATTACGGGCCTTGCACCATTCGAAGAAGCGACCTCGATCCGATTCTGAGAATGGAGCCCAACGGGCGCAAACAAATGAGGCGCCGACACCGAGGGTGCCTGCAGAAGGGGACAAAGGCGTGGGAACGAATGCCACGGAAAGGCCGAATGAAGTGAATGGCGAAACGTTTCCGCCGACCACACAAGCCAGCAACAACCAAGACGCTCAAGCGAGCGCCTCTGCCTCAAATATAGTCGGCAACTCTGAACCACAAACAAATGCACCTGCGGCACAGGCACCTACAATACACATTTCAAAGTCTGGCCCGGATCGCGATGCAGATGACGCCGCTGCAGAACTCTCCACGTCGAAACGGTTGGGACTACGGCTATCCTTGCAGCGCCGGATCCAGGAACGAGACAAAGCGCGGTCCAGTGACGCAGCCAACGGGACACCGCAAGCAGCCAAAGCGGCAATGACGTTCTCCCTAGACACATACATCTACAGCCAGGGCGAGGACGTGGCGCCGCTGCCGCCGCCGCCTGAAGTCGCGAAGTCCAGAGAACGACTTGAGGCCGCATCGGCCGCCGCAGCCGCACCACTACCCACGCACTACTCGTCCGTTTCGTCGTCTACGTCCTCGTCTGCCAGAAAGGCCCCCGATTTTGTCTACGCCCACATTGACCCACGGGTGCACTGGACCCGAGCGCGACCCAAGGCCTGGCACGTCGCCAAACAAAAAGAAATTGCGGCACGGGGCGGGCGCAAGGCCAACTTTGGAAAGGCTGTCCAGCGTTCTGCTGCCGCCCGCCGCCGCGCTGTAGCCGCAGCCGTCGCGACAGCGGCATCAACAGTATCATCGGAGACGACAGGGTCGCCAACGGACGAGCCGCCAACGAGTGCCCCAGATGGGGATATGAATATGAATGTGAATATGAATACGAATACGGGGCCAGATTCTGCCGCCAACAGCACTACCCGCGGATCAACACAAAAGGCGTCTACCACACAAGTCCCAACAGGTGCAGCACCACCTCCCCAGGTCCCCTCGGTCTGGACGGGCGAGCTACCCACCGAAGTGACGAGCAACAAGCCATGGATGGCACTATTGGGCAAGTTGGCGCAGGACGAAGAGGCCGGGCCGGTGAAGCCAAAACCGAGCGGTCGGAGCAAGGGGCGGCAATGAATTTAGGGACCACAGTCCATTTTGGGGGACTATATTAGGTTAAAAGGGTGGGGAACGTATGGGTCATCATCGTCGGGTAGCATTTTTTGCATGGGAATGGGTTTGTTGTTATAGGGGTAATTACATGTTCAGTCTAGGGCGCAGCAGCGGAATACCAGAGTGACCGGCGTTTTATGTTTTTTATTTATTATTCTCTCTCGTTTCTTATTCTGTTTATGTTTCTTCTTTGATTCTTTCAAGTACTCATCTTTCTATTTGCAATAGTTGGCTCGTTTAAACATTAGGCGATTCATAAATAACCAACCCACACCACCTGCATGCCAAAAGGTGAAATTGTTTACTACGCCGTAGTATCACAGGCCGAACGCTAAGCGCTATCAAAGAATCGATCCAACTATAAATCACGCACAACCGGGAAAATTTCAGATTTGCAAATTCAAGCTCATGAACCACAGGGCATTCCCTTCCGATGCTCCGTGACGGTTTTGTGCAGTGCAACTATCTTTGTTGGTCAATTTACCCGCTACAGGAACAACTTCTGTTGGTTGTTTATAGACTGGCAAAATATAATTTGCAGAGAAAGGGACTGGACGGGCTACACGCAAGGGTCCTGTTGGAACCTCAAGTTGATTACGAGTCATGCGCAGTTGTCCATTACATCAATATATAGAAACATCCCGACCCGTCGAGACGGGGACTGTAATCAAACAACGTCACGACAAGAATTTTGTGCCTCAGGAACATAGTCCACCCCTTTTGGATTTTGTAGTAACCCTTCGCCGCTGTCGTCATCGTATTTCCCCTATATGGTTATTGGCGGTTCCTTATAGGCGAGACAAAAGCGTAATTATCACGACTCTTTTACTCTGCCTCGCCCATACTCTCAACAACACCACTTGCTTGCCCATCTGGTCTACTCTGCCCTTTTCTACAACCAACTGAAAGCATGTTGCTGTTGACCCTTGCTGTCGTTATTGCAGCCGCTGCTCAGGCATCCGGCTTCAAAATCCCGAAAAACCAGCCGGATGGCGTCTACATAGTGACAGTCGACGCCGGCGGCACCGACCGCATCGGCGCCAGTGGCAACGTGCCCGCCGCCAAAATCAAAGAAACTCATGATACGGCGCTGCAGGAGCCCAACGGAATCCAATGTTTCAGCCAGCACATGGTGCTGAACGCCGCCAACACGGATGCGGCAAACAACGCCCTCGACGCACAGTGCGGCAGCTATCTCGACGTTGACGGAAACAAGAGCATATACTCCAAGAGCGGCTGCGTCGTGGCTTACTATTGCAACTGGAATTCCAACATCTGCGATGGCCCCACACGGCCGCTCTTTTCTGCCAAAATCACAGACCGGTGCGACCGTTACATTCCCGGCACCGCCACGTTCCACGACCAGCAGCGGACGCACTTCGCGTACGGATACCGAGACGTTTGCGAACCGCAGAGCGGCGATGACTTTTGCGGCTATTAGTGGTGGAACATGAGTTACCTACGTATGACTGCAATTGTACTTGTACGTCATACGAACTCCACAATTTTTCGGGAGCACAAAAAGCAAGTCTCACAAACGGGCAGCGCGGACGAGATGTTGAAATATGACTTGGAAAGCTACTTGTAAAACGTTATGTACTATCACCAAACAGGTTAGCTAATGATGTCTTCACGTGGTGCGATACGGTGGTCCCTTGATGCAGTATGGGTTGGAACGTACAAGGTAATCCATGTTAAAATTCTATTTACATGAGAATAGATGCACCAAAGATATTCAAACTATGCCAGCCCCATCCTTGGTATGCGTTTTCATTTTCCTCCCTGAAAGGATGCATTGTATTATTTTATTTTCTTTCGTCCTTACTCGTCACTCCAAGCTTACCGCTGCGACAGCATGTTCAGCGCACTGCCGGCCAGGATAAAGCCGGCCTGGTCCTTGCTCACGGTGTGCTTCACCGGCACCACAAACTCCTCGCCCGACGACGCCTTGGTCACCTTGAGCTGCACCTCGCCCTGGCCACGCGCCTGCAGCATGTCGTACAGGCCGACCGTCGCCACCACGTCGCCCGCCTCGATGCGGTCGTAGTCGGCCTCGTTGGCAAACGTCAGCGGCACCACGCCCTGCTTCTTGAGGTTCGTCTCGTGGATGCGCGCAAACGACTTGGTCACGACAATGCGCGCGCCCAGGTACCGCGGCTGCAGCGCCGCGTGCTCGCGCGCGCTGCCCTCGCCGTAGTTGTGTTCGGCAACGACCAGCCACGGCTGGCCGCGCTCGCGCCACTGCTGCGCCAACTCGGGGATCGTCGACTTGCTGCCGTCCAGATCGTAGGCCACGTTGACCTCGCCCGTCGCCGCGTTGACGGCCGTATTGAGCGTGTTGGCGCTGATGTTGGGCAAGTGGCCCTTGTACTTGAGCCAGGGCCCTGCCGCCGAAATCGTATCCGTTGTGCACTTGCCCTGCACCTTGACCAGCACACGCAGGCCCTCGAGGTCCTGGTTCGGGAACGGCTCAAACGGCTCCAGAATGGCCAAGCGCTCCGACGTCTTGGAGATGGCCACCTCCACCGACGCATCGGGCTGCTGCACCAGCGCCGCAAACGCCGCGCGACCCTCGTCAAACGGCTTCGGCGGGCCCTCCAGGCCGTGCGGGGCCGGGAAGCGGAACTCGCCGCCATCGGGAGTGGGGATGGGGTCCGTCAGCGGGTTGAACGTCGTCGAGCCGGCAAACGCAAGCGCTGTAACGATCTCGGGCGACGCAAGGAAGTTCATCGTCTCCAGGTTGCCGTCGTTGCGGCCGCGGAAGTTGCGGTTGTACGACGTGAAGATGGCGTTCGAGGTGCCCTTCTCGACACCGTCGCGGCGCTTCCACTGGCCGATGCAGGGGCCGCACGCGTTGGACAGCAGCACGCCGCCCGCCTTGTCGATTGTCTCCAGTGTGCCGTCGCGCTCGAGCGTCGCCCGGATCTGCTCGCTGCCGGGCGTCACGTAAAAGTCCGACACGGGCTGCAGGCCCGCCGACGCCGCCGCCTTGAGCAGGCTCTCGACACGCGTCATGTCCTCGTACGAGCTGTTGGTGCAGCTGCCAATCAGGCCAGCTGAGAGCTTTTGGGGCCACGCCTCCTGCTCGACCGTCTGGCGGAACTCGGACAGCGGGATCGACAGATCGGGCGTGAAGGGCCCGTTGATGTGCGGCTCGAGCTCCGACAGGTTGATCTCAATCAGCTCGTCGTACTCGGCACCCTCGTCGGCGGAGAACTCGAACACGGCGTTCTTGTCGTTGGCCGCCGGCGCCTGCGTGCCGCGGAACTGCTGGAACCGTGCAGCGTCCTGTGCGGCCTGGTCCCGCCGCGTCGACACCAGGTAGCGCGCAGATGCCTCGGTGTACGGGAACACGGACGTCGTGGCACCGACCTCGGCGCCCATGTTGGCCATCGTGGCCATGCCCGTGCAGCTCAGCGTCTGCACGCCAGGTCCGGCGTACTCGATAATAAAACCGGTACCGCCACGCACCGTCAGGCGGCCCGCCAGGTGCAGGATGACGTCCTTGGGCGACACCCAGCCGCTAAGCTGACCCGTCAGCCGCACGCCCAGGATACGGGGAGCCTTGAGCTCCCAGGGGGCGCCCACCAGCGCCTCGACGGCGTCGGCACCGCCGACACCAATGGCCACCGTGCAGAGACCGCCGGCGTTGGGCGTGTGGCTGTCGGTGCCGAGCATCATGAGACCGGGGATGGCGTAGTTCTCGAGCACAGTCTGGTGGATGATGCCCGCGCCGGGCGGCCAAAAGTCAATTCCGTACTTGCGCGCCGCCGACTCGAGGAACGCAAACACCTCGCCGTTGGTGTCGATGCCGGCCTCCAGGTCGGCCTCGGCACCCTTCTCGCCGACAATCAGATGGTCGCAGTGGATGCTGGCGGGGATGGCCGTCTGTGGCAGGTTGCAAGCCATGAACTGTAGCAGCGCCATCTGTGCAGAGGCGTCCTGCATATTGACACGGTCGGGCTTGAGCTGCAGGTTGGCGGTGCCGCGAATGGAGCGGCCATTGTTCGTGTCCGTGAGCAGGTTCGTCTCGACATCGTCCAGGTGGCTGTACAGGATCTTCTCGGCGAGCGTCAGCCGGCGCTCGGCGCCCAGCACACGCCGCACGGTGGCATACTTGTTGTAGAGGCGCTCGTAGACAGGGGGCAGGGGGGCGGCATCGTTGACAGTCGAGAAGAGGCGACGGGCAGCCGAGGGCAGGGCGCGGCGTAAGGGCTGCTGCTGGAGCTGGAGAGAGAGAGAAACAAAAATGTGGTCAGCCAAGACGTAGAACCAAAGAGGAAGGTCGTTTGCGTTGCGGGGGACAAATGACGACGCTTACCCTGGCCAGCGCGCCGGAACGGCTAGCAAGCGCAATAGGCCCCATGGCGGCTCTGTGAGTCTCTCAGTCTGTCCTCTCGGTCGGCTGCAAAGGAAGAGGGACCGAAGAACTGTGGTCGTGATCGTGGGGAAGGGCAAAAGTGGTGGTGAAGTGCGGGAAGTGGTCACTGCTCAAATTGTCCAGATCAGATTTTGTGGGGGAAGGAGCGATCCGCTCTACCAAACGCCAGGGACGAAAAAAAAAAAAAATAGTGTGCAATTGACACTTACGGAAGGCACCATTACCCGCCCGCAATCGGAGCCGACAGCGGGCAAGCACGTAGTGGGGTCGAATGGCAGGTGCCATGGTGTAAGTGTCAGCCAATCAGCGGCTAGTCAATTCAAGCAACTGCACCATATTCCAACCGCTGTGTTGAGTTGCATAGGAATACATGGCAAATGCGGAACAGACTTTGGAAAACGTACGTCATATTGTGGAGGGTTTGGAATCGATAGAAAAAGTTGAAATTAATCCCAGTAGCCAGGTAGAGACAGCTAGCAAGGCTGGCTCAAAGCCATCACAAATCGCGGCTGTGGCGGGAGGCCGACTATATTGAGTGCCAATCTTTAGGTCTGAAAGGTGAATTTGTTGAATTGGCATAAAACATGGATTGAACTTGAAGAAACACAAAGCAACATACTCTAGCCTTGTGTCTTATTCCGTGGTGCACAGCCGTGCTTGTGTTTATGAAGACGTGCCGCCATTAATACATATCGCCAAACGCCATAATAATCGTAGCCCTTCGAAAATACCACGGAATTAACTTGAAACAATCAAAAGAAATACACTCATCTCCTCTATGCAAGCTTCTGTCGCTTGGCGTCCACGCTTGCTGCACCAGCAGAACCCGCAGCTACAATAGTCCCGCCGTTCACCGGCACATTGCTTGGCACATCCGCAAGAGGCGGTCGGGACGCGCCGGTGGTAGAGTCTGTTGGCGGGCCACGTTTCATGGGTGGAGGCCGGAATTGGTTCCGGTTCGCGAGGGGGCTCGCTGTGCTAGGCGGTGCTCCGATGCGCCGGATTGGCTCCATTCCCGGGTGATGTACACCGCTCCGGGTGGTCATGCCACCAGTGGCAGGCGCACCGGATGGCATGTTGGACGCGGCGGCAGGAGAACTGGTAGAGGCTGACGTGACATTTGATGCCGCGTTGGCTGATGGCGGCAGCGCGATGCTGCCACTTGGGCGGTTGAGGCGTGGGATCGGCTTGGACGAATTGTGGTCGAACCCAGGCGTTTTGCGGATCGAGGGACTTTCGGCCTTGGGGTCGAATAGGTGTTCACCCTGAATCTTCGGGGCCACCGCGGGGAGGGGATCCCCACCGCCGACCTTGGCGACAGCACGGGCCGACAACCAGGGGGTGGGTTCGACCTCGCCTGCACCGCCGGCAGCAACATTGTTACCATTGCCGCCGCTACTATTCACAGTTGGAAGTGGCGTTGGTTTGACGTTGTTGTTGTTGTTGTTGTTGTTGTTGTTGTTGTTGTTATTGCTGCTCACGTTATTATTGCCGCCGTTGCTGCCGAAGCCCTGTGGCCTTTGGCCTTGCTGCTGCGGCCCGTTGGTCTGCTGGTGGTTCGCACCAGGCTGGTAAGGTCTTTGCCCAAACCCGTTGCCATTGCCGTTCCCGATGGGCCTGGCGTTCATTGGTGTCGGCGTTTGCGGTGCCCCTGGAGGCACGCCCGGCCTGACTGGTCTCTGCTGGTTGTTGTAGTTGCCGTTCTGCTGTGGGACGACCTGTCGCAGTGGACTCGTGTTCCTCGAGCCCACGCTCTGCTGAGGCGGGGGAAGTGCGGGCACAGAGGATTCGCGGACGACAAACTCATCGGGGTGGCCTTCGTCGGTTACACAAAAGTCGGCCTCATCAAAGTCGCCGAGCAAGTCATCGTCAAACATGTCTGCCGCAAATTCGGACGTGTCCGCCAGAACAGACGTTTCGGCTTTGACGCTTGCCGCGACCGCTTGCGGAAGCCGCGCTGCCGCTGTCGGCACAGCCGTCGTGACGGCCGTGGTCGTATCGTCTTCCGACTTGACGACGTAGTCGGCATGCCGGTGCAGGCCCTGCTCGGCAAACGTGCGTTTGTTCACGGGCACGGCCTTCATCTTGGACACACGCTCCACATACTTCTTGTCGTAGATGCAGTTGCCCAGGACGTTACCGAAACTACGCAGGGCACGCTTGAGAGCGTCCGTGGTGCCCTCCTTCTTGGCCTTTTCGAAAGCGGCGGCTTTGCCTTTGCAGTTCTCAATGTGGCCGTAGCCAATGTCTTCGTGATACGTGCCGTCGCGAAGCGTCACCCGGACAATGACAGACAGCCCGACAGAGATCTTTAATGTTTGTGGGTGTTCGTCAACGAAATCGACCTGGATGTTCTGAATCGACGACGACCAACCGTTGAAGCCAAAAACCTCATTGGCGAGCGTAATGACTTTCTCAGCCGCGATGTAGTGGACCTTCTGGCCAGAGGGACCGGAGCGTGCGGACAGATACTCGGGGCCGAGCTGTTTCTCGAGACGGCTTTGGAGGGTAGCAATCTCCTGGGCGGTGTACTCGGACAGCCGCTGTGCGGGCTGCTGTTGCAAGTTTTGTTGATGCATGTCGCCGAAGCCCTGCTGGGGTTGTATGTTTTGGAAGGGGTTGGAGATGTGCTGGTGCTGGTCTCCCGGGCTGCGTAGATGTCAGTACGAGGCAGATCAGGGTCGTAAGTGACAGAAAGCTGGATTGACGTACTTTGGCATCTTCGACAACAATCCCGAGGATGAGTCGGGGCTGACAAACAAAAGTCGCAAATCGACTGGCACTGTATCAACAAATCTGTTCAGGGGAGACGCGTCTTGATGGTATGAGATAGGCGCCACACTCTGTTAGCAGGACTGGGTGCGTAAAAGCAAGATATCGGATTCACACAGGCCAGTGACAGTGTCCAGCAAATGGTCGGACGGCCGTCTTTCGGGATGCGTGATGTGGACGGGGCTGGTGGGAATGGCTTGGATGTGGACTTTGCGTCTGTTGGCGCCTGCTGTGCTTTGCTAAAGTAGGCGCGACGTGCTGAAGACGCGACTTGAGTACGGTGTTGCCAAAGTGACTCGTGGTCACGTGCAGACTAAGTACAGTGGACCACAGCACTGGAATTGGGGCGTTGCCTATGCTACCGCCAAACCCGACGACCTGGGTTGACAACTTGAGACCTTTCAGGTCTGATAGGCTGGACAGGGCCCTGTGAAACATCGGCCGTAGCGTGTGCGGCCACTAATACGACATAAAATTGCCCACACCCACAGAACCAACATAGAAGCCCCCGTAGCCTACTTTGAGCCTACTTAGAGGGATGCACATAAGGCAAAGCATTACGTATCTTTCGATAGCTCTTGTCCTCCGTCGGAAATTTTAAATAGAACATGATGGTGCACAAGTATGTTTCTGTCACTATCTTCTCACTGTTTCCCTTGTCTTGTCTCGGTAGCGAAGGCACAACCATGGACTGTGAACGCGTGGCTTGACGGAACGAGCTTAAAAAGACATGATGTGGGTTTCAAACAATAAAGGCACATCTTTCGAAACGACGTCATGAAAAAGACGGGGAAAGTAGGTGATGCGTCGCTGCTATTTTTGCACACGACACAAATCAAAAGCTTGGCGGGGTGCGGTCGAGGATGGGTGGGTGGCGGCGGAAATGGAAAAGAAAAACTGAAAGAAGAATCGAAGAATTCAAAGGGTGAAAATGTACTCCGGTGATCGCCACAACCGAGAATCCCCGAGCACAGAACACCTAAGGTTTGCTGGAGCATGGCAAAGCCGTAGATCAGGGGGGGTAGCCGAACCAGAAAAAAAAGACGGGCTGTGTGGAACATATCAAGGTGAGGCAACGTATCGCGTATCTCATCATGGAGAAAGGAGCTGCTACCGTGGACAAACAAAACGTTCCCATATCTCGAACTATAAAAACCGTGGTCCTATGATTTGAAACCAAGAGTACAAGCACGTGGGCTGAGAATGAGAGTCGATTGCCCTGCTACAAAATCATCATGATATAAATACGACAAAAACGCCATACAAAAACTTGGGGGGAGAAATGACGGACATGAAAGGACGACATGAGAGCACCCTACCCGAAAGACTCGATCCTCCCTACTGTATATTTCCCGACATGGAAACACGAAGCACATGGAATGAATAGAAAACACAGAAAACACAGAAAGCACAGAAGGGAACTGGCAGTAGCAACGTCACCAAGAATCATTTCCATAAAAAATGACAAGAGTCAAGAGCATGGCGATGCCGGTAGGCAGAATGGGGTCATGGATCAAGGTAACGGAGTCTGCGCGACCAGTGCATGAAGACAAAACGACGACGGAAGTGCACGTACAAAAAGAGAATAAGGTGAATAACAAAAGATGAAAAACGCCGCCTAAATATGGATGGTTCCTTGGGTCCCCTGAATTCTATTGAACGCTGGCCGTTATTAACACCGGTGTGATGAGGGTCGAAGCAACTAGAACATGAAGGCGAAAACAACACATTGAAAAAAAAGACAAAAAAAAGTCAAATGACAAATGCAATATACCAGATAGAGGGTTCGTGGGAATGAACGAGAGGACGGGAAGGTTGAAATGAGGCCCGGGGAAAATGCAAACGAAAAATGAAACGTCGTAAGGGTCGTTAAAAGTCGGTCGTGTGGGAGTCTTTGGGCATGGCCCAGCATGACAACATGGAGTGGCAAGTCTTGCTCCTACCAGGGGCCGACACGGACGGGCGAGCCGAAGGTGCCGTTCATCAGCTGGTTGCGGATGGAGTTGGGGTCGTTGGTGCCGCCTGTTGCACCCATCCAGCCGACGTGCGTCGAGAGCGCACTCATGGCGACTTTGAGACGCCCGCCCGACTGCTGGTTGTGTTTGGACAGGATCTGGTCCCAGTGCTCCGACAGAAGCAACGACGTAAAACCGCCGCCGCCGCGCTTGGACGCCTCCTGGATGACGACGGCCCAGGCGCGGGCAATCTCGTCGTAGGCACTCTCCTTGTGCTGGCGGTACGTTGGGCTGTCCCAGTCGGGCAGCTGGTGGACGATCTTGGTCGCGCCGTCCAAAAACTCAAGCGAGGCGGACGTTTGGGACTCGACGGGTGGCAGGAACTGGCGGGTGTATTCGGAGATGGCTTCGACGATGGCGATGAGCGGCTGCTTGACGCGATAGTAGTTGTAGTCGGCGCTGGAGTGGCCGTACGGCATGGCAGAGCGGAGACGGTCCTGGTACTCGCCGAGGAGCCGCAGCGTGGATGCGGGTGTGGGGCGCGGCGCGTTGTCGGCGACCTGCTGCGAGATATCCGGGTGGTGGTCGCAAATGGTCTGGAGGATGGTGCGCAGCTGCGAGGCATCGAGGGCCTCGAGCAGGCGAGGCAGCGGCAGGGGACGGCCAGCCATTTCGGCAGCGCGGGCTTTCTTGACAGGACGGGAAAGCTGGCGGTTGGCGATGGCGGGCGAGCTCATGGGCGAAACGGACATTTCATCACTGCCGTCATCGTCGGCTTTCCGCTTCTTGGCGGCGGCCATGGTTGGGAAAGGAGACACTGGGCTGTGAGCATGACAGTCACGACTGGTGAGGAGACAAGAGGAAGAGGCAAAAGAAGGCAGACGTACTAGACCGGGAGGGAGATTGTCTTGGAGACTCGTGCTGGTGGGGGAAGAGAGCCGGTTGCGCTGGCAGCAAGACGTTCATTTTCTGACAAAAGGAGCAATCGGATTGAAACGAGGAACAAGGGCCCGGATCACAAGAGCACGCGGCGATGGATGGCGATCCCGAGGATGCCGTCCTTTCTGGGATGCAGATGCCGTCGATGAAAGGACTGTGGTATATCTGTGCCGGGCAAGACGTCGGTCAGGCAGGCGGTAGCGGTTGTCGGATGTGGTGATGATTCGGGGTCGTTCAGAATCGGAGCCGCGGGATGAGCGAATACGGCGTGGACACGGAAGGGCGGCGACGTCCAACTAGCGGCGAATACGTCGATACGAGAGGGACGGCGAGAGCGTACGCAAAGTATATCGACAAGGGAGAGAGATGAGGTGGAAAGAAACGAAAAGCAAGAAGAGAGGAGAGATTAGAATATGAGGAAGGGGGAAAAGAGGGCCTAAGACGAGGGAAGGAAGAGGGAAAAGAGGAGACGGGAAAAAAAGAGGAAAGAGGAAAAGAGGCGAGTCGCTCAGGCAAAGCCAGGATTAGTTAGGTTGGGCTGGGCAGGGAATTATTGCGTGGCAGATGTGTGGGTGGGTTGTGTGCTGGGGCACGGGACGCAGGATAGCGTGTCTTTGGAGGCATCCTTGGACGGCTACTGGCTGAGGTCCACGCCTAGCCTGTCTTGCATGCTCTGGGCAGCTGGCACTGTGCCGTAATAAGACAAAGACCCCCGGCGTGGCTGCTGTTGCTTCCAGCCATGCGGCCAGCTGATGTGGGCTGCCCCAAAGTTACAGGGCATTCACTGCTGGATTAGTGGCAATGGCGGACTGGCATCACCTAATCTCCAAAGCGCAAGTTCAGTGAAGTGACGGGCGGTCTCCACAGCGGAAACCTAGCCTGAGCCAAGTCACCCATATTTCATGGTAAGATAAGATACGAATAGCAGCACGCAACCAACTGACTTGCTCCAACATGAATACGGGGTTGTTTGAATGAATTTAATTACTGTCTCCCTACATACGGAAACCATCTTTCGCGACACCGGCGAAGAAAAGACACCACCGCCCGTCACCTGCAGGCAGCAAATCAAACAAGCCCGTCCAAGGGCACGTCCAAGGGCACGTCCAAGGGCACACCCCGGGCGCCTTGGAACAGACCCGGCCGGGTCAAGGTCAAGGTGCTTGCGGTGTCTGCTTGTTCGTGTGCTCGGATGTGCCTTCGTGCATGTACGCGACTCTTCGACATTGGCTGGTCAGACTCCCCAGGATTAGCTCGTCAAAGTGGTGTGTGGATGGCGGCCAATAGGTGTCTCAGGGGGTTTGCTTTACCTGGGCTTGGCCAACCACTTCTGGACCCCAGCCGGCCAGACAGCATGGGGGCGCTCGCTGTCGGGGGAAAAGAACCCCCATGCCGAGTTTTGGCATATTATTCCTCCGTAAAGATGTCCGAAGAGGGAAAGTATTGGAAAATCGCACCCTTTCTCTCCCAGTCAGCACAGGAAACAGCAGGTGCGTGTGTCAAAAATGGAGAACAGTCCAAGAGGGCAAGAGGAAAAGATGTGGCCGTCGATCAAAAGGAGCGCTTACAGCAAAGACACTGACACAACTCAGTCGCTCGCCCTTTGCCCAACCTCGTCACCTTAGAGGCTTACAGAGTTGCACAGCCCTAAAGCCGGCCAACAGACGACATTTGAGGTTTGATTGTCTGAACAGGAGCCTAGCGGCCGGGGTTTTAAAGCACAGCGAGATCTTGTTGATGTATGGCGGTAAGCGCCGTGTAATCATCCTCAGCTAAAGCCTAATCACCTGACAACCTCCAACTGCTCTTGCTATAGTAGGCATAGGTAATTCGTACTTCTGTAAGATACGACGAACTCCACAGACAGAGACGTTTCGAAAAGTGGGCCCAAGGCGGCTGTTGTTTACGGAACTCCCCGCCTGGAAGAGAAGGCACATAATGCTCCGTACAGGCAGGTGCGAATTGGCAGAAATGGAACGAGGCACGTGTACAGGCAATTCCACTGCATTTAAATTAAAAAAAAAAAAAAAGAGGTGAGGATTTTATACACATATCAGAAAATGGAATTTTCAAGCAAAAGGAAATTCAAGGGCGAAATAAAACGTATTCGACACGTCTCTGAAGGGCCGTCGTAATTTAATTACAGCGTGCATATGGCCCAAAAGCTTATCGTTATCGCCCCACCGATCATTTTTCGATAAGGAAAAAAGTCCAAGTCGAAAAAAAAAGGCGGAGTCCGGACGATACGGCAGAACTTTTGTCTCTCTTCGCCAACGTCAAACTACACCAGATATTCGATAGAACACCCGCCATCCTTGTCCTTCCCAGCTCCAAGTATGGCGACAGATATCGAGACAAAGGCAGCTGCTGCTGCACCAACCGAAGGCCCCTCCTCTCCCTTCTTGCCGTCGGCCCAGAAAAAGCGGAAAGCCGCCAACGACGACGTCCCCGAAATAGAGGTCGACCTCTCGCTCCCCGAGCCACCCTCCAAGCGAGCGAAGCGTGCTCTAAAAAAAGGCAAGGTCCTCCCTGCCAAGCCCAGATCCGACGATGAGGGCGACGATGACATCCCGGCCAAAGGCGGAAAGTCCGGTGACAAGGACGACAACAAAAAGGCCGAGCGCTCTCAGTTCGGCATCTGGATCGGCAACCTGCCCTTTACCGTCACCCGTCCTCAGCTGTTCCAATGGTTCATTGACTGCTCCGGCGGCGCCATTTCGGAGGCCGACATCACCCGCGTGAACTTGCCTCTGGGCAAGCGCCAGCCACACCAGCAGCGCCCTCACAACGTCAATGCCGACAGCAACGGCAACGTCGCGCCGCCCAACAAGGGCTTCGCCTACGTCGATTTCCTGACGTATGAGGCCCAGGTGGCCGCGACGGCATTGTCCGAGACGGAGCTGGATGGCCGCCGTGTGCTGATCAAGGACAGCAAGTCGTTTGAGGGCCGTCCGGCCAAGGAGCGTGAAGGTGCCGGTGCTGGCGCAACCACCGGTGCTGCTGGTGACGACGATGGCAAGAACGGTGCCGACGCATCGGCAGCGCCCGCGGCCGGCATGACCAGCAGCAAGATCTTTGTCGGCAACCTGGGATTCGATACCACCGAGGAGGATCTCCGCCGCCACTTTACGCCCTGCGGACCCGTCGCGTGGGCCAAGGTCGCCACATTCCCAGACAACACGGAGAAGTGCCGTGGCTACGGCTGGGTGCAGTTTGGCGGCAAGACAGACGACGGCCAGAACATTACGCCCGAGGCCGCGTCCAAGGCGGCCGCGGCGGCTGTCACGGGCTTTGCCAGGATTACCGAGACGGTCGACACCGAAGAGGACTTTGCAGCCGAAGCAGCTGTCGCTGCCGGAGACATGGAAGACGAGGACGATGTGGCCGACACAAAAGAAGCGACCAAGCCCGCACCACGCACACGACAGCGCAAGTGGTGGGTCAACCAGCTCAAGGGCCGTCCGCTCAAGATCCAGTTCGCCGAGGATGACGCCATGCGCTACAAGAAGCGCTTCCGCAAGGGCGGCCGGCCACAAGGTGACGATGGCGAGGGCCGTGGCGGCAACAAGGCCCGCGAGCCGAGAGAAAGACGGCCCCGTCCCGACAACCAACAATACAAGCACCAGGACGCCACTGTCGCCTACCGGACCGGTGCCATTACGGCATCCCTCGGCAAAAAGACGATGCTAGAGTAGACTTCTGGGCCCCTTTCCTCTGTACGCCGTATTTCATTGGCAGGTCTTTTATTTGCTTACTTTATTTTTGGTTTGTTACGCATTGTATGGCTAGAGCGATATATTCCTTGTTTTACATATGACACATCTATAATTTATATGGTCAAAGTTGTTGGGGCTAGACTGCTTTGTATGCTGTCTCGTTGCAGGACGCGTTACTTTCATGTGATCGATCCTACTGCAAATCTGTCTCGTCCAAATGATTCATGTGTACCAGAGTCAAAAGTAAGACATAATATATGGGTTAGTCACACGGTTTTGACATTCTCAATTCATGGTAACGGGGCAAAGATATTTTCAATAAACTTTCATTGCATGTCACGAGAAACATTTAAGAGTATGGTATCAAAAGCAAAAGTCCATTGTTTCAATCTGTTAAACGTACAAAGACAAACACAGACGCAAAAATTGAGATAAAATACATCCAGTGACAAATGTAACATCAGGACGTTGTACAACAGAGTCAGCCCATCCAGGGCTCCGGCAACGATCCGATACAGCAGAACTTCACGGAACAGGTGCCAAAAGGGAAAATCAATAAACAGAAGGAAACCAAAGAGACAAGCACGACGAAAACTAAACAGACCAGAATAATTAAAAAATTCAGAAAGCGAACTTGAGCAAACAATATTCTCATAAAACCCAATCCCAGATAAAACAGATCAAAAGCAGCAATTGATTGCGCCAGGCATAGCTTGTTCGACTACCATGAACCTTGTGTCATCAAGAAACGACTACTTGCGGGCCTTCGTGTCGTCGCCCACCAGAGACTCCTCGTCAGAGGCATCAAGAATGTCGTACTCCTCGTCCGTCAGGAAGCCGTCGTCCGAGTTGTCAACAGTCCAGTCCTCCTCGTCCTCAAAGTCGAGGGCAGTAGTCTCCTTAGCGGGAGCCGATTCCACAGCTTCATGGATGCTGTCCGCCGGCGACTCCGTCTCAAGCTTGGGGAAGATCATCTGGCTCTCGCTGGTGGCCTCCGATTTCTCATCGGCCTTCGGCTCAGCCTTCTCAACCTTCTCGACGGTCTTCTCGGCGGAATGAGCCTTGGTCTCAACATCCTCCTTGGCGCGCACGTTAATGTCACACCACAGGCGGTCACCGAACTTGATGCCGCCCTTGGTGGTCAGGCGCCAGTACGAGATGGTCCGGCCGAGGCGCGAGGGAGAGCGCAGCAGAATCGTGAAGGGAGCCTCCTCGCCAGGAGCCAGGGACTTGTAGCATATGGTCGACTCGGACGACGACACGAGCTCCTGGATGCCGGCCGGGCTGTTCGGGTCAACGTGGCCCATGTAGTCACCCCCAACGAAGGTGACGCAGCAACCTGCCGGCCAGGCAACGGAACCCGTGTTGCGCAGGGTCCACGTCTGCTCAAAGGTCTGGTTTGGGGCGAACCAAGTGCCGTCCGAAACAGTCTCGTTCTTGAAGGTGGCGCCGAGGTTGCCGATCAACTTAGCCTCAGGCTCCTCCTGGACAGTCTTCTCCTTCGTCACCTCCTCCTTCTTAACCTCCTCTTTGGCCACAGGCTCAGCAGAGGTGGCGGGGGTGTTGGCAGGGGCCGCACTCGGCTCCATGTCCAAAACCGTCTGCACCTTGTTGGCGCTCAGGCTGCTCGTCTCCGCAGCAGGGGTGCTGACAGGTCTGTTGGCAAGGGAGGTGAACATCTTGGGGCGGCGGTCGCCCATGGTGGGCATACGACGACCGTTGTCGTGCTCGCCGGTGGTCGTCACCAAAACGTGGCGGACTGGCGTTCGGAACTTGATAAGAGGGTGCGTCTTGTTGTGAGTGTTGTTGGGGCTGGCCTCGCAGGTGGCGCAGAAGTCCTTGTTGTCACACACGGCACACTTGTAGCGGTTACCACGGATTGGGGTGTGGAAAAGGCCGTTGGAAGCACAGTGGGGACCGTCGCAGAAGATGCCGTTGTGGATAACCTGATCATCTTCCTTTGTCATGACAGCCTCAGCAAGAGGTTCATAAATGGGGATGAAGCGATGGTCGGGGTGAATGAAACCAGCGTTCAAGACACAGTCGGAGCAGTAGTCCCAGTCGGGGCAGTCGCTGCACTTGTGGCGCACACCAGTGATGAACGCCTCACAGCCATCGCACACAGCGTTGTGGCGGTAGCCACGGCCGGCAGATAGGCGGCGAGTCACGTTCCAGCCGAACTCAGTGCCCTTGACAGCGGGCTGGAAGGCGTGCTTGGGATGGTGGCCGTGGTCGTTCTTCACGAAGCAGGCCTTGCACAGATCAAAATCGAAGCACTCAGTACAATGCAGGAACTCGAACTCGGGCAGTTCACGAATGCAGTTGTTGCAGGTGCGGATCTGGTACTTGCGGAACGCCTTCGTGCGAGCGGCATCATCCGTAGTCGCGGTAGTGGGCTTGACATCCTTAGCAGCACTGGCCACCGCAGGTACCTTCTCTGTAGACGTCACAGGAGCCTTGTCCGCAACCTTCTCCGACGTGGTGGCAGACGAGGCAGGCTTCGCCTTAGGCGAGATGCGCTCAGTCGTGCTGTTCACAATCAGGTTGTTCTGAATGTTGCGACGGATCATCCAGTGCTCCGGGTTGTAGCATGTGATACCAAGCTCGATGCAGGTCTCGCAAAGGTCAAAATCGCCACCCTCGCAGGTCGAGCAGTGGTAGTGGGCGTCCGGAATCTTGCGCTCGCAAGAGTTGCAGCACACAGTGAAGGCGGCACGCGGGGCCGTCACTGTGGCGTAGGTAGCAACAGGGGGCGTGGCCTTTGTGGCAAGGTTGGGCGTAGGAGAGGCAATGGTCGCGCTCGAGTTGCTGTGGGCCCAGGTACACGGATAGTCACGCGTGTACTTGGCGACCGGGATGGGCTTGGGCTTCTGGGCCTCATTCGAGGTAGCAGGTGTCGACGGTCCTGCGAGAGGGTTGACGGGAGTCCTGGCTGGGAAGGTGAACGTCGAGAACGGATCGTGGTAATAACCAGACTGAGGCGGGATCGGACCAGGCTGCTTGCCGCTGGTGTTCGAGTTGAGGTTCATCTGTGCAATGGATGCTTCCACGATAGCCAAGTTGCGGTCGGCTAGATCCTGGCGGCTCTGGTGGTTCTGGGCCATGCTCCGCATGGTCGCCTGGTAACGCTCGTCCAGTTCCTTCTCCCACTCGGTCTCAGTCTGGCCTTCGGGGAAGTGGCCAGGAATGTCGGGGTACGCGTCGATGCACCGCTGAACAACATCGGGAGTGAGCTCGTGGGGCTTCTCCTTGAACTCTGTCAGAGCTGCGAAGGCGCTCTTGAGCGAGGCCTTTGAGGAGCTCGCAATTGGGATAGCGGAGACCGCGGCGGAGGCCACAGCGGATGCCGCGGCGGTAGCCGGCACAGAGCCCAATGTAGTGGAGGCTTCTGCTGACGGGGCGGCCGGAGTTGGGGCCGGGCCAGCGATAGTGGCAGCAGGTGTGGATGATGCATTTGGAACTGCTTCCGGGATGTCCTCGATTGTGACAGGGCGAGGACCCGTCGATTTGGGCGCGTCCTCAGCTGTAGTCTGCTCGGGCGTTGCGCTCTCGGTCTCGTGGAAGACAGCACGCAGCTTAAGCTTCTGCTTGGCCTTAGCAGCCCGCAGTAGCTGCCGGTATGCAGCCGGGTTTGTGCTCACGAGAGGGATGTTCTTGCCGGCCGAGTCTGAGAATCGTTCAAAATGGCATGGCGTACGTTCGGGAACAGCAAGGAACTCGCGAAGCTAGAGATGAGGGCAGCACAAAGCCAGCACAGCGTCAGCAATCAGAAGCTGTAGCACATATCGAGAGAGGGAAATCCTACCTTCTGTTCCAAGGCCGGCAGGCCGTCTGCAAGAACTCTATAGGGGATCTTGGTCTTCTTGTGTGCCTTGACGTCGTCTTCCACCGCGATTTTAACAGCGATGGGCGTGTCGGGCTGGATTGGCATAGATGGCGGCATTATCGGTGGCTGTATTTCGTAAATAGTATATATTTGCCGAAAATGCAAAAACGCAGTGCATTAGGTGACGGAGGTGACAACGGCACAAGTCGTATTCTAGCATCATCTGAATTAGTATTTATGGCCAACTCAGAGACAGTACACGACGCTGTGGTAGGAAAGCCCGTGTGCAAAAGACAAAATGAGCCTGAGGCACTGATAAAACTACCAGCAAAAACAGGAAACGTATAGAGCAGAAAAGTCAAAATAACAATGCGAAAAGATGATGCATCAGGAAATGATGGACAGTTCCGAAGCCGTATACTTCAAGTGTGCCAAACAAGTACTCGGCCATCGACGTGTCCAGAGCTCTTAGGACAGTTGGAACGATGAAAGGCCCAGTGACAAACATGCTGTCCCATCAGGGAAATAATGAGAGCAGGCATTCGAGGCAGAACAATATCGCGAGGAGATGTGTTGACCACATCTGAAGAGAGTCAGGACTTACATGTGCGAGGCAGGTAGTTCGAGCACTGGAGTGGATGCGATAAGCTCGTTGCGTGGACAGGACTGCAGACAAACGTCGATAAGAACAAAAAAGAATGCAAATGGGAGATGGACAACAGAGTTTGCGAACGTCAAAATAGAAGATTGATGGAGCGACGATGAGACGGGATACCGTCGATATTAATGAGGGGAAAGAAAGAGGAAAGAAAGCGAAGGAGGAGGGAAGGTGCGACCGCTCTGGTTTTGTCGGTGAAGACAGTGTGTTGGCCTGAATAGCAGGGCCAACTCCCGCCATAAGGGAAGGCGCCGACGGCGGAACGAAGGCTCCAGGCAAGTGTGGGAAGGAGGGAGGCAAGAGCGTGGTTGTCCCCCAGCAGGGGCCGTTTTAGAGAAGGTACAGGAAGGCGTCATGGTCATTGGTCAGCGAAGGCACTGAAAGTGGGGCAAAAGAGAGGAGTCGCCCTAAAGCCCGCCCCCCAGGCAGTCAGATAATACGAATCGGGGGTGGTGTCTACGCAATAGGTGGGCAGGCTTGCAAAAGAGCACCCATGGACAGTGAACGAGTACAGCAAGGCGAGTGAAGAGGCAGAGGCCCGCAGCAAACCTGGGACCGTGAAACTGAGGACGGCGAGAACTTACGCATGAGGCGACGTGTGGGCCCCACCTACCTGCCCAGCCTTTGGAGAGAGAAAGGGAATGGCGGTGGGGCGGGGATGGAGGTCACCCAATTAACGCCATGTAAGCGGAGGAAAGGTGCAAAGGGATGCAAATGCGGCGCGAAGGGCAGGAGCGAAGGGAAGGAGCGAAACACTGCCGTCAGTGCCACTTTCCCATGGGTTTATTTGGTGCCCTGTTCGAGATCTGTAGGTCTACCGAAGGTCCTTTCGTACCTTCCCTATTCTCTCGCGGGCAGTTGGTCATGTCCCAAGAAACTGCACGTCGACGGTGGTCTAAACACATATCCGGCGATCCAGCATTGTTAGATACTTACAGGGCCGCCGATGCCCGACTGCGTATCTTACGCGAGGAAGGCCCTTGAGTGATAGCAGTCAATTCAGGCAAGCGATGGCGTATTTAGTGGATAACGGCGTGAATAAGAGCACATGCCCAGAAGGGAAGTGGGGCGTCAGGCGGGGCCAAAAGTCTAAACCCGTCAGAGCCCTCGTGCCTCTATCGCTGGTCTACGGCGTCATGCCCTCGCAGCTCTCGCAGCTCTGGTCCAACCGGGCACGTTCGGCTCATTCACACAACGATGTACAGAATACAGAGTGCGAAACACCTTTACAGAGGCTTACCCCCCAAAAAATTAGAGGCCGCGAGGCCCGTCCGCATGTTTACGTGGAGTCTGCAGTGACAAGTATGCTGTACCACCCAATCGAAAACAAGGAAAGAGCGGCCGGGCAAAGGTTAAGAGAGCTGTATCGTAAAGTTCAAGGAAAGGGCGATGGAAAGTCGGCCGAGGGGCAAGTGACTGCTCCAGCGAACCCCTATTCTGTCTTTCTTCTTCTTCTTTTTACCTTAAACACATACAACACTTACAAAGCCTTTGCCATTATGGCAGTGATAGTTGAGCTGCTCAAGCAGACGCTAGACAGCATTCGTCTGTCTACTGGCTGAGATCGTAACGGCCTTTAGTTTTCAATACCCTTGCCAACACGAGCGGCTTTGCTTTGTTATCCTTGGCCACGCCCAGCCTGATGGAGCTGACAGAGCCCTCAGCTCTTTCAAGCTCCTCGCCCCAGGTTACCCGAGAGCTCCGTGCCCACCGCCAAGGCCCCGCAGGCACCAAAAGAGACGGCGTCACGCGTGGCAAACGGCGAAGGGACAGAAGGTGATACGGCATTACGAGATCACCATGAGGCGATTTTCGGGATAAAATGGCAACGTACTCGTCACTGAAGCGGTGACAAGGCTGTTGCAAGCTGACGACGTCAAGCATCGAATATGGCCTATGTGTAACGCCAGGCCCGGACGTTTTGGCATCCTTTACTCCGTGCTGCGAGACTGAATACTTGACACAGAGCCAATTTGTGAGAGGGGAGTATACTGAAGTCACGCTCTTCCTTTCGATAGGACGCATAAAATCGAGACCTCAAATGAAAGCTCTATGTGTTATCAACAATCCTACGTCACCACCCACAAGCAAGATTTCCAACAGTCCACAAGCAAGTGGACAGTATTACAAAGTACCTTCTCAGATACAGAAGTAAGCTCGACTCGAGCTCGATGCAATGCCGTTGGTCCCTCGCCCATGTTGTCTCTACCCCCTCTCTGCTGCAGCATTAGCGTGGGCAGACAAACGGGCATTGGAGTGCTGAAAATGGACAGTGGCCCATAACTGGCAGCCTGACGTCGAAGCCGCACCTTGGTTTCTCATTTTGTCCACGCTGATCTGGTTCTCATTGCTTCGCTATGGAGGCGGTAATTACGGCGTGAGGTACGCTGACCAGCATTTGAGCAAACAAAAGGCGACACATGACGAGAGAAGCTTGTAGGCCAAGTGCTCATTACGCCGAAAAACAAAGAAGGCATTGGCTGAAGCTTCGTCATGCAGGACATGTGGGTCTGCAACGCAGACAAGACAAAGCTGGTCGTCGGCATAGGACAAGACCATAATACCGACATTCGCTTCTTTTCTGCTATTGATTTACATTGGACAATTTAATAATCGAGTCAGCTTCGACGGTTGCCTGTCTTGGCCAGCTGGGCCTGGACCGGTCTGGGAAGGCGGAAGGCAACTCGACAGCAAACAACGAAAATGGCCAGAAGCATGAAAGCAAACGAAACGAGAGCACACATCTGGGATTCAGAAGAGGTGACAGAACAAAGTCTGTCACTGCCTAGAACGTCGAGTCCCTAATTCAGATTGAGCCCAGACGGCTAGCGAGAGGGGGTTGGACAGGCTGGTGGGATAGGACGAAGACGCCGCCACCCGTGTTTGTGGTGGCCCCCTGCGTGTCTCAACATGTCACATTGCTTCGGAAAGCAGGGCAACTGGACACCGGAAAGCCAATGGCATGAAGAGAAAATTAAGCAGGTCGGAAACATACAACTTGGAGAGTCGACTCGGTTCCCATCAGCAAACAATGTCAAGACGCAGGAAATTTCAGATCAGTCTTGCCTTGTCGATTGTGACGAATAAGTAGGGAGGGTGGCCGAGTTGCCCAACGATGCGGCTCTTGCTCATGTTCGCCTGCCTGTCCGCCCTTTGCCCAATTGTCAAGACAGAGAAATGGCATACAAACAGAACAGGTATTGTTCGACCTCAAAAGAACCTTTGAACGAGGCTTTCTGCCGCCTCGCGTCGCCTTGCCAAACTTTTGAGCCTCGTCGTCCTTCCTCCCGTAATATACCGCCCAACCAGACCGACTGGTCGGGGCCGAGCTCTTCTAATCAGTCCCGTCCATCATGTTTGCGTTTCTTCTTTTCTTCTTTTTACCCTCCTTTTTTACCAGCAATTCGGTCTCGTTCCGAAACACAATTCTCCGATGAACACATTGATCGGCCGCAAAACTAGTAAAAGCTATGTGGACTTTCGAGGCCAAATGCAATTTGGACAAACAATCAAACCGAGACTGTACTTCGAAAGCCCCATAACTCTGTGCACGGCCGCTCGCAGGAGGCTGATGTCCGTTTTCGTTTGATACCCGATATGAGAAGGATCGGAAAGAAAGAAACAATGTTAGGCCTGGGCGTGCGTATATAGTGCGAGACTACGGAGCACAACATATGATATCAAGGAAATAAACGACCAACCAAAAAAAAAAAAAAAAAAAAAAAAATCGATAGCCGTCGTCCCTAGCCACAAAGAGGAAAACAAGTGTAGATTACACAACGATCATGCCCATCTAGATCGCCGTCGGTGAAATTCAAGTGCTCCGCTACCGGTCCCAAGACCCATCAAGAAGGTTCTTCAGCGTCTGCGTCAATGCCGCCTGGTCATATCGCCCCATGGCTTTCTTGGACGCTACAGTGGCACCGTCTCTGACATCCTGGTTCTCTTGGCTTGCCTGGGTCAGAACGGCGAGACACTGAATCCCAAGATGACCTAGAGCTACCTTGTTCACCTCTGGCGCGGCACTGCAGCTTGAACCGCCCATGTGCGGCGCCGAATCCAGATAGACCAAATGCGTCACATATCGATGGCACTCGCTGTCCTGCACTGGACTGAAGTCCGACTGGCTCTGCTTGCACGCCGCAACAATCGCACGCACAAAGTCGACAGCTGTCATCGCCTGGTGTCTCGGTCCTGTCTCACGGTCGAGTCGGCTGTTGAGGATGAGTACCTTCTTTCGAGGCGGCTCGCTGCTGTCTTCCTTGTCGCCATTATGTGCTATTGCTGCTCCAACACCCCGCAGCACAAGACTCGGGATGATGCTGGTGTAGAGACTTCCGATGCTGTAGATGATGGCCTCGGCCTTCTGCAGTGCCGCGAGGGCTTTCGGGTTGGCTTGTGGCCGAATCTCGTGTCCGTAGGGATTGATATACCAAATGCGGGAAATGCGCGAAGGTAGATCCTCTTCGTCCTCTTTGCTGAAGGTAATCTGTGGTTGCCGGAGCGCCGGCAATGATCCAGGCAACGTTGCGTCCTCAAAGTCAACGGCCGTGCTAGCACGTTTCCGTGCCTTCAGGCCAGAGCGAAAGACAGGGCCAGGCCCGGAAGGAACACGGCCATCTGCTGGACCCACATCGACTTCTCCGGCGCCATCCATTTCACCGCCGCCGCCACCGCCACCTGTGGCGTTCCCGGTGGGCGGCCCTCCATCCGGCAAAGCTGTAGGCAACGATGGGTGGCTGATGTTTACCTGCCCAGCAATCGTCGTCCCGTCAACGAGGCCGGCCGAAATGTGGTGCGTAAAGTTGGAGTTGATTGCCGGCAGTACAGCAACGTGGTCCGGGATACCGCAAAGCAGGGATAGGAGGAAGATGCCGGCTTCAAAAGAGCCCGAAAACAGACGAGCACCAGTTAGAAACAGGTTACCAACACTGGCACCGGCAAAGTTGAATACGGACGTCGAGGGCCGTGCCCGCTTCACAATCTCGAGGTTGAGCGTATTGAGAACGGCGCGGATCAGCTCACGCGTCGCACTGGGAACAAATGTCCACAGCAAGTGACGGGCCTCAACGAGATCCAGCCACTCGGTGCGCGCCTGGTTGGGGTCGGATGCACAAAGCCGGTGCTCAAACAGCGCTCGGAGAGCCCCCCTCTCGTTTCCTTCGTCATCGCTCGAAGGGATGAGACGTACAAGGCGGCCTAGGTTGACACATTAGTTTGATATGCAGGCTTTTGGAATATCCGACAAGGCATGTCCACATTCCAAAATAGAGTTGTTGACATACTTCGCACATCGCCCACGCCTGCCGTATTGCAATGTTAGCAGACCTTCGTCTTCGTCAATCAGCGTGGGGGTTTAAGTGGACACATCTGCAGGCCACGTACTCGGGCCTCCAAAGAAACGAATTAGTTCAGAGGAGCTGCCGCCGTTGTCCGAAATTGGGATGATATAGGTAAGCGAACATGGTGGCTTGTTCTCTCGTTGTCGTGTCGTGTCACCCTTGTCGTCTCTCGACAGGTGCTTGGCCACTGCTTGGAAGGCGTCTACGAGTGAGTTCGCTGCCGTCCCCCCGGAGAAGACACAGACACCGTTCGTCACAGAGTCAGCCGCTGTAGCATCACCGTTCGGGGTGAAAGTCGCTGCTGGTGCTATGGCCTGCATGGGTGATGACGAGCCGGGTGATGCAGTCAGGTCGGCCGACGTCGCGAGGATGGTGGCGGGACGGATGGGGGTCCCTGTTCCGTCGTCCATTGCCGTGCAAGGAGTGAATGCTAAGGATCAAATGAGGTAAACAGAAAAGAGCGTCGGCGCCTCTAAGAAGCGAAACGTTACAAAAAGGCAAGAGCCACAGCCCTCCCTTTATATTGTTCGTCCGTCGACCTCAATTGGCAGGACCTCAATCTTTAGAGATACACGTTACAAGAAGGAGCTACCATGCTTACAACAGGGCGAGGCTCTGGTGGATGATAGCGGGAGCGGGGCTCTCGCCGAAAGGTCCATCTCTACGCCCAAGCTGCAAAATAAGCTAGAAACGAGCAGACATTTCCTTGTCTTCTTCCGTCTTACGACTCTCGCATCGATCCAGACAAATGAATTCTGCGATGGTCTCAACATCTACACCAACAGCCTTGCATGGTCAATGTCGAATATGGGCATCTGACAGGCCAGGAAATTAAATATTCGCTGCGCCTCAGTGCCCAGTGTGGATTTTCACATAATACGGACCCATTTCTGAGCTTGAGAAGCGCAAGTTGCGCAATATGCCGCCGGAGCTTTGCCGTGGTTTTGCAATCGTGTCCCGATCGAAATGCTTTTGCTGTGTTTCCACCGTCTTCATAAGTCAAAGTCGTGTGCTTCTAGAATGCAGACGTCTGCACTAATTCATTTAGCGTCTGAGTCACGCGAGTTGTTGTAAGTGCCTGATATCGAGCAAATATCGTCTTCTCAGGATATGTGCTAATTTTGTAGGAAAGGAAAACGAAAGCACGAAATTACAATAAAAATTGTATTTCTTGACTTCCAAGATAACTAACACAGGGGTAAACAAAATACGTGGACAAGTGCCACGTTTTGTAAAAATAAACGAGGACATAGTCGTCACAAACTTGTACATTTGCCAAGACATCATCCATGCCTGTAGCCTGACCATGAATCCATCACTGCACGTTGGAAAAAGAGTTACACATAATTTAGAAGTCAATTGACACGCTTTAGAATGAGAATTATCCAAGTATGAAATAAGAGCGCGATGGAAGATGCTGCAACGATATGCAATCCGCCGGATTATGACAGTGGTTTGGAATGCATGATGCCAATGATTTACCGGATGGAATTCCTGTACACGGACGAGGTACGGAAGAGGAGGAGTACTAAAAGATGGGGACCAGATGAAAGGGAATGAGATGAAGAACGAATGGTATTGGCCAAGCATTACTGCGGATAGTACATCATGCCAGGTTGCCCTCCATAGTAGTATCCTTCAGCAGGTGCCGGCGTGACCATGGTGCCCATACCGGACATGAATCCGCCTTGCGGTGCCGGTGCTTGGGCATATCCCGGATAGGTTGGTACCGAGGGCATCTGGGAAGCATCCACGTAATATACCATCCCATTCACCTCCTGTGCGACCATGTTGCGAGGGCCAGCACTCGCTCCGCCGGATGCATCAACTTGACCTGGTTGGCCATAAGCGGACACGGGACCTTGTGGCGCGCCACTAGGGACGAAGCCTGGCATGTTGGCTCCGGAGGTCATAGTTGACGGGTACGTTGTTGGAGTGGCGTAGTAGTATCCTTGCTGCTGCGCAGGTTGCATGACATAACTACCTGGGGCGCCGGCGTAATACGCTGGCCCGCCAGGCGTGCCTATGTTGTTTTGCTGCGGGTATGACATCTGTTGCTGGCCTGGCATGTTTGGCTGGAAAGGAGCAGCGTGGATGGCCCGTTCGGGAATTTGTGATAAAGGCGTGCCCGTGGTGTGGGATTGATATGATGGATGCCGCGAGTGCGATTCAGCGGGCGGGTAGCCAGACGGCATTGAAATAGGCACCTGCTGGTGGAATGCCATAGAGTACGGCTGCGGCGCTGAAGGCTGCATGGCACCAAGCGCGGCGGGGGATTCGATATTTTCGACGGAAACAGCTTTCTGCGGCCGGGGTTGGTGCATAGGCAGACTGAGACTTGGTCGGTTTTCTTGGAACGTCGGCTTCTGCGGCAGTGGATGGTGCTGAGGCGGTGGGACGCTACTGAGCGAAGAAGTCTCCGAAGGCTGGTGAGACTGGGATGGTTGGGAGGGCTGTGAGGGCTGTGATTGCTGCGATGTTTGAGATGGTTGGGAGGATTGAGTCGGTTGAGGAGGCTGCGGTGGCTGTGATTCCTCAGACGCCTGGGCCGGTGGGGCAGGCTGTGATTGCCCAGGCTTTTGAGAACTGGGCCGCGAAGGTGAAGGCGGAGGCCCTTGCGATGGTTGCTGGTTCGGCTGCGGGTTCAAAGCCGGTGCTGCCGGCAGGGGGGCATATGGAGGCTGTTGCTGGGAATAGGAGGGCATGGGAATGGGGGCAAGCTCCATTGCAGGAACGATCATGGGACCGGGCACAGCTGCAACGGGCATGCCCACCGGCATACCAACGGGCTGAACAGGGGGTCCAGCGGCAGGCGGTAGACGCACGACCGGACGGGCTGTGTTTTCCATCGCCATGGGCGGGCGGGAAATAACCGAGCCGGCTGGTGATATAATGAAGTCCCTCCCGGTGTCTTGGGCAATAGACGAACGACGACTAAGAGCGACACTGGGGGAATACATGCTGCCGTTGTAATAGCTTCCACCAAAGACACTTGTGCGGCGCGAGAAACCCGACACGGAGCCCATAACAGACTTGTTGCGACCACCGCGGGTGCGCTGCTGATTGGGTCGCAATGCGCGAGGAATAAAAATAAACGACCGGTCTACTGCTGGGAAGATTTGCCGTTTTGGATGGCCTGGCAAATCGATGACAACAGCCTTGTCTCGCCGCAGCGGGGGCCGGTGGTCTGGTAGTTTGGTGTATTGCATGGCCTTGAACTTTTCAAAAAAGGCGGGCTCCTTCATCGGCGGGAAGAAAACGCGGACGGTCACGATACCCAGTGGCTTCTCGACCGACATGGACCTGTTGATGGGCGTGGAGCTCGGTGGACATGTCGGAATGACGGCCACGGGGGGAGGGACGCGGGTGCCACCAAATTGGCTGCCACCATATTGGCTTCCGGCATACTGGCTCCCAGCATACTGACTCCCAGCGTATTGACTTTCGGCATACTGACTCCCGGCGTACTGGCTGTTCGCGTAGTGGTTGACAGCGTCATAATTCTGGCGGCGGGGGATCGACAGGCGTGATGGGTTCGGTTGCGTGACCGCTTCGTGCATGTCATGAGTCCACGGTTGGCTGGCAATGGGATCGGCCTGATTGTGGAATTGATTACTGAGGAGAGTTAGCGACGTATTTTGTGCATGATGTGACAACAAACAGATACACTACAAAACGTGACATACTGCATAGGGGAGAACGATCCACCAAAGCCGCCACGGCGACCACCTCGTCCAGGCCTACCAAACGGTCTGAAGCCATTGGCAGCAGGGCCAGCACCGCGATGATCGTGCATAAAGAAGGCACCTCGGTTCGGTACAAATGAAGGATCTTCGTCTCTCCGCTGTTTGTAGAGGTCGTGTTCCCGACGTTGTCGATCGTACGCCGTCTCCCGCCGAGGCGGTTGAACTGACGACGACGAAACAATGGCAGGCTGGGGCTGTTTGATGGAAGGTGCCGTAGATTGTGGCTGGCTCGAAGGAGCGGATGTCGAGGACGCCTTTGCGGCTGCATCCACGGTGCTGTCCGCCGCATCGGCCGGTGTTCGCAGTGCGGATCCGCCGGTTGCCCCATTGCCACGCGCATATCCTTGTCCTCCGCCTGTCCGAGCAACCGGTCGTTTGTCGTGTGCCGGAACGGTTGGTGATGCATCGTCCACATTACTGGTATCACTGTCGTGCACCGCGTCTTGCTCATCGCTGGCGATAGAGCCTTCCGTAAGCGAGTCGTCGTTAACCAACTCCACGGTGCTATTGGCGCCGCCCTCGCCGACGTCTTCCTCTCCTGCACGCCGACGGCGGCCCACGGCCCTTATTCGACGAGATACATTGAGTTTTTGTGTGGGGTTGGGAGAGGGCGTGGCGGTAGCAGCAGCCATTCTGTGCCGCGAGGTTTGCCTGTAGCGGTAGTCGTCTCGCCCGTATATGCGCGGCCGAAAGCTCTGTTTGCGGAAAGTAGTGAAATGGCGATAGCCGCTAACGGTGTGAGAATGTATCGATGTCAGGGGGTCGGAGTCACGAGAGAGGTGGTCGAGGGCGGATGACACGGAGTCGTGTGAGAAAAGATGGAGCTTGGATGATGCGTGTTGACTTCAGTGTGCTTAGGAAGCAGAGTGGAGAGGATGCCGAATCGTTCGTTGTTGGATGAGGAAGGACGTGTCAAGACCCGCTGATATCGAGCTCGGTACGGCAGGAACTGGAACCGTCAAGGGCAGTAGGGGCGCTCAAGAGCGAAGGATGAAAGGTCAAGGGCGACCGGCAACGTAATATGACGGAAAGATCGAAGGCAAGGCGGGACGGAGTCCGGCTAGAGGACGAACGTGACGATGACGACAGACCAACATACGGCAGGTGCGATGGTGATGAAGTCAATGGCGTCGGGGTGGGCTGCGATGGATGACGGATCCCCGGAGCATCAGGCGGCAAGCAAGGAAGGAGCGTTCGAGTCGTAGCCAGCAGAGATGTCGTGGCTTGACTGTCTCGGACGGACTGTTGTTTCGATCTTTCCTGAGTAGATATTTGGGGATGGGGTTGAAGCTAACGCCGCCAGACAGTACAAAACAACAACGAAAAGAGGAGAAATGGCACTAGAGGGGGCGAAAGTGAATTAAACGGTCAAGGTGACTTGCTGTTGGTGCGAAACAAGCTGGCTCTAGGAGCTGGACGGTGCAGAGGACGACGATAAAGTTTTTCGATTGCAGCAGAAAGCAAACGTGCTGCAAAATAATGAGCAAAAAACAACGGCAATTCTGCGTCCAAAAACCGAGGGCACGATTACGATGGCACAGGAAGGCACGACCAGGACGAAGAACAGGAGGAAACGAGAGTTGCATTGGGAAAATTAGGGAGGAAATGCGGCAGGGCAGGTGCTGGCCCCGTCCCAGGCGTGTTGGGGCTGCTGCAGGGGGGGTGCTGAGTGGAGCTGTCGCCATAAAAGCTATGAATCCCCAGCAGCGCGGAGTGGCGCTTTCCTATTCTAATATCGGACAGCCAGTCCAGAGCCAGTTGTTTACTGAGACATCCTCCAACGGCAGAAAGCCACAACGCTAAGTGTGCAATATGGCTCCAGATTTCGGCAGCGGTCGTTGGTGAAGATTAAAGACAGCAAGAGCGATGCAGTGCATCAGTACGGCGACAAAAGCAGATATGGGAAACCGCGACTGGGGACATGGACGGCAGTGATGAAAACTAACGAGGCAAGGGCAATGGGCTCATTGACCAGTGGAAGCTGTATGCCGGACGCGACGTTTGTGACAAGGCAGCAACGCATGTTTACTCCTCTCTGCTCTGTGATTGGAAACCGATGTCATTGGAGACGGAGAATGACTGGTGGCGGCAAGTTTTGTGAAAACAGAACCTCTTGGGTCATTGGGCCAGTGGTCTTTTCTCGCATGCATTTCCACAGTCTCTATTTCTTCTTCCTGCCGTGCAACTTGACATATGTTTATGCGTGGCTGGACCGCTGGAGTATGCAGAAAGAGCAGTGGAGTTACACTCTTATGCTCCTGCCGCAGCAGGACTCTTTGGCTATCACCAACCGCCAAAATGGCAGGCATTGACACCAGTCGACGAAGCGTATCTAATGTGGGCCTCTTTGCTATGATGTAGTGGTTGCAGCTTCCTGTTTCCTCCCCCGCCCTCCTTGCTTTCCCCATCCCAAAGCCCGCTTCTGATGATGGATGCTCTTGTTGACGCTGGCTTTTCACGTACATCTGATCCAATGCGGAGCACTTTTGCACGGCCAATTTGTCAAGGCCTTTCTCCTCCCATAAACCAACATGTTGAGCTACTCCGTACATCTGAATGCACCGGCACCGGCACCAGCATATGAACACAAAATGCCTGACATTACACGATCTCTTTTGCTGGCTGCAGCTTCCCTGTGTCCTTCGTCTAACGAGGAAAGATCGGGCCTTCCATTTGCAATTCATACCGAAGCCTTGGCAAAAGGAAGGTGCAGCCACATTCACGATGAACCACTTGCATCGTAGCATCCGGCACATCGCACTTGCAAGGGCATCGCAGGACCTGCATTGTACCGAAAAACAAAAAAAAAAAAAAAAAAAAAAAAAAAAAAAAAAAAAAAAAAAAAAAAAAAGAAAATAAAAATCAATCCAAAACAGGGCACCAGAAAGTAGGGGCGAAAACCTGCGACTGGGCCATTCAGCTCGATGCCACTACGAACGAAGTACGATGATCGCTGCAGCATCAGACAGGGGAATGACCAATAGCAGAAACATGTGCAACAGATATGCACAGGGAAGGCGCGAAGGTGCAGCGTGACGAGTCATGACGACATCACCTTCCACAAACAGAAACAGTTTCTCGGTTAGGAAAGAACAGGTTTCTCGTCACCTCGTGAACTACGTGGCAGCGGTGTGCGTTGTTGCGACAGACCCGTGGCTGCCCTGCGCACCTTTTCGGCTGCTTTTCCTGATGCCATAAAAGAAAACAAGTCCCCAGTCGAACAGCCATTTTGACCTCGTCCTCTTTTCTGCTCGCGCTCTTCCTGTCTTCTCGTCAACCCTCGGCTCCCTCATCTGTCTTCATCTTGGCCCTGTAATAAATCTATAAACCTTGTTCACTTGCACAATACTTCCTTCGCTCAATCTCCCTAATCATTTTCCCTTGACACCAACTTGATACGCAAGACAGCATCGCCCATCATGCAGGCTGCTTTCAAAGTCCAGCAAGAACTGAAGGCCAGCCGCGGCCTTGAGCGGATCGTGGCCACGGTCAACAAGAACCACGCGCACAATGGTCTGAAGTCTTACGTTGCAGCCATGCGGAAGTTCGACTTCAAGCCCACGATGCCTGGCCCTTATCATATGGGTCTCCGTGAGTTTAGACGGGAGCGCGCCGCCGCTGCTGCGGCCAAGGCCGTCCCTGGTCAAGCTGATGTGCCCAAGAACGTGGACGCAGGCGACGGCACCGGCAATGTCGTTGCCGAGGACCAAGAGAGTGATGTCGAGTATATCTGTGAGGTGAGCATCGGCACGCCGCCTCAAAAGCTGCAGCTCGATTTCGACACGGGCTCAGCCGACCTCTGGGTGATCTCCACGGAGCTTCCGGCCAGCGATCAGAAGAACCACTCTGCGTTTGACCCGACAAAGTCGACTTCCTTTTCCCAGATGGAGGGGTACTCGTGGAAGATCCAGTACGGCGATTCCAGCTCGGCTTCCGGTGACGTTGGATCTGACGTCGTCTCGCTGGGCGGGCTGGACATTCCCAAGCAGTCTATTGAGCTGGCTAAAAAAGTCTCCAGCGAATTTGTCCAAAGCACCGGCGACGGACTTCTTGGCCTCGCCTGGTCGTCGATCAACACCGTAACGAAGAACAACACCGCCAGTCCCCAAAAGACACCAGTCGAGAACCTGGTGGCCAACAACGCGCTGCCCAAGGAGGCCCAGCTTTTCACGTCTTGCTTCTATAGCTCGCGTGACAACAACAAGGAGTCATTCTACACGTTCGGCTTCATCGACCAGGACCTTGTGACTTCCTCCGGCAAGAGCGTCGCGTGGGCCAATGTTGACAACAGCCAAGGGTTCTGGGAGGTCCCGTCCGCCTCTGCGTCTGTCGGTGGCAAGACAATTACCCGCTCCAACAACACCGCCATTGTTGACACTGGCACTTCGCTCTGCCTGCTCTCAGATGATCTCATCAAGGCTGTGTACGATGCCATCCCCGGCGCTAAGTACGATTCGTCCCAACAGGCCTACACGATCCCGGCCACGATCACCGCCGACCAGCTGCCTGCGTTCTCCGTTGCCATTGGCGATACGCAGTTTTTTATCCAGCCCGAGGACTTTATCTACGGTGATGCGCAGGATGGCGTGTACTACGGTGGCTTCCAGTCGCGGGGTAATCTGACCTTTGATATCCTCGGCGACGTTTTCCTGAAGTCGATTTACGCCGTAAGTTCAAAGACCCTCCCCCGAATCGTGCCACTCTCTTGAAGTTCAACTGTTGCTAACAATGACAGATTTGGGACGTCGGCAATGTCCGTTTTGGCGCGGTGCCTAAGATCGAGGCCAACCAGAACCTGGGCGACGGAACTTCGGCCTAGGTTAGCTGCCGTCGGCTTACATTTGGGTTGTAAACATGACATAAAACCTCTTGACGCTATTGTCGTATTCGGAGATGGGAGTATCGCATGCGCGTTGTATTTGCAGTATGTTTCATAGTTGTGCTTCGTTTGACGGCAAGTTGTTTACAGATGACGGCCCGGCATTTGTCTTTTCTTACCGGGGGCAATGAGGCTGCCGTTTGACGCCCCCACGTGGTCCCTTGGCATCGCAATCCTATGTCCAAACACTTCCTTTAGTCTTTATTGATAAACAATAATTGCTTTTTAAAACTTGTTGATGGATTTAGATGTGCAACGTACGAATGTATTGTTCGCTATTATGATTTGGCCCTTTCTCCGTGACGTATTATACAAGACGGTATGCTATATACAAACCTACGTTTACCATGCTGACATGCCTAGAACAAAAGTTCATGCACCGGAGTCTACTGAAGGTTGATTTTGCCAAAGAGATAACCACGAACACCGTTGCTCAACCAGCACTCCTCGCCGTGCTGCAGTGAATCGGCCTTGACCTCTTCCTCTACAGCAAGTTTTCTGAAATCAATGTTAGTAAGGCGTAGTTCGAAATGGGGAGAAGCCAGAAGAAAGTACCGTTCTAGAGCCCATCGCCGAGTCGTCCCATCCAGACCGCCGCTGCCGCTCTCCTTGCCGTACTTTGGTGGCACCGGCGGCGTCACCCAGCGGCCGTTGCGCCAAAAGTAGACGGTGCTGATACTGCCGTCCATAATTACGCCACTGTCGGAGTTGACGAGCAGCACCTCCTTGCGCTCGGGACCTGTGATTCCAGCGCGCATGCGGGCTGCGTCGTACATCTGCCGCCGTGTCGTCTTATAGTGCGTGTACGGCGACGATGAGGTCTTATCAACATCCACGGTTACCTCGTACGGCGTCTGGCCCATGGCTAAACGAAGCTGCTGCAGAAGCGGCAATGCATCTTCTGAGCCGTCCCTGCTCGTGTTATTTGAGTCTGACATGAATCCCGGTGCGGGGAGCTCCGGCGGGAAGAGGCCGGCGAGAGGCGTTGCTGTCGCGCCCGACACTTCACAACCGATCTGACCGTCCTGGCTCAGGGTGATACGGCACCGATTGGGTCCTCCGTTCTCGTTCACAACGGCCTGTTCCAAGACTTCGCCGAGCCGCTGTAGGCCTTCATCTCCCGACACGGCCGCGACCGCCGCTTCCCAGCCCCAATGCGTCGCTGCGCGGAGCAGGCGGTCGCGGTGAAAATCTAGCATGTAGAATGGAGACGACCGGCTGTAGTTCCATCCAGCATGCTTCAACTCTACGTTGCCAGCGACGCTCCGGAGCGCGGCATCATAACGAACGGAGCTGAACAGCTGAAAAGCGCTGCTGTCGGGTGCAGTCATGCTGCACAGGAAATCCTGAGACGGCCGGAGAAACACAAAATCAACAAAAAGAAATAAAAATCAACAATATAAAATCAAAGACGGCAACAGGTCGTGTGTCTAGAAACCATCGCCAGCTCCGAAATGCCAGCATGCAGTCAAGGTTCTGGTTGACTACCGAGCCCCCCTACAGTGCTTACAGTGGCTGTTTAGACCCCGTTTAGGCTACCGTTCTACAGTTCCTTTTGCATCTGCCAAAGCCCAAGTCTGCTGACGAATCAGAACGCCCTTTCGGCCTGAGGCAAACCCTCTTGCCTCTTGCCCGTCGTTACTGCTCGCCGCCACCACAACCCGCCACCCCTCCCCTCACTGGGCCCTCGGTTGGTTGGCCAGTGCGCGCTGCGTTTCTTTGGAACAGCGGGCTGAGGGCCGGTGTTAATTTTTTAAATTTTTTTTCCCGTGTAGCTCCTTCCCGCCCAAGCTGTAATGAGACTTGCCTGCGTAGTTGCTATTAGTGGATGGAGACCGACATCATCGGTGGGCAAAATCCGGTGCGGGAGGCAGAAAACAAAAGAAGCTGGCAGATCCAAAAAAAAGCAGTCAAAAAATTGGCGTTGAGAACCGTCTCGCCACGCACCACCTTCACCAGTCTTTCTCGAGTACACCATTCCTCCACGAGCCGACCATAGCAGACTTAGAACCGCACATCTGATACGACGACAGAACACAGACATTGACTTATTAATTCCAATTCGCATATACTCTCGTCACACCGCCCAGCGCGAGACTTCGTATTATAGGAGAGCCCCCAAACCACAGCCCAGCCGAGAGCAGAGCGTCTTCGTACCCGACCTCTCGACCAACGCACTATAGCCAGAACACCATTACCACAGCCATGGCCGCACGACCGCCCATCGCATCGCCAGTGGCTGCGGTACCGCCGTTTCCGACCGGCGCCGCCATCAACGTCAACGTCCCCGAGAACTCGTCCGTCTGGGACCGGTTAACGACATGGGCCTCCGAGAACAAGGCCGCGGTCTACACAATTGCTGGTATTGCCGTGGTTGTGACGGGCGCGGGCGTGGTGTACTACTCGAAGAAGGCCGCGGCCCAGGAAGCCACGCCAAAGCTGAGCAAGAAGGAGCGGCGGAAACGGAAAGAGGCTGAGCGCAAGGCCGCTGCAGAGGGCAAGTCGGCGTCGGCGACTGAGAGCGACGACTCGTCGTCCAAGAAGACCACGGCCGCCTCCGTGGCCCCCGCCGCCGAGGAGGAGCTGCCCGAGATCACCGAGGCGTCGGTCGGCGCCATGAGCCTCGACGAGCGCAAGAAGATGGCGCTCAAGCTTAAGGAAGCCGGCAACAAGGCATACGGCGCCAAGGACCTGGACCGCGCCATTGACCTCTATTCCAAGGCTATCCTGTGCAAGCAGGACCCCGTGTACTACTCGAACCGCGCCGCATGCTACAGCGCCCTCAACAACTGGGAAAAGGTCGTCGAGGACACGACTGCCGCCATCAACATTGACGCCGAGTACATCAAGGCCCTGAACCGCCGCGCCAACGCCTACGACCGCCTCGGCAAGTACAGCGAGTCGCTGCTCGACTACACCGCCAGCTGCATCATCGATGGCTTCAAGAACGAGGCCAGTGCCCAGGCCGTCGAGCGCCTGCTCAAGAAGTTCGCAGAGACCAGGGCCAAGGAGATCATGGAGACCCGCTCCGCCAAGCTGCCCAGCCCGACCTTTGTCGGCAACTACCTGCAGAGCTTCCGCCCCAAGCCGCGCCCCGCCGGCCTCGACGACGACGCCGACCTCGCCGAGAACTCAGGCAAGGGCCAGCTGCGCCTGGGCCTGCAGTCGCTCGACAAGAAGACGGCCGACGGCTACGAGGAGGCGTCTGCCGCCTTCTCCAAGGCCGTCGCCCTCGGCAACCTCGGCGAGTTTGATGCGCTGGCCTACAACCTGGTTGGCACCTTTGCCTGCCTGCTGGGCAAGCACGAGGAGGCGCTGACCGCGCTGACCAAGAGCATCGAGCTGGACCCGTCCATGACACAGAGCTACATCAAGCGCGCGAGCATGAACCTGGAGCTCGGCGCGCCGTCCATGGCCGAGGAGGACTTTACCAAGGCGCTGGCGCAGAACAAGGACGACCCGGACATCTACTACCACCGTGCGCAGCTGCACTTTATCAAGTCCGAGTTCGGCGAGGCTGCCAAGGACTACCAGAAGTCGATCGACCTCGACCGCGACTTTATCTTCTCGCACATCCAGCTCGGCGTCACGCAGTACAAGCTGGGCTCCATCGCCTCGTCCATGGCGACGTTCCGGCGGTGCGAAAAGAACTTTACCAAGGTGCCGGACGTGTATAACTATCACGGCGAGCTGCTCCTGGACCAGGGCCGGTACCAGGATGCCATTGAAAAATTCGACAAGGCCATTGAGATGGAGAAGGAGACCAAGCCTATGAATATGAATGTCCTGCCCCTCATCAACAAGTCGCTGGCCGTGTTCCAGTGGAAGCAAGACTTCTCCGAGGCCGAGAAGCTGTGCTCCAAGGCACTGATCAGTACGTAGTCCAGGTCCCTGTCACTTTTTTTTTCCCCCCATGGTTCCCCGTATCGGTTTACACGTACTAACTGCACCACCTCCAGTCGACCCCGAATGCGACATTGCCGTCGCTACCATGGCCCAGCTTCTGCTGCAGCAGGGCAAGGTCACCGACGCCCTCACCTACTTTGAGCGCGCCGCCGACCTGGCCCGCACCGAGGGCGAGCTCGTTAATGCCCTGTCGTACGCCGAGGCCACCCGCACACAGATTCATGTCCAGGAGAAGTACCCGGCCCTTGCGGCCAAACTCCAGGGCATGGGCAGCGTCATGCGGTAAGCACGATAATAATAAAAAAATGAAAATGATGATATTCGACGTATATCAAGGATGAGGCAAAACAAGACGAACAGAGAAAAAAAGCATTCTTTTTGGTCTCTATTTTGGGGGTTTCATCTGTTTTACTCTTTTATTTTGCATTACTTCTAGAATCCATTCCTCTTTTTCCCTCTTCAACTATATCTCTCTAACTATATCTCTCTTTCTGCCCTTTTTGTCATTGGTTTTTCTATGGTTCTTGTTGGTCCTGCCTTTTGTAATGGTTTTGTATTTTTCTTCCCTGGCGAATTCCCCTATCCTTTTCAACTCTTCCCTCTACAGCAAGAGACACGACGACCCCGAAACGCCAAAATAATATGATCCAGAGGGCCAGAAGGGAAATACGGGAAACGTTTTGTAGGGAACAAGGGCCGCCGTGAGTGGCGCCGGGGATGTTGACAAGGAAGGTCAAGAGCCAGGGAACAAAGGGACTCGCTTCATATTTTTTGCCTGGGATCTGGGTACCTTCATTTTCTATCCTTCTTTAGGTGTCTGTGGTCGAACACTCTCCACACTGTATATAGCACGTCTCGAAAAGCTTTACACTCAAGTCTACGCAGTGACTCGTAAAAGTAGCAGGGACCGAAGAATCCGAGTTGTAAAAAAAGAAACCAGAAATTGTTATTCATATCAACAGAGGTGGTAATAGTATAACGAACCAAGGGAACAAAAAAGACTAATAAGTGGAAGGGCGGGGGCAAGATGTAGTATCTTTTATCGAAAACAGCAAAACAGCATACCATCAAAGCAACTTGCTCGCCAGCTCGGGTGGGAAGTCTGAACCCGAAAGCTGGCGCTTTATAGACACAGGGGTGTGGGGGGTCCGAGGCAGCCTCTCGGTCAGTGTAGGAGTCGAGAACGGAGGAGGCAAGACTGAACACGGCCACCCCCACAAATTAAGAGTTTAATATAAGGGGCAATCCCAAAAGATTCCATTGCTTTTCTGTTTGTCCAAGTGTAAACAAAATAAACATCTCAAAAAAGAAAAACCAATGGGCCTAGACGGCAGCCAACGAAATGTGGAGGCAGAGGAAATGTCGGGGTTCGAGACGCAAGATGTCGTCGGGTGACAACGGGTATCTCCTGCTATTGGCGACAGGTGGTAGTCGGGTGATGGAGATAGTGGAGGAGGAAAGGTGGGAATGAAACGGAGGCATAAACAAGAGGAAAGACGATGTATAAGAGGCGAGAAGTCGAGAAGGCGAAAAAGCACAGTCGAGTCGGGAGTCGGTCAGTCGCTGCCATCTCACTTGTTGCTCTTGGATATGCCGATGCCAAGACCAACACCCAAAGCGATGGCAAGGATAATGAGGACGACGACGAGGAAGCACCACCACTTGAGCTTGCGGCGCTTGCGCGCATGCTCAGTAGCACTGGCAACCTGCTTGTTGGCGCCCTCCAAGTTGCCGACAGTTGCGGTCGTCTGTTCGTTGACCTGGTCGAAGATGGGGTCCTGCTGGACGACGAGCGTGTCGAGGTCGTTGAACAGGCCGTTCAGCTCAACAATGGACTGCTCGATGCGCTGCAGCTCGTTGTGGCGGGCGCGAACGGCACCCAGGACGGCAGAAGCCTGGCCGGAGCGATTTGTCCGGAGCTGCGACGAAATTAGCAGATGAATGGGAGAGAGAAAAGAACGCGCAACGACCAGAGAGAGAAGGGACAAAGGGAGGATACATACAGCAGTCTGGAAAATGCCCTCGCTGCCCCAGTCGGCATCGGCGGCCTGGTTGACTTCCTCCTCGGTCGCGTCGGGGTTGACGATGCGGTACTGGCGGGAGATCTGCTCGCGGTAACGCTCGCGGTACTGCTTCTCCTCCGTCATGTAGCCCTGCAGCTCGCGCTTGAAGTCGTTGTTGAGGGTCTCGAACTGGCGCTTCTTGAGGGCGTGGGTGCCGTCAGAGGTGCGCTCGCAGTCGCGCTGCAGGATGCGGAGCTGGTTGCGAATCTGGGTGTTCTTGAGCTGGGTCTGGGAGACAAGCTGCTCGAGCTGCTGGGCCGCGCTCGGGTCGTTACCGCCGAGGGCGCGCTGATGCAGGCCGGCGATGGACTGGACGCTGGTCGTCAGGGCACGGATCTCGCCGCGCACGTTTGATACCTGGGTCAGGTACTCCTGCTGCGACATGACGGGCGCGCCTGCTGCAGGGTCTGCCTGGCCGTACGGCTGCAGCTCATGCTGTTCCTGAAGGGCAAGCAGAGCGGTTAGATGCTGGTGTAAACAAAACAATACAAACCACAGCATTGCGTATCCTGGATCACGCATAACGGTCGGTGCCGAGGCTTGCCATTCCGTCTGCTTCAACACGTTTTCGACTTACCGGTGCACCGTAGCCGTTCTCGGCGGCGCCGGCATTCTGGTATGGGTTGCCCTGGTACGGGTTGCCGGCCGGCTGGCCCTGGTACTGGTTGTAGGCCATGGCGGGAGATGTGTCTGCGTTCCGGACGGGCTCAATTGGTCGACGTCTTGACTGCAACTGCGGACGCGGATGCGGATCGCTACGCGCGGAGAGTTTCTGTTTGGGCTGTGGCTTTCGTTTTGTTTCGTTTCGTTTCGGACGCCCTTTTGCCTGGCGCAGGACCAAGGAGCGGTCGAAAAGGCGCACGGAAGCGGTCGAAAACGCGAAAAGGGGCGTACGATGATCCTCTGTTTCGCGTCGTCGAATTGTCAAAGGATTCCGACTTTTGTGTGAAATCGCGACGGCGATGCAGGCTCTGAAAATGCGCAAAAAACACAAAATAGGAAAAACGAAAACAAATCACGGGGAGTTTGCTTTCGTGTCCGGCGGCGTCCGGTAAAGTGGTAATGAGAAAGGAAAAGTACAGGGGAAGGGAGCGAGATTGGGTGGAGGGAAGAAGAAACGTGAGAATATGAGGAGAGCAGGGAAATTAACGTAAAAAAATATGTGTAAAAAATAATTGGGAAAATCAAGCAAGCACAAGAAACCAGGCCCAGACGACAGGGGACATGGGCATGTGCAGTAAGTAATCCTCAGCGGTCATTGCAGCGCTGCAGGCTGTTCGGAAGATGGGGCTAAAAACAAGCTCCAGTCTGACATTCTTGCTTCTTTGGGCAAGACGTGTGGAGCAAAGCTGTGCTCCGTGCTGCCATTTGCTCCTTCCAGTGAGATTCATGGCACAATGGTTTGCTCTTTCCCGGACTTTATGGGCTTTGCTTCAGTCGCCGCATCTTCGTTTATTTCTTTGCTCGCTCGCACTTGCTACATGAATCGATTGTTGGCGTGCGGCATGCTTTGTACGGAAGGCGCGCTGTGTGCTTCGTGTCGCCAGGCCTTGTTTAATTCTGCTGCCTTGACGCGCAGCGTTTGTGGAAGGTGGCTCTGGTGGACTCTCACCACTGTTACCTGAAGAAAGAAGGAGCGTAGGTAAGCTGGCAGTGTGGATCCGTTTTGCAACAGTTTACGAGTGCACTATCGATACGCAGGGAAGGCGCCCCACTCGCAGGTTGACGAAAGTGGCTGAGGCCTTTCCGAGGCGAATAACAGAGAAGAAAGGACTGAAAAGTCAAAACGGAATAGCCCCGGCTTCTGCGGATACAACATATATCCTTCGAGCCAGCAGTCTTTGACTTTACGGGCTGACAAGCGCCGTCAGCAGATGTGGACTGGCTACAGAAACAACAAGAGAAGGAGGCTGACGGTGGAAGGCGGATTGAGGAAGGTGCGACCTGTCCAAGTCCACACTCTCAATGGCACACTAAGTCGGACAGAGCGGCGTTTTGTCGGCCTGCCAGAGGCGATTGAGGAAGTCAACTCGAGAAATGAGCCTGAAATGAGGACCAATACACCAAACCATGAGCAACGACGCACAGGCAAATACTGGCAGATGAAGATGAACACTGAGCCTGAATAACGACCGGGCACCATCCAACATCTTTCCTGTTTTGGACTAGCGCCAGATTGAGTTTTAGCGATGCGAGAGAGCGGGGCCAAAAACAAGGGACGGTTCTGGCAAGACCCCCAGGGCCCGCAGTTGTGTAGCAAGGGCCTGGCCACTGTTTATCCTCAGTATTACGGAGTCAGTATTACCTAGAGACGTTCACCGTCCCGCCAACCCCATCGGTGCAAATACGATCCCAGCGGCCGCGTCGCCCAGCTTGGCCGGTCCCGTACCCGCATCCTTTGGAGGGCGGGTTCATGAGGCTGAGACTTGGCCGCAAAAGCAGGTGTTGCTGAGAGACAGTGTCGAAAACGTGAATCCGCTTGCAAGAACCAGTCTTTCTGGCCCTTAAAATACGTCACTTGTCGCCCATCGCCTTTCAGGCAAGGCTGTGGAGAGACATGCACAGCACTTTGTGCAGTCGATAGTCTGGTAGTCTTTGCTGCAGGCCGACAAAAATAGAAGTGGAAATAGACATAAACTCTGTTGCCTAACCGAGAAGCTTTTCACAAGGCTAGCTGGTCGAACGCGGATTGGCAGTGGCAGAGTGGTTCTCAATACAGTTCACGAAGTTCTCGCATTTGTGCTGAAAGATAGAGTTCGCTTCTAATCCATTATGCTATTTACAATGAGCTATGATCGTAACGTCATGCACATCATGTGCGGTATGTGCAGCAGTGTGCTTGTCCGCCAAAGCCAAGCAGCCACACTGATGCTGACGGAATGGTATGCTGTGGTCTGCTCAAGGGCAACGCGCTGAGTGATTCTGTTCGTGCCCGGCAGCCCGGCAGCCGTGGTGCCTCGTTTCCGGTGTCGAATGCCTGCCCATCTTTGGACATTCTAGGGCTATGCTTGCCTGGAGGTCCTATATCGTGCATTCCCGTGACTGTGGAAATTCCGTAAGAAATCCCGCGAATTGCCGCTTGTCTCTTCGCAGTGCCGAGCCGATTCTGTCTTGCCCCGGCTCTGTCGCTCCGCCGGATTGCCTAATCGTACCATCGCCCCCCTCACAAGTAGTCCTTCTTGCGGCTGGTCCGCGTAAACTGGTTCAGGTGCCACTCGACGTGACCGTCCTTGTTCTCCAGTGTGCCGCTGCGGATCTCAAACAGCTTCATCGACATGCGCGGGCCAACCTCGGACAGTTCCACGGCGTCGTGTGCCGTCCGCACGTACACGTAATGCCGCACCTCGATGACATCCTCAATGTTCTTGAACACCACCACGCGGTTCGACAGCTTGGTCTTGCTTGTGATCGGATCCCGCGGCGGGAACAGGTGCTTGAGCACCTTGCACACGCGCTCGCCCAGCCGGCTGGTGAAGCCCTCGAACATGAGGTGCGGGTACGCCTCGGACACGCTGCCGCGGATGCTGCCGGGGATGTCGCCGCGCATGAGCACGTTGTGGAGCGAGAAGGACACGGTCGGGCCGTGGGGGAGATGGGAGACGACCAGGCCGGTGGGCGTGCCGCGGTGCTCGGACAGGAGCACAATGTCGGTCAGGCCCGCCGAGTTGGCGGAGCGCACGCAGTCGTCGAGCACGAGGTTGCCGCGGTTCAGCCGGATGGACGTCGGGATCAGCAGCCGGATCTCCTTGCTGAAGGCCGTGAGGCGCGTCGACGACGACCGCGACGTCGTCACGAGGATGCGCGGGTCGACCAGGCCGCTCATCTGGGCGTACTCGTCGTCAATGTCGAGCTGGGCGTTGGCATCGAGGTCCTCGCGCGATTCGTCGTAGGCAAAGTCCTTGCGCAGTTTCTTGTCGCTGGCAACGGCCTTTTCGAGCGGCCGGCCCTGCGCAATGGCGTTGCGCAGCTTGGCGCGTTTCTCGTTGATCTCGGCTTCCTTGAGGATCATCGCCTTGCGGTAGAGATAGTCTCTCCGCTGGCGGACTGTTTTACGCTGGGAGAGTTAGCAGGCAGAACTACAGTGGTCTGAACAATACAATGGTGTTCCAAGAAAGAACATACAAGCATAATGGCGGACGAAGCGACGCTGCGAAATATGTGTGTGTGTGTGTGGTGTGAAGACGCATGCACAGTGTAGACGCACCAAGTCGTTGCCCAGTGTAGTAACTAAAAAAAAAAATTGGTGATAAGTCTTATCGATAAGCCAGGTCCACTCAAAAATTGTCAGTCTGGCACGTGACGAGCCTCGACAGGCAAAAATTGCTAACAAATACCGGCCAGCAAAATTGCCCCGCACACAACAGGCAAGGCTTGCTGGCTCCCCTGATAATAATCGACTGCGCTTTGCATGCACTGAACCAATCGTCGGAATCACGACGTCGACAACGCCCCTCGCGTTTGCCTCTCCTCTCCTTTGCAATCCGCCTCCCGCTGCCTTTTGCAACCAGGCACGCATGTCGCAACACCGCAGGCGGATGGCACTCAAGCGTCGACTTTCTTGACCCAAAACTACATCGACATTTCGAGACCCGACAAAAGTATCACCAGCTTCTTTCCAGCGCCCCATCGTCACCAACTACCATAGCGACAACAGAGCGTCCCTCAGCGCTCGCTACCACCGACCCACGACCCGGGGAGCCCCCTACCATGGAGGGCGCCTTCAACCATGTGGGCAACCACCTGATCTCCGACTCGGCGGCCGCCATTAAGGCTGACGACAACGACGACCTGTCTTCAATCGACCCCGACGAGAACCTGCTCTACAACAAGTATGGCGGGCACGACGGCCTGGGCAGTGCCACGCGCCGCCGCCAGGACGACGACGACAACGACAACGGCACCGAGGCTGCCTTTGACGACGCGGACAACGATAGCGTTGTGAGCGCCCTCGCCGACAACGTGCAATATGCCAAGCTGGAGCCCGAGGAGGAAGAAAAGGAGCAAGAGCTGCCTGCCCATGCTTGCGTGTAGGTTTCTTTCGTTTTGGTTTATTTCCCCCTCTGGCTCTCTGTTGCCGTCTCCGTCCGCCCCTCTTGTCCATGCTCTGCGCTAACTCTAACTCTGCCGCAGATACTGCGGCATCCACTCTCCCGCCTCTGTCGTCAAGTGCATGATCTGCAACAAGTGGTTCTGCAGTGCCCGCGGCAACGTTGGGTCCTCGCACATTGTCAACCATCTCGTCCGAGCCCGCCACAAGGAGGTCCAGCTGCACCCCGACTCCTCGCTCGGCGAGACTGTCCTCGAGTGCTACAACTGCGGCAACCGCAACGTCTTCATCCTCGGCTTCATTCCCGCCAAGTCCGACACTGTTGTCGTCCTGCTGTGCCGCCAGTCGTGCGTCTCCAACACCTCCGCCAAGGACATGAGCTGGGACATCAACCGCTGGCAGCCCCTTATCGAGAACCGCCAGTTCCTATCGTGGCTCGTTGCCCAGCCCAGCGATGCCGAGCAGCTGCGCGCCCGCCACCTCCCTGCCGCTATGATCGCCCGCCTCGAGGAGATGTGGAAGGACAACGCCAGCGCCACCGTCCAGGACCTTGATGCCGCCGCCGGCGTCGACGACGACCCGCACCCCGTCCTGCTCAAGTACGACGACCCGTACCACCACCAGAACATCTTCGGCCCCCTCGTCAAGATGGAGTCCGACTACGACAAGAAGCTCAAGGAGGCCCAGTCCGAGGACAACCTCGTCATCCGCTGGGACTTTGGCCTCAACAACAAACACATGGCCAGCTTCATTCTGCCCAAGATCGAGTCCGGCGACGTCAAGCTGGCCGTCGGCGACGAGATGCGTCTCAAGTACAAGGGCGAGCTGCGCCCGGCCTGGGAGGGCGTCGGCTACGTCGTCAAGATCCCCAACAACCAGTCCGACGAGGTCACCCTGGAGCTGCGCAAGACGGGCAACGAAAAGTCCGTCCCCACCGAGTGCACCCACAACTTCTCGGCCGACTACGTCTGGAAGGCCACCTCGTACGACCGCATGCAGTGCGCCATGCGCACCTTTGCCGTCAATGAGCTGAGCGTCTCGGGCTACATCTTCCACAAGTTGCTTGGCCACGAGGTCGCCGTTGCGCCCATGAAGACGACCCTGCCCAAGAAGTTCACCGCGCCCGCGCTGCCCGAGCTCAACGGCAGCCAGATCAGCGCCATCAAGGCCGTGCTGTCAACCCCGCTCAGCCTGATCCAGGGCCCACCCGGCACTGGCAAGACCGTCACCTCCGCCACCATCATCTACCACCTGGCCAAGCTCAACAACAGCCAGGTCCTTGTGTGCGCGCCGTCCAACGTCGCCGTCGACCAGCTGTGCGAGCGTGTGCACCGCACCGGCCTCAAGGTCGTGCGCCTGACGGCCAAGTCGCGCGAGGACGTCGAGTCGTCGGTCAATTTCCTGGCCCTGCATGAGCAGGTCCGCATGAACGACACCAACGTCGAGCTGGCCCGCCTGCAGCAGCTCAAGAACGAGATCGGCGAGCTGTCGAGCGCGGACGAGAAGAAGTTCAGGCAGCTGACCAAGGCGGCCGAGCGCGAGATCCTCAGCAACGCCGACGTCGTCTGCTGCACCTGTGTCGGCGCGGGCGACCCACGCCTGTCCAAGATGAAGTTCCGCAACGTGCTCATCGACGAGTCGACCCAATCGGCCGAGCCCGAGTGCATGATCCCGCTGGTTCTGGGCTGCAAACAGGTTGTTCTGGTCGGCGACCACAAGCAGCTGGGCCCTGTCATCATGAACAAGAAGGCCGCCAAGGCCGGTCTGAACCAGTCGCTGTTTGAGCGCCTCGTCAAGCTGGGCTTCTCGCCCATCCGCCTCGAAATGCAGTACCGCATGCACCCGCACCTGGCCGAATTCCCGTCCAACATGTTCTACGAGGGTTCCCTGCAAAACGGCGTGAGCATCGCCGAGCGCCTGCGCAGCGATATCGATTTCCCCTGGCCCGTGGCCGACACGCCCATGATGTTCTGGTCGAACCTGGGCAACGAGGAGATCTCGGCGTCTGGCACCTCGTACCTGAACCGCACCGAGGCGTCCAACGTCGAGAAGATTGTGACGCGCTTCTTCAAGGCCGGCGTCAAGCCGGCCGACATTGGCGTCATCACGCCGTACGAGGGCCAGCGCAGCTACATTGTCACCACCATGCAGAACACGGGCACCTTCAAGAAGGAGAGCTACAAAGAGGTCGAGGTCGCCTCCGTCGACGCCTTCCAGGGCCGCGAGAAGGACTACATTGTGCTGTCCTGCGTGCGCTCCAACGAGAACCACGGCATCGGTTTCCTGTCCGACCCGCGCCGTCTGAACGTCGCGCTGACGCGTGCCAAATACGGCCTCGTCATCATCGGCAACCCCAAGGTCCTCGCAAAGCACGACCTCTGGTACTACCTGCTGGTTCACTACAAGGACTGCAAGTGCCTCGTCGAGGGTCCCCTTAGCAACCTGCAGCCGTCTCTGCACCAGTTCAGCCGCCCCAAGAACAGCCACCGCCCGCCGCGTGTGTTTGGCAACGGCATCGGCAACGAGACCAGCAATGCCGGCCTCGGTGTGGGCGGCTTGGGCAACGGTGGCGGCCACGGCGGCCCCGGCGGCCCCGGCGGCCCGGTCGGTGCTGGCGGTGGCCGCTATGGTCACCATGGCCAGCACAACAACCACGGTCACAACGGCAGCGGTACGCGCGACTTTGACACCGGCTCCATCATGTCGTACATCCCCGACGACGTGTCGTCCATCCACAGCTCGGCCATTGGTGGTGGCGGCGGCGGCGGCGGCGGTGGCGGTGCCAACCTGAGCTCCGCGTACCCGGCCATGTTCTCGAGCTTCAGCCCTGACCAGTGGCCCGGTCTGCCCGGTGCCAGCGCCATGGGCCGCTCGGGCGGCAAAGGCCGCAACCGCGGGGGAGGTGCCGAGAGCGTCGCCGGCGAGAGTGTGGCCAACTCTGAGTACACCGACATTACCGCGGGCTCGAGCGTGATTGGCGGCAAGGGCGTGGGCCAGGGCGGCGTCAGCCTCGGGGCGGGCCTGCACGACACGGTAGCCAACGGCCGCATGACGTCCTTCAGCCAGAGCGACCGGCTCAAGGACTACGTCGAGAACAGCGGACGCCTCGCGAGCGGTAACGGCTACCGGCGCTACGACGACGACCAGCAGAGCATTAGCACTGCGGGCTTTGCCAGCCAGATTGGCGGCTCGGGCTATGACTGAGTGTCTGGGCAAATGACAGTCTGAACAAAGGCGAGGAGAAGAAAAAAACGACATTTTTTTGGCATGTCTCATCCACGACAAATGGCCCACTCTGAAGACAACAGATGGTGGTTACAATATGCATCCAAGATCCCTCCAGAGCCGGAATCATTCGGTTATCAACATACGCCACGTGGATACGAGAACCACGGCCAATGACGCTCGGCCGCCTCCTCTACTTGCAGATTTAGCGTTGGTGGCCGACGTCCAGCTTTCAAAGGCAGTATCGTCATATTCCTTGCAGGGCAGGCAACGGCCCCTGGGCTTCTCACGTTGAGGCCGCTACTGTCCGATGTAGCTGGAAATGTACCGTGTTGCCCATAGAACTGGGGTCTCTTGTCAAGAGACGGCATACTTGCCGTGGCAATATTGCAAGACTGTAACTGTGTTTCCCTCACGGAGGGCACAGACTATCCCAGGTGCTGTGATGACCGAGGTCCGATGCAACAAGGTGGATACGGTTATTTGTTCGCCAAAAGGATGGCAGGAGAGAAGTCTGTATTTCGAATGGGAAGACGCAGGAAGAGTGGTAGAGTGAGGCCGAATATAGATAGGGGTGTTATGTACGGCAGAGTGCAAAGGGAGAACAGGGGATGAGCACTCTGGTTGAGACAATTACAGTTTTTATCTAGATTTCATGTGCTGCGTACGGTGACTCCCATTTTGAATGTGTTGTATCGTGAGTCTTGAGTCTTGGTGATAATGAAATGTGGAATACAAGCTAGCAATGCTGTGTACTTTACAGCTTTGGAGTATTTGTATTTAGTTCTGCAACAGTTGCCGATATTTACGTTTTAAGATGAAGCATGTACGACACAGCATCAATCATGGAGAAATCATACTACTCTTGTTTCTCTTTGTGATCAGAAGTTTTTACGTTGTTTAGTTATTTTGTATTTATTTATTTACTTATTGTATAAAAGAACGAAGTAGAACAAAATCAATTTTATTTCACTCGATTTTCAGTTCTTCAAAGGCCTCTTATTGTCGCCGTTTCTTTCATAATTCCTATATCCAGGTTGTTGATACAGTTTGTCGTAACAAAAAGGGGACAACACATTTAGCTAGCGCTCTAACGCGGATGAAACTCAACGCCGGATCAGCGCTGCAAGTGGAGCAAGTTGTGCCGAGCGAGCTGTAAGTTGGCCCGTCCCGGTTTGCCAAACAGAGGGCAGCCCCTCCGATCGACCTTTCCTCTTTGGGTGCATAACAAGCTCTTGCCCTCGACGACGTATCTTGTTTGCTCTTTCCATTTTCTTGGTGTTACCTCCTTCCCTTTTCACGATATCGCCTCGTCAGCCTCCTTTTCCCATCGTCGACTTGACTTCTAAACTTTGCATCTACATACACCCCTTTTGCAAATCCCACAACGAAATGGCCACCTCTACCGATGCACCGGCGCCAGCTTGTGCTCTTCCGGGCGAAGACGACGACGTCAACCAGCGAGAGTTTTCGGGCACCGTCCGCACCGACAACAACCTGCCATCGCGCGGCACGCTGAAAAAGACTGCCGATTTGCCTGTACTCGACCGCGAGGGAAAATCACATCCTTTCAAGAGCCTGTACGAGGACTTCACGGGCCAGACGCTCGTCGTCTTTGTCCGGCACTTTTTCTGCGGTGTACGCCTTCTGACCTAGTGTCTGGATGGTGGTCTTCCAAGCGCTTCTTGCTAACCTCTCCTCTCCCCAGAACTGCCAGGAGTACCTTCGCCTCCTGTCGCAGGCAATCCCGCTCGCAACGCTTGCCAAAGCACGTACGCCGTCGCAGATCGTCGTCGTCGGCTGCGGTGATCCGTCGCTGATTGCCATGTATGTCGAGGCCGCCGAGTGCGTCTTCCCCGTGTACGCGGACCCGACGCGCCGTCTCTACGACGAGCTCGGAATGGTGTCGACACTTTCCTTGGGCGCGCCACCCGCGTACATGAAGCACACCAACATGTGGGCGTCCTCGTTCCGGTCGATTGCGCAGGGCTTGCGTCAGCTACCGCGGGGACTGGCGCTCAAATCGGGGAACCATCGCCAGGTCGGCGGCGAGTTCTTGTTTCGAAAATCGACGGCAGACGATGCCGTGTCTGTGACGTGGTGTCACCGCATGAAACACACGCGGGACCATGCCGAGACAGACGAGCTGCAGGCGGTGCTCGGGTTGGAAACCACGGCAGCCGAGTCGAAGTCCGAAAAAGAGCTTGCTACACCGGTTCCAGTAGCAACCACGGCCACAGAACAAACGGCGGCGGCATAGGAGAGAGCACTTACTCTGAAATACATGCCCATAATTGAATCAGTGATATCCCGGCGGGCAAAATAGCAAGTATGTACTGCCGGCACATATTTTTAAAGGCAAAAATCCTTTTATTTCATTTTATCTGATTCGGTACCTTCTTTCTGACATGCCACACTGATGCCTTTGTCTTATCTTTGAAATCCCCTTCTCGATCTTTGTTTCCTCAGCAGCCGACATGGCCTGACGGATGTACGTACACCTAGCTCACAGATGCTCCTGGGCCATCACCCACATGGCCACCAGATCGGGACACTGGCGCGCAATCCTCTTTTGAGTGACGTGGTTCGACAACATCACCGATAGCGTTCCCTCCCGAGCCACGATCTTCGCCATGCTCTCATTGACCATGCGCATGATCTGGACCTCTGTCGCATCGCACGTTGGCGCATCTGGGCCGCCACTATAATCGACTCGACCCCCGCCATTGCGATGGCTCGTCAGCCGTTGGACCTGCTCCATAATCTTCGTGTCGATGTCGTGCTGGACGTGGCCCGGCTCGATTGCCATGTGCACGAGCCACGAATTGCCAAAGACACCCTTGTCTGGCCGCCCGCCCCACTCGTGAATGCGCTCGGCGGCCGCGCTGGCCTCAACAGGGCGGTATCCCGGCCGGGCTGCGATACCAGCGTACAGCGGGATGGTCGTTGTGGCAAAGAGATACCGACGACCGCCCTGTTGGTGCGACGACGACGAAGTAGCCGTGGACGACGCGCCCGACACGGTCGACGAAATGCTGTAGCGGTGGCTCGTCGAAGGAGCCGTACTAGCCGTGCCACCGCCGATGCTGCTGCTCGCCGTGCTTTGCCCCGTATTCGTCCGGGCGCGGGTGCTCGTCGATAGTGCCGAGGCCCGGTCACTACCAGGTAGCTGGGGTAAAGACGACATTAGCGACGCAATGGACGTCGTGTTGGACGAAGATGGTGGCATGTACTGCGAGAAATCGTGGTGTGGCAGCTGCTTCTGATGGTGGTGGTGGTAGGTGCGCAAAGGATGCGTCATAATGATTTGATGCCGCAGCACCAGTGTGGCGTTCCGGAAGACAGGCATCGACGCAGCATCTTTACTGTCGATCTCGGCGGCATCGATGTGTCTGTTGTCCCCCTCATTCACTGTCATGGTCACCCGCAAACCCTCAATCTCGGGGTTTGTGCCATAGCACCGCAGACTCTCTGCCCGGTATGGCCCAATGATGCGTCCATTGACGGCGACGATGCACGCCGTCGTCTGCGTGTGCTTAAACCGGTTGTTCTCGTTGCACGAAAACAGCTGCGCTTGCGCCCACTGCTTCTGCCTGTGTAGCTCCAGCAGGTTGCGGCCGTGGTTGAGCTCAAACTCGTAGCCCGTCATGGGTAGCAAGAAACCCGGGGCCGGGGGCCCAAGAGAGGCGACTATGATGGCCGATGTGTCAACGTCTCTGGTGGTGGGGACTGGGAGGGGCGAGCGTGCACGCGAGACCAATGTCTTGGCGGTGGCCGGTACCGTGAAGCGAGGGCCAGACCGCTAGTCTGCGTGCCTGCTCACCGCACCTTGCGTTTCCTGCTGGCTGATGTTGTTGCCGTTGTTGTTGCCATGACCATTGTTGCCATTGCCGGTGAGGTTGTTACCATGAACGGTGGCGGTGGTTTCCTCATGGCTGGCGACATTATCGATGCTGTTGATGACAAGTGACGCGCGAGAGAGCTTCGAGGGCTCCTGCTCTTGGACTGGTGAGGGCGCTCCGCTTTGAGTGATACTGGTGCCGATGCTGTTGATGTTGCTGGCGTCACCGGTGCTGTTGCTACTGCAGCTTCGAAGATTAGCACTAGACGAAGGGATCCATGAAGTGGATTCCGCTACCAGGTTCGTTGTGGCCTTTGAAGTCGGAGTATCGTCGCCGCACACGATGGCCGTGGGCGTCTTGTTGATCCTGGCGTTGCCGTTGTTTTTGCCGTTTCCGGTGATATTGCGTATGCTGTCGAGATGTGAGCCGTTGTGGGCAACCTTGCCCTCCGACCATGGCTGCAGAGGTGCGCGAGAGGACCCCTTGGAAGCGTCGATCCGAAGTCGAGGCATGGGCGCGAGCTGTACACTGGCAGATGCGTTGACACCAGCTGAGTTGTTGTTGCTACCAAAGGTGGGATCGAAGAACCTGGAGCTGCTGCGAGTCGTAGCGGCGGCGGCGGCAGTGGTCATGTCCCCCGCGAGAGGCTGTCTGCTTGCTAGCCAAGAGCTGACATTGGTGGTCGTGGTGATGATGGTGGTCGAGTTTTGGATAGGCTGGAGAGAAAGCGGTGGATGCCCCAGGTGACTCCGGTCGTTCGTAATGACCGTGACAGAACCGTGTCCGATCTCTTTGGGCCACGGAGCATCCATTTCACCGATGGGTAAAACGTTCATATCCCTGGCTTCTGCCTCGGCCGCGGAGGCGTTGGATGCGTGCAAGTGACCGAGACGACGAGTCTGCCATGCATTGGAAGTCAAGGACGGGTGGTTGTCTTCAACCCGTGTTGGCTGCACGCTGTGCACACTCTGCGTGCTTGGTGCGGCGTTCAGCTGCTTCTGCTGGTGTTTCTGCTCGACCATGTAGGCGAGATACGAAGGGTGGCGTCCCATGGCAAAGGAACGCTGTTCCGCTTGCTTGCTTTCCCGGGAGAGCTCTTCACGACGGAGGTTGGTGATATAGACGTCTTCTGAGAGCGGTTCCTGGGGTACATTGCTATCGCTGATCGCAGAGCTGGCGGGTTGCCAACGCCCCAAGGTGAAGTCGACTTCGTCAGACATGTTGTGTTAGCGGTGGAAGCTTCCAAGTCGTCCCTGAAGTGCATATAATCCAGGATAGGAAATTTAGAGCGGAAACGGCAATATAACAGGCCAGAAGGGCAGAGGCGGTAAAGCAGAAGGACAGAACCGAGATCTCGCATGTGTATCGGACAGATGAGGCCGGACAAAAAGGAAACTTGCAAAGACAAAGGGAAAAAGGGAGAAAGGAAGGTAGAGAGAGTGACAGGATGAGAAAATAAAGACGAGAGAAGAAAGGATGTGTATTAATAGACGCACCTGTTGGGGGTGCGAAACGGTAAGTGAATGATATGTACGTGGATACGTCGGTGCATTTACATCTGAACAATTGTGTGTAATGAAGGTCAGAGTATTGGTGCGAGACTACGCGAACCGACACATCTCTCGGCGGCCCGGTCCATGCACTGCACTATTCTCTGCTCTTTGGACAATTATCCGATGGCATTCACTCACGCTCAATTATTGATGCAACTTGGATTTGGAGAACGCCGTGCCGCAGACGTGTATATTGTCACAAGTCTTCATCAAAATTCACTCCGTTTCAACGGCCTTGTCTTCACGTGTAAGTCTGAATACGTTATTGTGACTTAACAGATGTCTTTTTTTGAAATTTAATCATCTAAGACATGTACGCTCGCTGTCTTTTGGTTTCGCCGTCTTCCTCGGCCCATTTGGTCATAACGCTAAGCATCATTCGCTGCTATAGTAACATGTTCCTTCTTTTTCTTCCTACGCTTTCTCTGATCTATGAGAAGAACTTCTGGTACGTCTTCTTCTCCTTCTCGCGGCGAGCCTTGAGCGCCGCCTTGACCTGGTTCAGCTCCTTGAGCACGTTGGCATCGCCGGGGGCCAGCTTGTGGGCCTCGGCCAGGTCCTTCTGCGCCGCCTCCTCGTCCTTCTGCTTCACCAGCGCCTGGCCGCGGCGGAAGTACGCCTTGGCCTTGTCGGCATCCGAAATGCCCGGCACGCTGAGGGCGTTGCTCGCGGCGACGCGGGCCTCCTGCCAGGCGCCCAGCTTCAGCTGCATCAGAGCGGCATTGCTGTTGACGCTGATGCGCACCTGGTCGAGGGCGGCCTTTGTGCCCTCGGGGGCGCTGTCGAGGTCCGGCTCCTCGTTCAGGTACCGCAGCGCCTTGTGGTACTTTTCGAGCGCCGTGCTCCAGTCGCCGTTCTTGAATGCCGCGTTGCCGTAGCCCTTGCAGTCGGAGCTGATCTTGAGGATGCGCTCGGCCGACAGCGTGGCGGTGCCGCCGCCTGTCAGGCCGGCGAGGGGGTCGGCTGGTGCTTCTTCTCCTGCTGCTGCGCCGCTCTTGGCCGCCTCGGTCGCACTAACACCGATCTCGGCCTCGTCCTCGGGGAAGTCCTCGTACGGGTCGCCCAGCGCGTCGGGCTGCTTGGGCGCGTCCGCCGACAAGATGGCGTCGTCGCCCTTGAGCTCGCCGCAGTCCACAATCACAACGTCCTTGCTCGGCTTGTCGCCCGGCTCGGTCGAAATGTTCTCAACCTGGCGCACGACCGACTTGCCGGCCAGCACCGCGCCAAAGACGACATGCTTGTTGTCGAGGTGTGGCGTGGGCACCGTCGTGATGAAAAATTGCGAGCCATTGGTGTCTGGGCCGGCATTGGCCATGCTCAGCAAGAAGGGGCGGTCGTGCTTGAGCGTAAAGTTCTCGTCGGGAAACTTCTCGCCGTAGATGGAGGCACCGCCGGTGCCGTTGGCGGCCGTGAAGTCACCGCCCTGGATCATGAACTGCTTGATGACGCGGTGGAAGATGGAGCCCTTAAAGTGCAGCGGCTTGCCGTCGGAGGTGTTGCCCTTCTCACCCGTGCAGAGGGCGCGGAAGTTCTCGGCGGTCTTCGGGACGACATCGTTGTAGAGCTCAAAAACGATGCGCCCGGCCGTCTTGTTGCCGATGCGGATGTCGAAGAAGACGCGGGGGCGCTGTGCCTTGGCGGTCGAGTCTGCCATTGTGAATGTGCGGAGAGGTTGCGAGAAACCTGTGGGGAGTGAAGGGTGTTGTTGTGAGTGACGAAGAGAGAGAAAAACGGGAGAAGAAAAAGAAGAGGTGAGGTTCAATTGAGTTGGAGAAAAAGGAAGGAGAGCTCCGCTTCTGTGGTAGTTGCCCTGGTTCGAAATCGGTCGAATGCTGTTGACTGCTTGCCCACTCGTATTGCCCTACGCGCAACGCTTCTGTGGGGTTTCGTCTTGGTTGTTCTTGGTGCGGCTTTGCGTTTGGATCTTGCTCGAGACAAAAAGGCTCGTCGTAAACCTGAAGAGGGATGGAGTAGAAGCTTCTAGACAATGCCATAGGCTCAAAACGAGAGGAAGCCGCGCAAGTGGGGCTGGAGGGAAGCTCCTTCCTTCTGAATCAGATGGATTGGTTCTTGCGCGGGGCAGGCGCGCCACACACCATTCACACCGTCAACGGCCGTAGAAGGCAGCAGGCAGCCACTGGATTTGGCTCAGTTGGTCTTGCCGCCGACGGACCGCTTTGGCCTTCACACCGATTCAGCGCTGCATACGACCTCACATCGCGTCGGAACGTATCTTATCCGTCAAAATCAGACTTGTTTCTTTGGTGTTTATTTGTTGCCGGTTTGTCCATAATTTTTTGTGATTTGTCTTGATGTACGTGGGATGCATGAGCCGTGTGAGTTCTAGAGTGCATCGCATGTGCCTGACGCTCTTCTTATATCGTTTTCAGGACATCCAGTCCCGTGTGCGGAACCAATTTGGCTGGCGTTGACAATTCCAGTGTCACCGGGCCATCGTTGACAAGGGCGACCTCCATCATGGCCCGGAACACGCCGTCCTTGACGCGCTCGGCCGCAAAGTTCTCCCGCACCTTTTGCACAAAGTAGCTGTAGAGCCTCTGGGCCTCGTCGCCATTCAGTGCTCCGTGAAATGACGGCTTGTTGCCCTTCTTGGTCGAGGCCAGGAGCGTGAATTGTGAGACTAGATTGTCAGTGAGCGGGACGACGAATATCCAGCCTCAGATCAGGGCCTTACTCACCACACAGGATCTCGCCGCCAATGTCCAGGACATTCTTCTTCCACTGCAGTTGACAATGTCAGTAACAGTCGATATCCACATCTACCGCCCGGATTACGCACCTTGCCGCCCTCTTCGTCGTCCCACAGCCGCATGTTGACGACCTTGGCGGCCAACGAGTCAACATCCTTCTCTGTATCCCCCGGAGCCACAGCCGCAAAGACAAGGACGCCTTTGCCGATCGACGAGACGAGCTCCTTCTCGACCGTAACCGAGGCCGACAGCACGCGTTGCAGAATTGCTGATGAGGTTAGCGTGTCTGTGGTCGGCACATACGACAGATTATATCGCAGAACAATACGCACCTTTCATTGTGTCGTCTCGTCGTTGTGTCAGGCGCAGATGCACATGCTCTTGTTGCAATTGCACTAGGTACACAGGGACTCTCCAGTGTACGCGGCTCGCTCGTATTACAGCGCTCTGGGCAAGCTCTTACAGCAGCCCTGCAGGTCGTGTTCAGCGGGACATTTACCGTTATGCAGCATGTGATAGGCTGTCGATGTGGTCACGTGATAATATGTCTTGAGATCCGCGTATGTATTACATGCTTCCATGGGTGACTATGGTACTCCTCGCTCGTCATTACCGTAGACTCCTAAACTATCTTCGCACTCTCTGCCACCATGACGGCAATCAGAAGACGAGTAATCTGGATGTCCGTCTCTTTGGTATCATCGTTGGCTCTTAAGCCTGTGCTCCCCCTCTTGACATTTCACGTGACTTAGTTCCGTTTGGTGCCGCTTAAGTGAGACAAATAAAATAAATCCAAAATAAAGTTGCCAAAATAGGCCGCCACACCAGGGGCTGCAATGGCTCAAAATGGGTAGCCGCCTGCAGGTTTGGGATTGAGTGCCCCACTTTTTGCCCAGCTCAGTTTTGTTTCGCTGGTTGCAGGCTGGTTGCTCCTCCATCGCGCCTGCCCAGTGAGAACAGACGCCGTGCGTCCACTCCTTCCCTTTTGTACTCGTTCTCTCTTTCTCTGTTTCCCATGCCAACATCTCCACATCCTGTCAAACGGCCTCACTTTTCTCACGGGGCACACAACACCTGTCTTGTTTTGCACGCGGGCCACAACATTTTACTACTGAGCATCCCTAGCCGATGGCTACTCGCGCCTCTCGATCCCGTCTTTGCTATCTTACCAAGTTTTAGTGCCTGTCGGCTGGTGCGTACTACCATTCTAGCCTCTGTGGCCTATCATCACTAGCCAACAGACAAAGCAAAAACCTCCCAAGAAAGCCAGAAATTGAGACTAATGCTGACCTTTTCCCGCGAAAAATCTGAAAGACCACCGAAACGCCATCCACCAAGAGCAACAAGGGCGGGTTATTAATCCACAGCCGCCTTCTGACACCTCAGCATCGAACATTACTCCATACAGCATTCATCAGCCTCATTTACGCCGTCACTGTCGCGAGGCTACTGCGCACACCTGGCGACGTACACCTAACCCTTGACCTCAAACGCCAAATCAGGCTTGTGACATCCTACTCCGTCGTCCAAGTCGAACCACACCACCACACGACCACGCAACCAAGAGCCCTGTATCCCTTTATCCACCGACACCGACACCAACGACGTCGACGGCATCGACGGCGTCGACAACACCCCGGGCTGGATCTACCGGACACCGCTGCCGCGTATCCGACCTGAACCTCACTTTCCCATCCGCCACCATTCCATCCTCCCTGGCGACGGCTGCCAACGACCGGCGCCATGGCAGCACGAAAACTCCAGCAGGAGGTCGACAAGTGCTTCAAGAAAGTGACTGAAGGTGTCGCCGAGTTCGACGCCATCTACGAGAAGATTGAGCAGTCCAACAACCCGGCTCAGAAAGAGAAGCTGGAAGACAATCTCAAGCGTGAAATCAAGAAGCTGCAGCGTTTGCGCGATCAGATTAAGACATGGGCAGCCGGCAACGAGATCAAGGACAAGGGTCCGCTTATGGAGTACCGCAGGTTGATTGAGACGGTAAGCTTGCTTGCTCCCCCTCCCCCAGCACGATGCGAGCAGACGCCGGGAGACACGGGCATTCACAGGCAGGCATGTCGTCGAAAAATGTGTTTGGTGGCTGATCTTTGATGTTTCCCTTCCTATAGCAAATGGAGCGCTTCAAGGCTGTAGAAAAGGCCATGAAGACAAAAGCATACTCGAAAGAAGGCTTGTCGGCGGCGACGAAACTTGATCCGAAAGAGCAGGCCAAGGTCGCCAAGGGCGAGTTTATCGGCAACCAAGTAGACGAGCTGGAGCAGCAGATTGAGACCCTGGAAGCGGAGGGCGAAGCCATCCAAGCAACTACGAAGCGCGGCAAGATGCACGGTGCCAAGGCCGAACGCATGGCACAAATTGAACGTACCATTGAACGACATAAGTGGCACCAGGGCAAGCTGGAGCTGATCCGCCGCTCACTCGAGAACGGAGGCGTCGACGTCGACCAGGTCGCCGACCTCGAAGAGAGCATACGCTACTACGTCACCGACAATATGCAGAGCGACTTCATAGAGGACGACACCATGTACGACGACCTGAACCTCGAAGAGAACGAAGACGCCTTCGGCATGAACCTAGACAACGACAAGGTCTCATCGCAAGACAACCAGTCCATACAAGGCGACACGCCGGAGATCGAGTCCAAGCCCGCGGCACCGCCAACTGCACCAGCGGCCACGGGCAAGGGACGACAAGGGGTATCGGAGGCGGCCGCGTCGGGACGGAGACCCTCTGCACAGCTCAAGTCGCCATTACCAGCTCTCGCAACGCTGCATACGCCGCTACCGACTCTGAGCAATGGTTCCGTAGCGTCTACAATGAAGCCTGCATCCATACCAACGCGACCCGCCGGCGAGGTTCTCAAGTACGCGTCGGCCGCCGCCGCTGCTGCCGCGAGCGACAAGCTGAATCTGGGCATTTCGCCGTTACCACCACCGGTCGGCGTCTCCGGCGCAGTCTCTTCCTCACAACTGCCGACCGCGGCGTCAATTCCAGCCGTCCAGGCCAGCAAGATTGCCAGTGCAGCCAACTCGCCCAAACCAACACCCGCGCAGCCGTCTGCACTATCCGACAAGTCCTACTCGCCTGCCGTCTCCGTGGCGGCGCCCGCGTCCGCTTCAACAGCACCCGCTGCGGCGCCGGCCAAGGCAGAGAACACAAGACGGAGTAAGAACGCGGCAGTGGCGGCAGCAGCATCAGCAGCATCAGCAGCATCCGCGGCAACACCAGCGCCGGCCGAGCAAACAGAGGCAACAACCAGGGGTACGTGCCATCACCTTTCCGTTTCTAGATTTGCCGCACAAACTATCACCTCGGCTTTTTCTCTGCTCTAACATGTCATCTAGCCTCCTCGCAAACGAATGGCTTTACCAATGGTGCCAAGCATGGGACGGAAGCTGCCGCTACAGACGAGCAGGAACGCCGGGACGAGGAGTCGATATACCACCTGCCTGCGTCGCTGCGGGATCTGGTCGACTCGTTTGAGGTGACGAAGAGCCTACCGGCCGTGACCAATCAGGCGACCACCCTGCGCCAGCTGTCGACGTCCGCGAATAATCCGCCCGAGGCCATGGACTCGGAGCCGCCGCGACGCTACGTGCCGGACATGCGTTACAACTCGACATCCAACTACCCGCAGGAGCCGCTGCCGCTGCTGGACGACCCTCGGCTGTACAACCGCATCGACCCGGACACGCTCTTCTACGTGTTTTACTACAAGCAGGGAACCTACCAGCAGTACTTGGCCGCCAAGGCTCTCAAGGACATGAGCTGGCGCTTCCACAAGCAGTACCAGACTTGGTTCCAGCGACACGAAGAGCCCAAGAGCATCACAGAGGAGTTTGAACAGGGCACGTACCGCTTCTTCGACTACGAGAGCACATGGTATGTTTGTCCTCTGTTATGTCGACAGTCTTGACACATAGGAGGTTTTTCCGCTAACATGTATTTTCACCTCTAATCTAGGATGAACAGACGGAAGGCCGACTTCAAGTTCGTCTACAAGTTCCTTGAGGATGACGTGTAGTCGAATGAGCTGGCATTGCAGTCTATGGCCTATGTCTGCCTCTCTAGTTGCCCACAGGTGCCGGACGCGGGACATTGGTGACATGTAGTGGCCTCTCTAGTCATTTACTTTTATCTATGTTACGCCCTCCGGGTCTCTTGCTATGTGGTGCTATTTGGATCTTGTAACGCTCGTTGTTGTCTCCGACAGCGCAGGGTCTCTCCCTCTATTTTCTATCTTTACCTTTGTTTTCTTCGCTGTCGTTAAGTTGGGTCATCTGTTGATCGCACTTGTGTGTATTTATTGCGGCAAAGGGTAATCAAGGGGCAATGGGAAACCGGCGTTTTCTTCCCACTTCTTTCCTTTTATTGCAGTAGTTATCGTTGCCTCTCGCTCGCACGTGCTGTGCGTTTCCCGTGGTTATTTTCCATCTTTATTTATCGAATCCTCATCTCATGTTCTCTCTATTTACCTGACAGAAGCACAGGGTGGTTCAATAAATAAGATCCAGCCGGCATGGCACCAAATACGTCTTAAAATATCATTTTGCTCTCGTGAGGTGACGTTGCGCCGGCCACCACGATATGGTATGAGGTCGATATCGACTGCCTTTATCTGCGTCGTTGTTTACGCGTGAATTGCCACCTGGCCTGCCTAAACCCTTCCTCTTGCCGTTGACTCTTCCTTCGTCCGATCTCATGGGGGGAAATGGACTCATTTGCCGGTTCGACGGGTCACGATCGCGAACAGCCACCGTCTTCTCGTTTGTTGTTATAGAGCCGAGATAGAGTCGACAGGCGGGACAAAAAGGTAGCAACCGTAACAAAAGGCGCGTCTCGGCGATCGACGCAGCCTTGCCTATTGTTTTGTCCGAGGCTCTGCCTACAGGGCTGGCTTTGTCCGTCCCGCCTCGTTCCGGCCTTGTCGACCATTCGACCACACATGGTAAGCCTTGTCAATCTGTCTGTCTATCCAGTCGGTATTGGGAACCAGAACGTTCAGAAAACGAGGCGAACTTCGGTAGCAGAGCGCTGGGTGCAAATGAGGCTCAAAAGTGACGTTTGTTCTGTGGCCTAAATACTGGTCGCCACGGGTCAGCGGGTTCCCTCGATCGCAGGTTCCGAACTTGGAAGCGCGGGATGCGATTGTCGGCGACTTCACTTCTGTCCTTTTTCTATCCTTTTTCTGTCATTTGTGTCATTTTCTGTCTTTTTTCTGCCTTTTCTTCATATTCGCACATAGTGAACCGTTCTGTTAAATGAGTGCTGAGGCGATATGTCTTCTTGTGCACTTTCGGTAGGCTTCCCAGGCTGTCCCTAATGTTTGCATTTCTTTCCCTTTTTGTTCATGTCGTATACATTTACGTTTAGTTATTTCAAAAGGTTTGTTTACAAAGCTAATAGAAGAATATGCAAAACACATGTTTTTAGGTAGGATTTCGCCTTCATTATAGGTTTTTTTTTTAAAAAGAGAGAGATGACTATTGTCCCGAATAACTGGATATGTGAATTTTAGATTGATTTATTTTCGTTTTCAGTTACTTAGTTCCGTATTACACTTTTAATAGAAAATATTTTTGTGAAATCTCACATGTTATGGCGAACAAAAGCCATCATGACAAACTGCATCTGCCAACATTTTTAGTTCGGCATGAGAAATATATCTTCAACACACAATACCTTAATTTTACCTCCTCTGATTTTGCACTGGCCCATTCAATTTTTATTTTATTTTATTTTATTTTATTCTTAACGACACCGGGCCTTTCACATTCGTCATTTAAGCCTTGTCCCGTCGACTTGTCGCAAGGCGTAGCGGAAAGACAATCCCGGATGCTCAACTGCACCTTGGCAGGTCGCCTTTCTTTTCACCGTCTTCCAGACTGTCATTTTCCTTTTGGCCAACGAAGGAGTGTCTAGGTTACTGCCAGACTACGTCTCACGTCCTTGTCGAAAGACACATCTCTGAACCATCGTTCTCTTTGTCCCCCCGTGCTCTTCTCAACGGCTCTTCATCTTCCCCCACCCGTATCTTTTGTGTGACAACTGTCTGGTTCGGCACTGAATCCACGTTTCTCGCCTTTCCACGTTTCCGTTGCGGCTTTGCTGCGTCGTCATCCTTTTGGGATCTGACCCCTTCACCCACCCCTTTCTCGTGTCCCTTTCGGGCTTCATGAAGCGCAGGCGCCCATGTTTGTGTTTCTATTTTTGCTTATGCTTAATTCTGGCATCCTAGTGTCGAACGCACAACAGGGAGATACAGGGACGCAGCACATCGTCGTTTGTAGTTCGCCGTTCGCCGTTTGGTCTTCAGAAAGACGACTGGACGACGTAATGGGGCCTGCCCGGCACATGCAGGGCCGACAAGTGCAGGGGGACTGCCAAGCATTCGGAAGACAGCTGCGAATCAAGGGGAAACAAAGACAGCATGACGACACGAATGAGCAACGCGGCGTGCAATGAGCATGAGCATGGCGCAGGAGAGACTTGTCCGAATGTAGACGATGCCCGGCAAAAAGGCGACAGCAAGAAGGAAGCAGGAAGAAGAAGGAAGGGTCAGGAACGGCAAGACCACACGACGAGGCCAAACGACAACCGACCAAAGACCTCACCGCGCACAATGCACCATTCACATCTTGTCTTTTCGCGGTTGCCTAGAATTTGTGGACATGGCACCTGCAGATGGGCCAGCCGGCCTGGCCCACAGCAAAGGGTGAAAAAATGGGAATAAAGATGAGCAAAAAGGGGTGCAAAAGAGGGGAGACAAGGGAGATTTGTGTGAGTTTTCGTCGTCTGTTGCGGATGCACAGCCTCACTCCATTGTTTGCTTTGATGAAGAGGACCACACGGACGACCCTCCACAAAAGCGATTTCGCTCGGGTTAGTTTATCTGCTGGGCCCCACAATTCAAAGCTAGCCCCGCTTTGTGACTAGCAGTGTTTCTTTCGGTGTTGCTCAGCCTTGTCCCGTTCGGCCCACCCCCCTGCACGGAAGGAGACAAGAAGTTCGAGAACGAGGATCGCTCTTTCTTCCCCAAACTGTCCGACTGGCAAACTTTCGACCGACTCGACAAAGGCCTTAAGTCTTGCGTCGTACATCGACACGCTAGTATTGCCGTTGAGAGCTCACCGGGAAGGAGGCATGTTACTCACCCGTACATCATTGGAAGGAACGATCCGAACAAACAGCCGTTGTTTGGCCAGTGATTGTAGAAAAACACCGCCTGAGACGCTGTATCGGCTCCTCATATTTTTTTTTATTCATTTTTTTGTTTTGGTACGATCGGCGTCATTTCATCTCGGGCCTATTTTCTTGGGGTTATTTTTGTATTTTCATCACACGAGGGCCGTAGTTTGGGGCCGCTCGAAGTGTCAGTCAATTTGTCACTCCCAGTTGGTCATCTAAAAAATTGCCCTTTTCGGGTGGGTGCTGTTGCGTGGAGTCTTGTTAGTCAACTTTTTAAGTTTGGTTAGCGAGGGCTCGTGGGTTTTGTAATTCTCGTATCCTTCCTTCGTTTTTTCTACACCCCCGTACGCACTTGCCGTTTTCACCTTCGACAAGAATGCAAAGGCCGACTTCCTGGGCTGGTCCCTTCCCCCAAACCAGAACGCTGGTCTAATGTCGTGCGTACGTTCCTGCCACCGTACCGTCATTGTGCAACACATCCACTGGTTCATTCCCTCATTGGCCAGCTCAAAAGGCGGACAGCTAGGCGTCCAAGCAAGGCACACAAACACACCCATCGCCTATTGGAGGGTTGTCGCGCTGCACACCACGCAGAGCAAATGTGTCTGTTTGCAGACACGAATTCTTCATCTGCATCGGTTGCTTCGCTGCCCCGGACATTGTCGTCTACTTGAGTTCTGCTTAACTGCCATGCTATCCATGCTATTTGTCTGGGGCTTGTGGCTTCCTCCTCGTCGCCTTACCATGGTCGTTCTTTCTCCTTGGAAAGGGGCAACGACATACGGCGTATTGCTTCATCGTACTTTCCGTTGCATCTTGTGCCTGGGGTCCATCGCGCTTTCCATGCATCTTCATTGAATACGGAAGGGTTGCTAGATCTAACTGGGCTTGATTTTGTTTTGTAAACACGTGCCTCGCCAGACGCGTAATCAGAGGCAACTTGATCGGGATCTGCTTGCAGAATAATCATTGCTCTTCTTTCTGTGTATCCTGAACGAGACGCTGTCCTCATACCAATACCTAGCTCAAAACACACCAAGGTGCCTTCCCATTTCACACACAAACAAAAACCTTCTCATTCTAGAAAGAACCTAGCCCGTGCTATGGTCTGATACCGCGGATCCGGAAGGCACGAAGCAAGAAAAGGGAAGGTGTGGCCCACCGAGCCTTCTCCATACGGGGGCAGTGAGCGTGGCTCAGCCCTGCGTCATCGCCTTTGTGATGGTCCCCCACCGCCATTCCGTTTGTTTATGATCTCTTTTGTGTCTGATGTTTTATTACGCTTCGGTGCTCGTACCCATGTTGTCTCCACCCACGCCGTTCGCACCTTGCTCGTCGTTTACGCTTGGGTCTCTGTGGCTTTTCCGTATCCTCCCATCGTCCCTTTTCCTAGTGACGAAGAGGTCCCAAGAGGCCGAAGAAGACTTCAAGGGGCCCCTGGTCTCCCGAGCGGAGCATCTACCAAGTACGAATCCGTTGTCCAGAATTCCAGTCCGCGGGAAGCCAGACAAAGCTACCTCATGTCCAATCCCCGTACGTCGCGTGTGCCGGGTCGCCTTTCGTTCCCCAGGTAGCACAGCCCTCTTTAGTGTCCACGAGTGTTTCACAGCAGATGCCAGGACGGTATGAAATTTCAAGGCTGCTCGAAAAACATGACACAGCACCGATGCTCCGTTTCAGCTTCGCATCTTTCCGATCTTCTCAGCCAGTCCTGGGCAATACTGTCTCCCTCGGTAGATTTGTGACGTGGTCACGATAGCAAGCCACGACCGGGACAAAAGACAACCGGAAAGCCAACGACGGTCCACGAACAGAGAAAAAAACAACCAAAATGCGAAAGAGACAGACAAGGCCGCAAGCTCAGCTCAACCATACCTGCCTGCATCGACTATGTCCTTTTGAAAGATATTCTGCAAATATTGGCCTGTTTTCTGATTCTATTACCGCTCTCGTCTCGGTCTATTGTAGGTCCAGATATTGATTTACACTATTGTGTACGCTCTGGTCATATTTACACGCCCCCACCATAAAGACACACCTCACGCATGTTCACACCGTGTCACGCCTCTCTCACCCCACCCTCAGACCACAGCAGCCTTGATGAGGTTCCTGTCTCGCCAGATGACACGATTTTACTCCATTGTTATGATGCTTTGCTCGCTAACCTTTCCCACTTGCAGTTTGCCTTCGTTCCTTGCATTTTAGTCCACAGACACCTTGTGTCTCGCCTGCCTTATTGTTCCCTTTTCTTTCTCGCGGTCGTATACACGAGTGTTCCTGCACCGCAGACTCACATAATCGGGTGCATACGCGCCGCCGTTATTCGAACTGCTTTCCCCCTACTGATGGCTGTTTTCTCGGGCCGCTTTGTTAATCTTCATAACTCACCAACGTAAGTCAGTGGTACCCTCTCTCTCTCCACTCTTCTTTCCACGCCTTTTCCCTGCTGCACCCCTGGTCATCACGATACTGTGTCTTTCATCTGGATCCGTGTGGCATCAACCGATGCCAAGACGACTTAGACGTTTTCAAAATGGAGGCGCTGTTCATGATTTTCACTTTCACCCATGTCGCCTTCCAGAGCACTTGTTCAAAGTACTTTTGACGTGAGGGAAGGTCCATGGGCCGATTCATGGGCAATATCAAAGACCGCAGAACACGAAAAACGGCGACTTGAACATCGTTCAGCCTCGTACAATACGCCTTCCTTGTACAGACCAAGCTAAGGTGTCTGACCACAAGCGGCCGTACTTCTGCCTCGTCTTCTCCCAGTCGCCTCATGTTCCTTCGTTCGTGTAAAGTCTGGCCTGACACCACTTTCTGCACCAGTCATACTGGGGGTGCACTTCGTTGAATTTCTCTGGCGTAACGCTGGTGACGAGGCCGAAGCGCCCATCGTTTATTCTCTTTGCTACATGTTTTCTCGTTTTCATGCTTACCTTGCAGACTCAGGAACTTGAGAGTGTGACCCTTACCAGCCGTTTTTAAACATCACACCTACCACGGAACACGGACTGCTTGGCCGAATAACACCAATACTGCCCCGTTTTGGAAACGATTCCATCAAGGTTAGGGTCAGTGGCTGAGGGCCCCATCTGGTGCCCGCAGGTCGTATCTCGCACGGCATTCGGAAGTAAAAAAGACAACAAAGACGGGGAAGACTAGAGGAAAGCAAAAGGAAAAACAAACAAAAAACGAAAAGAACGGTCAAATCTATTTGCCGATCCGTGCTTTCTAATCTTTTGCTCACCCTTTCTGTTGGGCCTCGCTCGCACTTGTGGCCTTCTCCATTTTCCGTCTCTTGCATCACCGCATCTTTTGATGCTGACCCTACACCAGCGTTTTTTAATCGTTGACCCGATTCTTTCTTCTATTCCCCCGGTTCTGGTGCAACGGAGTGCTACAAAAGCACCTTGCACGACCGCCTTCATCACCCATCACCCTACTGCGTGGTCTTGTCCTGCACCTTGCCCACGTTTGTGCAGCCCTCTCCGTCAATAAGCCGCTTTGCCGTTTCATGTGGCCTCCCCACGACGGCCGTGTTGTCAGCCTCGTTGTAAGGCGCTTCACATTCTTGCTGTCGTCTACACTTCAACTCCTTCCTGTTGGTTGACCTGCACAATAACAACGTCCATTTTCTGCCTTTCTAGAATTTTCTTACTTTGTTTTTGCAGCACTTCTCTTACCTGCCCGTCCTCGTCCATCCCAGCCGTTGGCCCTCTCATCCGCCTATTTTGGTTTACAGCCCCCTTCGAGGATCCGGTCTCTGCCTTCATTTACTCCTATATTCATACTATCCCCTCTTCATCTTCGCTGCGGTAAACCGCTCCAAGAACTTCTCAGTTTCACATACTCTGAGGTGATCTACTCTTTATCCTCTCCCCAACCCAGAGACCTCTTCTGTCTTACTTTATCGCTCTATCCCTTCAAACCTAAATCTCTTCGGTCCTTCATTCTTGTTAGTTTCTCACTTGATGTAATTTTTATCTTTTAAGTCGCGCAAATCCTCGCACTTTACAGTCCCTCGGCCAGATTCTTCTTCGCCAGTTCCCCCTGACCGAAGCCTTCCTTTTTCGACACTTGACACACGCTTCAATTTCTCTATCTACGTTTTTCTTTGTTGTTCTTTTACATCTTCATTCCAACCTCGCATCTAGGTTGCCACCTTTGTTCCGTTTCGACGCTACCGTCACCAGCTACCGCTTCAGAAGAAAGAGGCCGTTTTTCGAGGCGATTTTGGGCAATATTGCTCCGCTCAGCAAATCTGGAGAGGGTACATATGGGATATGCTGGAGACACCAGCAGTACGAAAGTCATTTGGCATATATACATATGCTGGCTACCTTGACACAATTGTCCTTTTCTCCGCATTGTTAAGGGCCATTGCTGTCTAACGCGTCGAGACCACCCTGAAATTTTCAGCAAGGAGAAAACAAATTCAAATAAGACAGGACAGCCGGCTTATCTGCAGGCCTTCCTTGTTTCCACTCTTTCGGTATTTAACTGCACTCGTCGCTGAGACACTTTGACGGCCCCGAAATTGTTTTTGGAACAAAAATGAACCAACCAGACGACAACGACATGGCGCTTAGATTCAGCCAAATGTACAGCTACTCACAAGCCGGGCTCGACGCAACAACAGACGCACTCACAGCATCCAGCCAAACACTCAGCGTCCCGTCACATTTTACCTACACCACCAGCCCGACATCCAGCGACTCGTCCTACCTGGCGGGAATGCTCGAGACCAGCAGTCGAGCATCAGGCGGTTCACCGCTTCTCTCCTTGAGCAGCGCTGGTGATACGTCTCCGTTGGCTGCATTCGGTGGACTTTCGCACCCCGGACCACTGTTCCGTAGTACGAGCCTCAGTGGAAGCAACTTTGGCGACTACTTGGACGTCGGCGATGCGGCAACAGTTGCAGGATCCGCACAACCGAGCCCAAGCACAAGCCCGGGTGGACACGATTTCTCCGGATTCAGTGGCCTGCTGTGGCCAAGCTCCGATGGCAGCGCTGCCAATGACGGGATATATGGCAGCTACCACAGTAGCAGCGGTATGGGCTTTTTCGACGATATTTCACCCCATACAGACCGCAGTCAATACACGCCACCTCAGAGTTCGTGGTTGTCTGGCGGCCCGAGCAGTGCTGACGGCGATAGTCACACCACGAGGTAAGAAATATAAAAGCGACAAAATGGATACAAGCGACCTTCGTTTTATTGTTGCGTACATTAAGGAGGAGGTTAGAATTGCATGGACAGAGGGGAGCAGGAAGGTGAAGAGTACTAACTATTACTACATCTACATACAGGACATATAGTTTGTCTCCAAGCATGGCGTATCATTCAGACAACTTTGCATTAGATCTGAACACACAAGGCGGACTGGCTACAGACACGTTCAACTTCCAGGCCACCTCGCAATCTACAACATCATGGCCGCCCATGTCGATCTTGGATTCAACCACAGTAGGGGGATTCCAGCTGCCTCCGGCAATGAAGGACGCTTCATCTAAGACGACACGGTTCGCGAGTACAGTCGCAGGAACTAAGCTACCACAGGTGGTCACCACGAGCTACAACGATACCAGTGTTGGTAGCAGCAGTGTCATCGGCGTTGGTATCGGTGCGAGCAGCAGCACGATGGGCACCCACAAGAGCGGCCGAGGCGAAAACATCACAAACAGTCACAAACGTGGAAGCCTCGGCAGCCTCGGCAGCCGCCGAGGTAGTAATGTCAGCAGCCGCGGAACCAATCGAAGTACCAGTCCATACGATTCAACCGCCACATCTCCCAACCGAAAGACATCTCAGGCATCATCAAAGCACGGGCGTGGGAGTGGCAGCGGCAGTGGCAGTGGCTCAAAGGGAGGATCTGACGACAAGAGCCGCAGCAAATTTGCGTGCACGCGCGCGGATTGCCATGGTCCCGTATTCACGCGTATGGCCGACCTTGACCGGCACATGCTGCACATCCACACCGACGCCGATAAGAAGGAGCGCTTTCTGTGCGACTACTCTTCGTGCTCACGCAGCGCTACGCCATTTCACCGCAAGGACCACTACCGCGAGCATCTGCGCGTGTACCACCTCGAGGATCTGCTGAAGCGTGGCAGCAACGCAAACCACCACACGGCGGCCTCGACGTCGTCGTCCTCTGGTGCCAGAACATCCGAAAGGCTGTCGCCATCGTCGGCATCCGCATCCTCATCGTCCACCGCCGATGTCAAAAGGAACAAGAAGCTGCTTCAGGAGACACAACTGCAAAACTGTAAGACGGAGGCCGAGTGGTGGCGCTGTGCGCGGTGTCTGCAGCGAGTCGACATTGCCGAGCGTGGCTGGACGTGTCCGAACTGCAAAGGCAGTATCGAGGAGCCACGCAAGGCGATCCGGATGTCGCGGTCGGCGGCGTCCATGGCGGCAACAAACGCCCGCCAGTTGGCTCAGTCTTTGGACATACCGGCCGAGTGGGGAACGTATAACGACATGTCGATGGAGACGTACTGATAGAGCAATGCAGCATGAGCCGGTGTTTTTTCTTCCTTTTTTTTTTTGCGGAGGGATATAGTTCATAGAATTGGCTCATTTTGGGACATGTTTTATTATTCTGTCGTGTAAAGCTCTCCTTACATTGGTTTCTTTGTACTGTACTGACCTGTAAGAATTCCTAATCTGTCTAGCTTTGCTTCCCGAATCCATTTACTGTCCAAATTCACCTTGTCACTTTTATGCATCGGATATCCAGTTCTGTACGTAGCAGAAGGCTGCACATCAAAATCTCGGGAGCTTGTTCTTAGTTTGAAACAGGCGCAGAGACCAGACAACGGCCGTTACGCCTTGTTCCAAAGCCTCCAGCTATCAAACGCACATACAGGAAGACCGAGTAAGTAAGCCGGGAGCATTGCCTGTTAAGAGTCTCTTGGCCCGGCTAAACACGCCCCGCGCAGATCCCCTGCAACCATTTTGTTGATACATCGCCGTGTCTACCATATAACTTGCAAATGCACCACTTGCCATTGCTGTCGGTTGTTGTGCCTTGCAGTAGACAGTGCTAGCACTGCAACATCCGTCACCTGCGATGTTAACAACTGCGAAGGCCTCACTTGGTTTAGATCATGGCATTTGTGTGCGCTTTGCTGAATTGATAGAAGCTGGACGTCATGTGCTTATGTCGGCCAGTCGTTCCTGCCATTACTAGTCGCTGCCAAGCCACACGCGGCCTGGCCCGTTCAGCGCCGGCCCGCCAAGAAACTCTACCTCAAGTTCCGTTCGATTCGATTGTCTGGTTGTCTGGTATATTATCACGGTGCATTTAAGGTATATACAGTGCTGCATTGTCTGCTTTTTATTTTATTTTTATTTTTATTTTGTTCTTTTTTTTTGGTCCTTCCCCACTAACAAAACAGACGGCACGCCCTTCTTCAAGTCGACCGGCGCCGTGACCAACGAGTTCCTCATGTCCGTCGTCTTCAACATCGTCAACACCCTGGCGACGCCCTTTGCCTTCTGGGCTGTCGAGAAGTGGGGCAGACGCCCTCTCCTGCTCTGGGGTGCCCTGTCCATGCTGATCTGCCAGCTGATTGTCGCCACCGTCGGCGTCACCGTCGGCTTCAACCACACCCACCCTGACGCGACCGTTGTGGGCGGCACCGCGGCCGACAACACCCAAGCCGTCAACGCCCAGATCGCCTTCATTGCCATCTTCATCTTCTCGTTTGCCACCACCTGGGGCCGCGGCGCCTGGATCGTCATCGGCGAGATCTTCCCCCTGCCCATCCGCGCCCGCGGCATTGCCCTGTCCACCGCCTCCAACTGGCTCTGGAACTGCATCATCGCCGTCATCACCCCCTACATGGTCGGCGCCCTCGTGTCGTCTGTCTTTTATGTCTGGTTCGGCCTCTGCACCTGCGCCTTTGTCTACACCTACTTCCTCGTCCCCGAGACCAAGGGCTTGACCCTCGAGCAGGTCGATCTCATGATGGAGGAGGCCACCCTCCAGACCTCGGCCAAGTGGCGGCCCACCAAGACGTTTGCCAGTGGCATCGCCCACGGCGAGAAGAGCACGTTTGTCAACAACGAGGCGGCGCCTCAGGAAGTGAGGAAGGTGTTGCCAAGATTCTCGTCATTTCCAGGCCGTGTCAAGTATATAGCTCCTGAAATAAAAACCGGAATCTTATAATACCTGGTTTATGCATGGCAGTGAATCAAACTAAAGAGAGACACTTGACGAGTGATGTAGTCAGCAGCGGTGGTGGCATGTCTGATAGTCCAAGTGCCTCCCCAAAGGACAGTCTGGGTGAGACGTATCGAACTGGAACCCTCCAAACACCTGCACGCCACACTCGAAACCTTCCGTGTGCAGCACCATCTATAAAAATTATGTGCACCGGGTTGGTACCAGCCAGGGTTTGTTGATCCACTGATTCTTATTCAGTGTCTCCGGATCTGCATGACTCTCGTTGTCCCTTTTATGATGCTTCTCCATGTAGTGGCGGTACGGTGTATAGTGACCGAGGCTATCAAGCGAAGTAAACAAATCGAGCTGCGAATGCTTGCCTATTTCGGATGCATCTGCAACGACTTGCATTAAACAGAACGTGACCTGACGCCTATGTACATACCATCGCTAGTGCTATATCCCAGGTAGGCGACCAGGCGACTTTTGCTTATAATCGGATCTTTGTGAGTGCAGTGGCTCTCAGCCGACGCGTAAGATACTTGTATGGATCGGGCAGGTAAACCGCCCACAGCCAAACCGTAAACGGATCCTCACTGTGTCGCTTCTCCTATTATTGTTCCAAAGAAAGCCTCAAAGTTGAGAAGCGCGAAGAGGAGGAATCCTTTTGTCGATTTGGACATTTTCCCCAGTTTGTCAATCGTCGGGAAGGAATGTCGAACTATCCCGAAAGAAGATATGAGGGCGGCAGGGGGGGCAGGGCGAGGCAGTAGACGTGGGAGCCGACAACGACACCTGTTTTCTGGGGCGTTTTGCGTCTCTTGTGTTTTTTACACTGTGGCGCGTCGGATCGTAGGCCACGAAAGACGGCGACCCAACAGCCGACCGGCTGGAAGAGACGAGGACGAGTACTTGCGTCGCAAGTTGTTCAAAAGCAAAGTCTGGCTTGGGCGCCGACGGCAACGACGCTAGATTGCGTGTCGATTTGCGACCTTCCTTGTGGGTGTCATGGACTGAATGGTAAGAATCTTGGATTCGCTAACTACTACTATCGAGCGTGGCGATACTAATAATAAACATAAACCTGAGGTCACGTGTCATCAGGGTGGCTCACGTACATCACGTGGGGCAGGCACCTGCCCCCATTCCTTGGCCCCGTTTGGTGCGTTTCCTTCGGTACGGGCTGCTTTTTGCGCCGTATTAATACCCCTAAAGCGCCGAGCAGGACAATCGATCTGCAAGCAGTGCCAGGCTTCGTGCTCGCCGTTGTGTTTACTAGCGATGTCCCATGTGGAGGTTTGATCGATGCTGCCCTTGCCGGACGGATTGGCAGCTGTCAGACAACTGCCGTATTCCCGAGACGACCGCCACGGACCGCCAGCCAGTGTCAACCAGACTCGAGTGGAGAGGGCCGAGTCTTCGACTCAGACGCATTCGCAGAGCCAATCCCTATTGGCAGAACAAAAGCGAAGAGTCGACCGACCATGACTTTTTAGGGCGGAATGCACGGAAAGACTGGTCCGTCCGGGTCCATCGGCTTGTGTAAACGGCTCTGACGACGTTGGGCAAAAGAACTCCTCCGTAGCAGGTCGTTCGACTTGAGCCGACTGGCAGTTGGGCGAGTCTTGCACCCGTAATGCTGGCACATACGACCTATGAATGTTATGTCGTGGGGAATGATTGCCCAATTAGGTCGTCTCGAGACAACGCCGCGGTGCTTTCCTGCGTGGTTGCGTTGGTGCTTTCGGTTGGTGTGGGGGAAGGTGCGACGGCGGTTACCAGGTCGCTGCCTTCTCCGACGTCCGTCGTACATACGCTTTTCCCCGGTTTGTAGCGCGCGGAGAAAGAGCGAAAGGGTGCACAGCGGCGGGAAGTTTACAATGCACGCCATGCGGGCGCCGCGGCAGTAGCGTGGTGGTGTGCACCAATACCAAGATTCCCCACGCCATGCAGCAGGATGGAAGGAGCATGGGGACAATAATGGCTCCCAGGGAAAGAACGACAGAGCTGTAGTACGGAGTGCGGTCACCGGAAAGGAAGGCGCCACCACCTACGACACTGACGGAGATGTTTGTCCCGTTGCAGTCGGTTATTTGTTTGTCTTCTGGACACCAGTTGGGCAACGCCTCTCGTGCTTTTGGACTGATGTTTCCCGCAACGTCGAATACCGTTGTGAATATCGCCGGGGTGGCTGCAGGTGTCAGACGGCGCCCAGAGTAATTTGTACATGCAATGTAATTACAGCATGGTATTATGGGAAAGGGGGAAGAGCCACCGAGCAATGCGGGGGGACTGCATAAAACGGCACCCGACGAAACAGGAAACCGCATACTGCCACCACCGTATGGCCCGGAATACATACTGCAAGGGGCGACTAATACCGCAAAAGTGCTTCTGCCTCTTCTTGTTTGTTTTGATCAATCGCGACCGGCCAATCCGTGCTGTGTGTTTTGTCTGCTCTGACCTCGAAACGTTCCATGGACAGGTGGTTTCTCCCCGCATGCTGGGTGCCCTGTGCACAGTTTCCAGCGCGCCTGCCGGCGTTCACAGCACCCTCCTTCCCTCCTCCCGTGCCTGCCTGTTTGGCAATTTAACCCTCAGCAGCGTCGGCATCGCGTGCTTTCCTATTTCCGTGGTTCCTTCCTCCATTGGCACGCACCGGCAAGGTCAGATGGCCTGGAGAAGCAGCGAGGTGACATTGGGTGTACTGGCTAATTAGGAAGGGGCCGATGGACAAACGGGAGAGGGGAAAGAGCAAGCGCTGGGCCGTTCTTTCCACACGCGACCAACTTTCGGCTTGCCCAGTCGTAGAAAGGGGACGGGGAAAGGGGAAACATATATTTCTCTTGCAACATCCCCCGCGTGTTGACAATAAACCCTTCTCGAACAAGACAATCACGAAACGGCCGCCTTCAGTCCCAACCACAGCTCTCACTTTGCGCCTTACGCATTTGATACTCGTACGGCATACTCCAGTCGCAAAATACCTCTTATCGCCTCCCCTATCGATACCAGGACCCATCGTCGCCTTTGTGGAGACAGCTGCTTTAGAAAAGACAAAAAAAGAGAACGAGGCAGAAAAACAGGAAGAAGGACAGAAGAGAACGGGAAAGCCAGGGAAATTCACCAAAAGGACTACCCAGGCCCTACAGTGACCAAGCATATACACCAGGCTACGCAGCAAAAGGCAAAAAGAAAAGAGCCTCTACGTGCCCAAAAACACCGCAAGCCGCAAAAAAAAAAAAAAAAAAAAAAAAAAAAAAAGGACCGATGTCGCATCCTTCGTTTGCTAAATAAAAGAATACCAGCCCAATTCAACACACTGCGTGTTCGCCCTTCGCCGGTCCCAATTTCTCACCGGAGCTGTTTGTATTTGGATAATCCTTGCTGCGGTTTGCTGCATCGACTCTCGTCCTGGTGTTGCCACAACTTTGTCGCCTCACCTTCACCTGTCCTCACTTTCAACTCGCCTGCGGCCCCTCACAACTCCGCACAAGAACGTACTTGTACCTCGTGTCAAGCACCCCTCGATCGCCCAGACGCGCTATCTTTGCCGATACGCCTCCGTCGTCCCCCGCTAAACCGCCGGTAGCCATTCCGACAGCCATTGAATCATCACCGACACGAGTTGCGCGGTCGCTCGTTTGACCCTGTTTCCCGATTTTCCCAATTATTTTCTCCATTTTTTTCTTGCCAGGAGACAAAACGTTCCTCTCCCACAGCCTCCCATCCGACGCGCGCCCCTCGCTGCTTATTAGTATTTCCTTTCGTCAGCCAAGTCTCCCACACAAAACTGCTCTCCCCTCGAGCTAGACCTCCAGCACGGTATATCTAGCCGCGTTGATCCTCGGCTAAGGCTTTTGAACCTACGGCACACCTCGCCAGCCTGTTGCGCTCCTGTTTGCATCATCCTATCCTAGGTCCAATAACGTCGGGTCAATTTCGCAGCTCCTCGTGTTGACACTTACAGATCACCCCCCCCCCCCCCCGGAACTTACACACGGAAGCAGCCTTTGGGTCCTTTTTGGTCCATTTTTCGACTTTCCCCACCGTAGCAGTTCAAGACCCTGGCCGCTTCTCATTTCCATTTTGTCTCGCCGTTCTTCACAAGCTCGCCCGCGCAGATTTCCAGGTTCCCCTCCCCCCTCCTTGGCCAATATGAACTCGCTACTCCTTCGTTCGTCTGTTGCCAGCCGACGGGCTCTTGCTGCCGGTCCGGTTTTAAGCCTTTCCTCCAAATCTTTTTCTTCCAACTTTTCCTCTTCCACTTCTACTTTCTCGTCTTCTTCCAACAACTTCACCACGCCTCGCAGAGCCGCCGCCAACCTCGTCTCCTTTGCTACTCGTCGCCCCACCCTTGCTCCTGCTGCTATCATGACTTCCCAGCAAGCCCAGGCCTCCTCGGCCGCCCCGATCAAGAAGATCAAGGTCGTCAACCCCGTCGTCGAGCTGGACGGTGACGAGATGACCCGCATCATCTGGCAGGACATCAAGGACAAGCTGATCCTGCCCTTCCTCGACATCGACCTCAAGTACTACGATCTCGGCCTCGAGCACCGTGACGCCACCAACGACCAAGTCACCATCGACTCCGCCGAGGCTATCAAGAAGTACTCTGTCGGTGTCAAGTGTGCCACCATCACCCCCGATGAGGCCCGTGTTGAGGAGTTTAAGCTGAAGCAGAGTATGTCCCTACGGTGAAATTGCTTCTGTTCAACCTCGCGTTGACTACAGGCCCATTCTATATCCCTTCGAACCTTTGTACTAATAAACCAGTGTGGCTGTCCCCCAACGGCACAATCCGCAACGCACTCGGCGGCACGGTCTTCCGTGAGCCCATTGTCATCCCCCGCATCCCCCGCCTCGTGCCCGGCTGGGAGAAGCCCATCATCATTGGCCGCCACGCCTTCGGTGACCAGTACCGCGCCAAGGACCGCGTCATCCCTGGCCCCGGCAAGCTGTCCATGGTCTACACCCCGGCCGATGGTGGTGCCCCCGAGGAAATTGCCGTCTACGACTTTAAGAACGGCGGCGGTGTTGCCCAGACCCAGTACAACACCGACGAGAGCATCGAGGGTTTCGCCCATGCCTCGTTCAAGATGGCCCTGGACAAGTCCCTACCCCTGTACATGAGCACCAAGAACACCATCCTTAAGAAGTACGATGGCCGCTTCAAGGACATCTTCCAGGAACTGTACGACACCCAGTACAAGAAGGACTTTGAGGCCAAGAACATCTGGTACGAGCACCGCCTGATCGACGATATGGTCGCTCAGATGGTCAAGAGCAAGGGCGGCTACATCATGGCCCTGAAGAGTGAGTCCCCACCCCTCCTCGTCCCTGGCCCAATTGCTATTTTCAAGAAGAAAGAGAAGACCATGTATTAGAGGCATGTATTAACAAAGTAGACTACGATGGTGATGTCCAGTCCGATGTCGTTGCCCAGGGCTTCGGCTCTCTGGGTCTGATGACTTCGGTTCTGATCACCCCCGACGGCAAGACCTTCGAGTCCGAGGCCGCCCACGGCACCGTCACCCGCCACTACCGCGAGCACCAAAAGGGCCGCGAGACCTCCACCAATCCCATTGCCTCCATCTTCGCCTGGACCCGCGGTCTGGCCCAGCGTGGCAAGCTTGACGACACCCCCGAGCTGGTCTCCTTCGCCGACGCCCTGGAGCGCGCCTGCATTGACACCGTTGATGTTGACGCCATCATGACCAAGGATTTGGCCCTCGCCTGCGGCAAGACCGCCCGCGAGGACTACGTCACGACCACCGAGTACATGAACGCCGTCGAGCGTCGTATTCGCACCAGCCTGCAGGAGAAGCTATAAGCGGAGCATCTATGATTGAGACAAAAGAACACATGAGGGTCCTGATCTTCAGGGAAGCTGTGAAACTTTTTAAACGGCCAGCTCGTTTACGATCTCGTTTATCATGCCACTATCGCCACAGGACCCGTCACGCGGCTGTTCTTTTTCTTTTTCGTTCCCTCCTCTTTCTCTCTCTTCCTCTTTCTGACTCGCTTACAACTCTTACCCACCGCTTTATGACGCCTTCATGCCACCCACGCATTGTTTCGGTCCTTTGAAATTTCTTTACAGCATCCGCCTACAGTAGACGCATATTATGAACGCCCTCTATGCACAATTTACTCCCATCTTAGCAACGATCCCCCCTGACACTTAGGGTCTGTCGGCCAGCCGAGCTGCTGACACGTATATATAAAGTCATATTTGAAAAAAAAAACTAAGAAAACGATCATATGCCAACAAAATCCTACGCCCAACCTTACGCGGATCTTCTTTTTCTTTTCTGTTGACCTCTTTTCTTACCCTGCATTTTGGTTGCTTGTGTTCGTATCGCTATTCGAACCACAACCAAAGAACGACAACCCGGGAAGAACTGCTGCGGTCTACGCAGGCAACGCATTGACGAGAATCAAGTTTGAACACTCCTCTCCAAGGCCGTGTTCTTGCTTGCGACCGGCGTGCTTTTACCGAGGCGGAAGTCCCTTCCTTCTTGGAAAGAGAAGAATAAAGCTCACCGCTACCTAAAAGACGCGACAATACATATTAGAAACTTAGAGACCGAAGGGAACGTCGTCTCATCACGGGAGATGACCCCGAGGTCGTTGCCGTGGGAGGAATCAAGAGGAGGCTCTGCTAGAAGGGGGCTGTGGAGAGAAGGTCCAACATATTTGTTGACATTGTTTCGTTTCTTCCCGCATGCTCTGTCCAGGGGCTGTGTGTATCTATTTGTGGACTCTGTACATTTGTCCTTTTCTGTAATTAGAATCCCGCTTGTAAATACGCGCCATATATTACACCGCATATAAAGAGTACAAAACGAAACAACGAGCTTGCTTCAATCAGATGTGTGTGCCATTTAGCAGTGATCACATCATTATTATGTGAATCCAAAATAATAAATGCATAAACGAAACTAACGCCAAACGACCAAGCCGTAATTTTCTCCCATCAAAGTACATCGACGGCTTTTGAAATTTTAACACGAAGTAGAAAAGGCAATAACCATACTACAAAACAGTAATAATACATTGCAACCGTCCGTCTATAATCTCGGCAAGACCGGACAGAACCATAACCAGCTCGAACAAAGGCCCCAACTGTCCACGACTGTAGCACTATGCGTCAACAGGGCTGGCTTCATAGTCAACGGCCGCCGATGCCGTGTCCGCGGCACCGGCATCCGCATCATCCTCGGCTGCGTCACCGACATTTGACCCGGCCTCAACCTCCGTATCGCCGTCGGCTGTGGCTGCTTCCAGTGCCGCGTTCTTCCGCGGCCGCTTCTTAGTCACCGACACCATAGACACATCGGCCACGGTACCATCGTTGTCGTCGTCCCCGGCGGCACCGCTCTCGCTCTTACGCTTCCGCTTGTTAGCACGGGCTGATGCACTGCCGCCGCCACCGGCCCCCTTCGGCCGGTACCCCGTGTCGTCGTCCAGCGTCCGCTTCCGCTTGCCACCGCGACCGGAACTAGCGGCTGCAGTCGTACCCGCGTCGTCGGACAGGTCGGCATCCGCAGCCGCCGCGGCGCGCTTGGCACGAGAGGCGTCACCGGGGTAATGGCTGAAAAAGTTGACGCCGGCCGATCTGCGCGCGGGCTGGCGCTTGGCCTTGCCGCCAGCACCGGTGCCCTTTTGGCTGCCGTGGTCGTCCTTGTCCTTGTCCTTCTCACGCTCTTTTTCGGCGGCGGCCGCCGCTGCTGCCTGGGCCGTCGCCTCACCCTCCTGGAGAAAGATTGCCTTTGGTGCATGGTCCTTGAGCCAGTTGTAGACGCTGGTGGGGTTGCGGGCAATGGTGGTGGACAGGTACCAAAAGGGTGCCGTATTGACCATCTTGGGCAGGTCGCTTTCGACGATGCTGCGGTTGAACAACTCATCCCAGGCGGTGTCACCCTTGCCGATGTGGGCAATGTGCGTGTCCGGTGTGTGGGCAAAGGGGGCCATGGTGGGGATCATGGGCGGCGGGTTTTCGCCTGCGAGAAGGGCACGGCCAGCAATGTGGCGATCAGAGTCCCACAGGTAGTTGTCAATGTCGTCGGCCGTGAGGAAGCTCTCCGGGAACACGTTCGACAAGTCCACTGTGGACGGCTGGCGGTTCTGCTTGTTGAGGAGCCGCAGATCCGGTACCACAAAGGCGAGCCGGTTCTCGTTGGTCGCAATTAGGTCCTTGAGCGCGGCAGGGTCATTCTTCTTCGTCTCGGCCAGGTCGAGGTGCGGCACTTCAGCCAGGAGGGACTTAAGCGAGCGTGCTGGAGGCTCCGGGAGGGGCCCATCGGGGTCCTTCTTATCAAAGTATCGCCGCTCCCAGCCGCCGTCCACATCAATGTCAAGGGCTTTGGTGTTCTTAGATCGTGGGAGGCTGAGATCGATGCGCTTCGACCCGGGGATTTGAGGTGTGTTGTTGATGTCGAGGAGGAGGTCGAGGATGCGGCTGCGTTGCTGTCAGTAAAGTACTTTGTCCTTCGAGCCGGCAAGATGGATAGATGGATTGCAAGGAATGGCCCGGGACTTACTCAATCTCAATGCCTAGCCGCTTCGTTGTCTGCAGAGCATTGGTCTCCTCTGTGTGCAGTTTTTCGTTGATGTCGATGCTGACGTCAAATTCGACGCGCATCTTCTGGAACTTCTTCTTCCAAGAGCGGTACCGCTTCCCCTTGGCGGCTTCGCCAGTAGCCGCGCTTTCGTTTTTGGATGCTCCAGCCGATGAAGAGTCGGCGCTGTCCTTTGCCTTTGCAGATGCTGCGTCCTCCATCTTGACGTCCCGTATGGACGGCGCGTTGTCGGCGTCCATTGTGAAATGGGCTGTGAATATGGATAAAGACGGCAACGAAGAGATCCTGCAATTAAGGATATCGTGCCTTGGGAGGGCAATGTGATAAAAATCACTCTGAAATCGAGTCGTAGACGTAGGTATGGCGTTGGGTGCGGATGACTGACGGGGGCTCAAATCGTGACGTGCATCGAATCGTCGGCGGCTGTCGCGAGAATTGGAAGTGAGCGCGAAACGATGAAGATGTCGACGCAAAGACAGAAACAGAGCCAACCGGGAGCGTGGGCGGCGCTGTGTCAAAACGGGGCGCACAACGCGGGTCACGAAAAAAGACGAGTCGAAGTGCAATGGCGTTCGGACGACAGAAAAAAGGGAGGATGCAGCAGGAGAGGCCAAAACACGCGGGAAAAAGCCAGCAGGAGAGATGCTCGCCACGCTACGAGTTTCCCATCACGAGCAGCCGCACGACCAGAACGCTCCTTCCTTGTCGCTGCAACGTTTTGCGAAGCCCTGGGACGTGCCTGCCTGCAGTCCGCCCTGGTCTCGACTGGCACTATGATTGGCTGGCTGCTGTCTTCTCTCCTTCACGTCCATGCAAGCTCCACTTTTCTCACGGCCTCATACCGCCTGCTGCAGTAGGCTAACTAATATTGGCCTTGAGCTTTTCTGCCATGTAAAGCGGCGACTTCCAACGTGCAAACGACAAAACACACTCCGCAGAGTACCTGTTGTTACTCTGTCACTCGTTCCGACCATATCACAGGACGTCCACAATTCGGTCGGCGTCACCAGCCCCTAGTTTATGTTTCGTATTGCCCGCCGACGACTCTTTTCGACCATGACAGAGCAAGCAGCCAAGCGCCTCAAAACCGACGGCATCTCCATTGCCACCCACAATGGCCACTTCCACGCCGATGAGGCCCTAGCTGTTCACATGCTCCGTCGCCATGTGCCCGACTATGCAAGTGCCAGCCTGGTGCGCACCCGCGACCCCGCCAAGCTGGCCGAGAGCCACACGGTCGTCGACGTGGGCGGCGAGTACGACGCAGACAAGCTGCGTTTCGACCACCACCAGCGCGGCTTCACCACCACGTTCCCGGGCCGGCCCACGAAGCTGTCCTCGGCAGGCCTGGTGTACATGCACTTTGGCCGCGGCATCATCGAGCGCAGTGTGACGAGCCAAAAGGTGGCGGACTCCGATGTCGACCTGCTGTACAACAAGCTGTACAGCGGCTTCATCGAGGCCCTCGACGCCCACGACAACGGCATCGACGCCTACGACCCGGCCGAGCTTGCGGCGGCCAACGGCGGTGCAGGCATTGCTAAACGGTACACGGACGGCGGCTTCACGCTCGGCGCCGTGGTGGGCCGCTACAATGCGCAGTGGAACGACGCCGACGAGGACCAGGCGACCGAGGACGCGCGCTTCGAAAAGGCCAGCGCGCGCATCGGCGAGGAGTTTGACCGCGAGCTGAACTACCTGGTCAGCGGCTGGCTGCCGGCGCGTAGCATTGTCAAGGCGGCGTTTGACGCGCGCAGCGAGTTTGACACCGAGGGGCGCCTGCTGGTGTTCCGTGACCAGTCGTGCCCGTGGAAGGATCACCTGTACACGCTCGAGAGCGAGGCAGGCGAGGGGAGCAGCAAGGTGCTGTACGTACTGTACCCGGACAAGGAGGGACGGTGGCGCGTGCAGTGCGTGCCGGCGGCCAAGGACTCGTTTGAGAGCCGCCGGCCGCTGCCGGAGGCGTGGCGTGGTCACCGCGACGACGCACTCGACAAAATCCTGGACGGCGCCGTGGCGCCAGGTGCCGTGTTCGTCCACGCGTCGGGCTTCATTGGCGGTCACCGGACATTTGAGGGCGCGCTCCAGATGGCCAAGAAGTCTCTGGAGCTGTAAAGGACTGCATGGTAAGGAGCATATCATGATATCACGCGCAAGAGGCGTCGATATGAAAAGGGAACATGGAATATAACGGGCATGACCAAATCGGAAACTAAAATGGGGATATCTAGTGTGAAAACGCATTGTACGGTTGCAAATAAATACTCTGATGGCATGGAACAAGGGCCACTTTTGGAAGAAAGGAAGTGTTTCGTGATAAGTTGCCTTACTCGTCGCATATCGTGTCAAGAGTCCAAATTGGCGGTAAGCGTAGTGTGGAAAAGAAGAAAAAGAATAACGGAGGATCAAGAAATATCGAAGAACATGAAACATGCGAAAAACAAGAAAAGCAGTAAACAAGCAGAAGTGCTTTGTTTCCCAGCCAAGAATCCATTTTGTCTTTGTGTCTTGCCTGTCCTGTATTGGAAGAGGCTTTCCATTTTATCGTCCATTTTCGAAACATCTTCCAGTCATTGTCCAAGACGTGAAACGTCCACAGTAAAGTATGCGCCACGTACAATGAGACGGCCGACATACACGATTGGGATACAAGAATAAATCAGAGAATAAAACACAGCAGACAATCCCGGTAAACTTCATAACGCGTAGCTGGTGGAATAAAACAGATAGAAAAATATATGCAAAGAAATGAAAAAAAAAAAAAGAGACAAAGAAAAAAAAAAGGTAAATAAAAGGGTCTCAAAATAAATCAAACAAAACACGCAAAACAGCAGTTCGCCCGTGGAAGAAAAATGCCCATTTTTTTGTATGTGTATTTTCAATTTTCATACCCGCTACTCGGCGCTTCCTACTATCGCCGGATGGGAATCGACTCGGTCTGGCCTTGGCCCACGGGAGACGACTGCTTGCCAGCCGTCGTGTCCACCGCCGATGGTTCCTCCAGGTCGGAGGCGCTCGTCTCGCGGTGCAGGAAGCTACTCTCCTTCACAGGGCTGCCGGCCTGCTGGAAGTGGGCAGACGAGCCCGGGATGCCGAGCGTGATGCCGCCAACGCCGCCGCTGCCGCTGCCACCGACGACATTGTGGTTGTTGCTGTGGCCGTTGGAGCCCGGCGTGTTGGTCGACGGCGGGGACGAGAGGTGGGGGATCTTTTCGGGGACGGGGTGCTGCGAGCCGACGGTGCCAGTGTCGACGCTGTCGCCCTTGCCGGCCTTGGACATGGCGTAGTCGCCGCTGTCAAAGTACTTGCGCTCCTTGAGATGCTTGGAGAAATGGTCGGAGCGGCTCGGGAGCTTGCCGTAGAGCCGGAAGAGGCGCTGCTCGTCGGGGGACAGGGACTTGGCGAGAGGACCAGTTAGCAAGAGACGAAAAGAGCGTCGACGAAGAAGGACGGAAAGAAGGGGCTGCTTACGTTGATGTCCACCTTGTTTTTCTGGTGAGGATTCATAGCTGCGGTTTGTGTGTGTGTAGTTGAACTTGGTCTGGCCCAAGAGTTCTGGTTGCCTCGTGCTCCTGACAGTATAAGGTGCGAGTCGTCAAAAGACGGCAACGGATCAACGCCAAGCAGTCAATGTAAACTCGCGCAATTGGAGAATGTCGGGCGAGAATGGGGCGATGCGGAGAACAAAAGATCGATTGCGAGGCGAACCGAGTGGCCAGGACGCGAGGAGTGCAATGGAAAGAAGTGCTAGAATTCCCGCAAGATGGACTGTCGATAAACCAATACGATCCGAAATAAATCGTAACGAATCCTGGTCGAAAGGGAGGGGAGGCGAGGAGCAACGTAGAGACAAAGACAGCAGGTCAGAGAAAGCCGTCCAAGGCTGTCTTACTTTGGCGTTTGAGTGTTTGGGCGTTGGCACTTGTAAATGGATCTAGCACCGTGCCTTGGAAAAGCGGAGGTGTGTCGAAGAATGCAAAAATGCTCCAAGAGGGTGTCGTTATCGGCAGAGTTGCAGCCAGAGCAGACGTGTCTGTATATGTTTCTTTGGATTTCTGTGTCGTCTATGTCGTATTCTGTACTGCAAGGAGAAAAGATAACATAAGTCAAAGCACGCAGGAAGGTAGCGGGAACCGGTAATGGAGGGTTGGTCGGTCTGTTGGGAGCAGGAAGGCGGGACAGAGAAAGAAGCAGCCACAGAGAGGGGCTAAGACCACTCGGGACAAGAGCGACGACTGATTGGACCTGCTGACAAGCCCCTCCTTTGCGTCAGTCGTGCCTGCCCTTGCTGTTCTGCAATTTTTCCAGTGCCGATGAGTCACGTGCGAATGCGCTAACCAGACCTTTTGTTTTGGGAAGGTGTCTGGCAAGTGCTTGCTCAGTGAAGACAGCGACGGACGAGTGATTGTGGGGTGGACGGAAATACAGCGACAGACCGTTGGAAAAGGACGGATTGGGAAGGATCTGTGTGTTCTGTGTTCCTTCCGTTTCTCTTCGTTTCGTTTCGTTGGATTGTGACAGAGTACAGTGGTTTGCGCAAGTATGCAGTTTGTGCTCCCGTGCCTCAAGTTGAATGGGATCATGTAGTTTTATATTGTCCGCAAGACACAGGAGCTGTCTCATCTCATTTCACTCAACTTTGTTTTGTTGTTTGTGGCGACTTGCAGTCATCCGCGGTGACGAGGGTTTTGGCAGGCGACGGCAATGCGCTGTGCACTTGCCTATATCAGAGACATGGGGCATATCGTATGGCGCATCTTAAGTGGTTGCATGCCATCGGCAGCCTGAATAAAAGCGGGGCAAATGGCGCACCAAGAAGCTTGGGCCCAATCCAGATGTTCATGCACTAGGGGAGCAGCAGCAACCCTCCGCGCGCTGGAACTGCTTCCGTAGCAACGGCTATTACACTGTAAATGCACTATTACAAGGCCTGGACAGCGCACATGCCATCATGACAAGGCCAGCCAACCAATCCATATTCGCGGCAATGCATCCGCGACACGTTGCAGGGGGGGTGTCGATGCTTGTGACCGATGCTTGTGACGTATGTTGGGTGTCTAGAGTGGATTTAGATAAGGAGTACGTACCGAACACAAGGTGAGTTCACTAAGGTACCTCTATTGCGTGTAGTCCAGCACCGAGAGTTGGGAGCGATGTTGCCTTATGCCACCTCTTCTCTTGTGCGCATACCAGGTGTGCATGTTCTATCTGTCGACGTCCTCTGTTACACACTCAGTCGCACTGCCAAAATTCCTGAGAGCCAAGCCAGTGGCGTGATGCAATGTGTGTATGTTGTACGCTCGTACATCAGCTGCTTTTGGTAGAGATACTTGGCCATGGTTATATTGGCCGCAATTGTGCCTTTGTCATAGATTCATGCATCCTCACGCGCAGACTTATTGGTAAGCTGGGCAGCATTGGCTATAAAGAACGGTATGAGACTGTAAGTGTAAGACAAGCCGGGTTGGGCCAAAGTGCTGGTGACTTCAAATTGCCTGTGAGTTGGCCGCAGTGCGTGCGACGTCCTATGGCGACGGCAGTCGATGGCTTGCATCGCACTTGCCAAACGACACGACCTTGTAACACCAACCACGGCGTGTTGCCGAGCAGAACTTCACCAGGCTCTCCTCACTTGCTGGTGGCTACGTAGCTCTTCCCTTTCGTCTGTGCGCGGTCGTCTCGCATTCCCTTCGGGCTCTGGTGTCATTTTATAGTCTATAGCCAGCGTGCAAGAACCGATCACATCAATGTGACTGTTTGCAACTGTGAGCTGGTCACCAAAGACCAGCAACCTCACATTCACTGAATCGTCGAGGAGGATATACCAAAATATGCCTCCTGTCACTCATTCTGTAAGGCAGAGAAGGGAGCTACGTTTAGTCTCTGCATCGCACCTTCCCCTGGCAACTATCTACGACTTCTTTCCTAATTAGGCAATAACTTGTATCCCAGCCAGCATCCAAAAACATATCCTTGTTTTCGTCCACGGCAAGAGCACCTCGCGTGCCTACTTCGCACCATTTTGCTGCGCTCCCAAGCTCGAGACCTTGTTTTGTCTCTTCCCGTCTGTTTACCTGCCAACCAGTTCAACTTCCACACTTCAGCTATATAATCTCCTTTCCTCACCCTCATCGGACGCCAGAGCTCGCTCTCAGTCACGTCTTCACGTGCCTTGACTTTCGACTGAAAGCACGCTGACGAGAATCACGCAGCTGCTCTTCAAGCACACAAGTCTCGTCCGACCGTCGACAAGTCGTGAGTACCTAGGATCCATGTTCTACGTCTCTCTTGACTACTTTAAATGACGGCTTTTGGCCACATGGCAGTTCAATTCCCGCGTTTCTCTTCATTGTGCTCTCACTGACAGTTGGCCCTAAATATCAAAAGCACCACAATCTCGCTTACATCGACGTGACTCCCAGGTCACGATGGCTACCAACGATGGCTTTCCAACCAGAGAGTCTGTCCTGTTGGCGATGAGAGTGAGTTTCGATCCCAGTGTTCTCCTGTCTTCATGGTATGCCAAATGTATCTACAGAAATAATGCTAACCTGCCCAGAACGACTTGGGCATGACACGAGTAGACGATCTTCAGCTGGAGAACGGTCATCGTGGTCACACCATCCGCACCGGAAACGCGAGCTCTATTATCACGGCACAGGCCACCGCCGCCCCGAGAAAGATTCTGCCGGTCGCGAGCAAGTGGAAATGTATATCTTGCTCCTTCGTGCCCTTACAGCGTCCTTTACGCCAGTTATCAGTCTACTAACTTGAGAAGCTGCAATCCAATCCGGCGCTTTCGATGATGATGACGCAGAAACCGTCAAGGGTCTTGACCGGATCGGTGGTGGTAGACTGCACGCGCTGAACAATGCTCCCACCGTGCCGGCGCAGTATTTTCCGCAACGCAAAAGGCTCCCTCCCGGCCTCCCTCCCCCAGGTCTCAGACGAAACACGCCCTTCAATATTCAGCCGGAACCTCACCGGCCGGCAAAGTCGGTCCCAGGTGTTCCGTTCCCCGGCTTCGGACAACAAGATGCACGTTCAGCCGGCGCTCCCCTTGGTTTAGATAAAACGAGGTATATACAAACCGACCCATACTGGCCTCCCTACCTCCCACAAAATTGTCTAACATATCTGCTGTAGTGCTCTGCTTTCGTTCAAAATGCCTCCCAAAGCTGCACCGAAACCAAAGGGCTTCGGTACCGTCGACAGCGACGTCGTGCATCAACTTGGGGGAAACTCACCTATGCCTCGGCGTATCGTACAGGTGCCAGCAAACACGGTCAGGAAACAGCCACTCCCTGAACCTTCGCCCCCCGAGGTTAAAATCCTACGACCACAGGACCCAGAGCCGGCTTCATTTGTGTACAAGGAAGCCATCCGCGTGGCAGACAGGTTGGCAAAGGGAGAAGGGGTCGTGTACTTGGTCGCATTGTCCGACTCGGATCCAGGAACTTTCCACATCTACCTGGAGGGCTCCAAGTATCTTGAGTACCCGGTCGTGAAAATGCACAACTACATCACCAACTCGACCGATCTCTGCCCTCAGTTTAAAGAGTCTGATGGCGTCTCGATTACCACGACGCGTCTTGTTTTTGGCAGCCAGGATAAAATCGCACAGTTCATGGAGGTTCTTCGGGGTTTGAAAGCACGGAAGCAAGAACATGGTTCCGAAGCAACTACGGCGAGTACGCCTGCAAAGACTGCAAAGAAAACGGTTTCTATTTCTACACCTCCCGAAGAGCCTGACTCCTCCTCCCAGAATATCGATAGGGGAAGCGTGCTAGTCCCAAGCAAATCTGCCAAAGAAGACACACCTGAAGAAATAGCCCAAGCGACATACGACGTCAAACCAACTTCCACTCTCCCAAACGCTAGTACAAGAACCATATCAGCCGCAGAGAGTCCCTCAGCGGACTTGGTTCTCGAGTACGGAGACGACGACTACGGTATGGCGTGCGATCTTGTCGACTTGTCGCAGCCAGTGGAGGTAACTGCTTCCAGGCCCCCGACTCGGTCTACCATGGCATCGTCCTATGTAATGGATCTTGGGTCTTTGCAATCGTCTCACTTTGAAACACCTGCAATGTCGTTGGACGTTGCCGAAGGGGTACAGGAGCAGAGTACTCCATTTGTGGCGGCTGGGGTGGGAGCTCTTGATACAGAGCGATTTATGGAACATGCCGCCGAGCCTGCTGGGACAGGGCTTGTTACTGAACTTTTCACCGACCCTGTTGCAGTCCCTGTGATAGAACCTATGACAGAACCCGATACGGAACTCTCTGCAACAAATCACTCAGAGCACCCCTCCTTGCCAGCTGAAAAGGCCCCCGACGAAGCCATCCATCGTCCTCAGGGTGATGCCTTTGCAGAAGATGATGCCATGGGAAGCAAAATAAACCTCCAAGATTCACTCCTTGAGATTCTGCCAAAGTTTGAGGCCATGGTCCGCATCCTAGACAGTGTCGAAGAAGCGAAAAGAGAGGATACAGCTAAGTTGGTCTTTTCCAGTCTTCGGTCAAGTTTGGACGGCAAAACAAACGTCCACCTCTCCTCTGCAGAGCAGCTTCTACGGGCCATTCTCGCAAAGCTGTCCAAAGAGAAAGGGACTTCTGCGAAAGCTGCAGACACCGTGTGCCGGCTTAGATACACTCGCGATAACATCGAGAGACTACGGGACCACGCCGCGCCGCCTCCAGAGATTCTTGACAAGCTTGACTTCTTGCCACGGCCGTCCCGACTGGGCCGTCCGAAGGCATCCCGCAGGCAGCCCCTGCACACACCATCGTCAAGCCTCACGGACAGCAAAACACGATCCAATCTGAAGCCTACAGCAGAGCCATTCCAGCCTAGCCCACCGCCCAAGATGAGGCAGACCAAATCTACAGATCGGCTCACGTTGACTGGTTCTATACTGGGCATGCAGCCTGCAACCACATCACCGGTGGCACTGAGCGACATTTCCAACTCGTCAATCTCGAGCAACATTGATTCGTTGACCGCACGCATGTCTCGTCTCACTCTCCCGGACGCCCAGTCCAAAACTGCTACAAAGGGATTGCAAGGTTCCAGATGGGCGACAGCCGGCAACAGTGTTTCCACTGAGAATGCTAACCGTTTCATGGGTATCGCTATTCCCCCATAGTTTTTCTTTTCTTTCCTTTTACTCTCTCCGACCATTGTGCGTCTGTGCATTTTGCATCCTTGGTCTGCAGCTGCTGATCGAGATTTCAAGACGTGTTCTCCCACAGAATCGACAGCACCCGCACTTCTATTTCGTATAGTGCTGCTGCCGCAATGGCCTTTGCGGGCGGGGCTCTGCTTTCGCCAATTAGTGTCACCATCTCCAGCGCACACGCCCTTCTCGCGTGTGCTCATGATGTTCTTTTATTGTGCTTCTTTATTGTATTTCCGTTCATATTTGTTTATGTCTGTCACAATGTCTGATCATCATAAAGTGTGTCTGACAGGGAGGCTAGAAAGGCAAGGGAAGGTGGTGAGACAGAGCAGCAGGTTCATTGGGAATGGAGGCAACCCGCAGAGGTGTGTGATGTACGAGAGAGGCCAACGTTATGTCAAGCACAAGGATCGTCGGTCTGGTGTGGCAGGCCGGTCTGACGGTTTTACATCTAGCATGCGCGAAGACTTCAAATATAGCACTATAAAATAAAACACTATCGTCGCTGGCTAGAGCAATACACCGACCGATAAACGGCTATGCAGATGTGAAACATGGAAACTTATAGCGTCATCATTCTTTCTTTTAAGTATTGTGCGGAATTTCATGACAAAATGCAGGCCCTGGTAAAATGAAAGGCCTAGTTGGCGCCAGCCCAGAACCAAGACCACAAGAACCAACAGCGCGCCAACAAAAAGCAGGGGAATCAATAATACACCGGGGCAGGCGCTCAAGGAGAAGGAAATAGGCAGGAAATAGCACTCGCAGTACGAGGCATCACCGGTCTCTTGGGTCTTCTGCCGCTGCGGTCTTGTCGTGTGGCGCACTCAAGTAGTCGCCCTCTTCGGCTGCCTCGTACTCGCCAATAAGGTCCGTCACAACCTCCCGCGCCTCATCGAACTCGCTCAGATTGTCCGAGAAGGGTGCCGTCTTTTTATATGCGTCGATAAAGGCGTTGCGTTTCCGCATACCGTCGTACTGCCGAACAATGCGCTTGAAGAGCTGGAGACAGCGGTGTTAAAGAGATGCGATAAAACTGAAAGGGGGGGTCTCAGGTACGTACTGTTGCTATGCTGGTGTGGTTGGCCAGCATTAGACCGCTCACGCGGTGGCTCATTGGCACGTACGGACTCCGTTTCGTCAGAGCGACTTGGATGCTCGCCGGGCCCCAGGGGATAAATGTGGCCAGTCTCCGTTCACGGATCCGCAGCAGACTCTTGTGCACGTCAGTCGGGTCCACTTCGCCCTGGATGACGTTGAGGATCGAAATGTAGCAGCTCTTGCGGCCGGCCTTGCCGCCAGGACCGGGGGCCGTCGACACCATGCGGTTCTTGGGCTGAAGCAGGCGGCGCATGACGTCGAGCACGGTTGTCTTGCGCACCGTCTTGGCCTGCTCGACCTGGTCGCCGGTGAAGGGGGTGTAGGCGGTCATGAGGAAGTGGGAGCGCGGGGTAGGGATGAGCGAGGCGAGGATGCTGACGAGATCGTTGTGCATGTAGCTGGGGTAGCGTAGTGTGGTGGTGCTGGCAGACATGACGGTCGATACCTGTGCAAAGGGCCAAAAGTCAGCAACACGGGACAAACAGGCATGCCATGCATGAACAGCTCTCCAGCTTTCCCAGCCTTACCAGTTGGTTCGTCTGCTGGAACGAGGGTTCCTGTACATGCAACCGGTCGGCGGCAATGTGGGACAGCGCGCCGTTGTCGAGCACAACGACCGAGTCGGCATTCTGCACCAACCGTCGCATGGCGAGGATGCTGTTGTAGGGGTGGACCACGACGTCGCCTGCAGCCGTGGTGTCCGGGAACACCGAGTATGTCTGGATGACCTTTTTCGGAAACCGGTCGTTGAGCCGCTCCAGCAAAAAGGATCCCAGACCAGACCCCGTACCGCCGGCAATCGAGTGCAGCAGCATAAAGCCCTCGAGGCTGTCGCTGCCGTCCGCCTCCCGGTCGATCATCTCCATGATTTCCTCGTGCACTTGCTCGCCGGTCTGGTAGCCGTCACCCCAGTTGTTGCCAGCGCCGATACCGTTCTTGCCGACGTAAAAGTTCTCTGGGTTGTAGATGTTTTTGTACGGCCCGGTCTGGATGCCGTTGATCACGCGGGGCTCGAGGTCGATCAGGATGGCTCGCGGTATGTATCGCGTGTCGTCGCTCTGGTAATAGAAGACGTCTTTCCGGTCGCCGCCCTCAGTCGCAAATTCCTCAAGATTGCCATCTTGGCTGATGCCATGCTCCTGGCAGAGCTGTTGCCAGAACTGGCTGCCGACTGTCTGAGGTCAGAAAAAGAAACACTTTTGGCGAGACGATGCAGAAATGGCGAATACATACTGCTGTTGCCGCACTGGCCCGCCTGGATGGTGATGATTTCTCTGTTCAATACCGTTAGTCACATCGGCCAATCTCATTCATATTGTGTTGCTCGTACCTAGGCATGTTGGGCTGCCAACGTGGGAAGTGTGGTTTCGTTTTTCGACAAAAGCCAGGTCCAGGTGGTGAGGCGGCAACTTTTATGCCACTCTCACTGAATAGGGAAGCAACTGGGTGCGACGCGTCGTTCTGGCGGTCACAGTTGACAAGGCGCGTTAACCACCCCGCTATTTACTATTTACTACAGCCGAGACCGCCTTTCCACATTCTCGGTGCGCATCACGTGATGCCGCGACATCCATCTTTATCGGCCTCACTCCCCGTGGATGCAGATCCGATAACGTCGAGGGTCCCCAGCTGACGGGTCATATGTAATGGCATGTTTGTCTCGACCGGAGAATACCGAAACCAGACAGGTCATGTTTTCTAGAACACGGGTTTCTGTTACAGATTCGTCCAATGTGACGCCGTAAAGCAGTCCGTGTGACTTTGAACTCGACATATTATGTACGAATAGTTCACGTTGCCCATACCCTCGTAGACTGCCCAGGACGACGCAACCAACTTCGAGTCAAGCCAAGTAGCTGGAGAACGTGCCAGTATAAGACACCCTCATTGATTGCCGAAGGCGACGACGTGCAAAGACGCGCACCAGAACGCGCATTAGTGCAAAAGACGACTGTTATGCTTCAATCCGGTATTTCCCTTTCTGAGCGTCCAGGCAAAAGAGATCCTACCCTTGAATGCTCGCTCCTTCCGATGCGAAATCGATTTCCTTGAAGAAACACATTACAGATCTCCAGACAGGGAAGGAGCGTTCCAAACACAAGCATTCTGGAAATACGCCACATGCACGCCTTCCATAATTCTGTACGCCCAAGTTCTAGGCTCTCAGTTTACCCTATCGGGGTGCGGTAACCACCACGCTTTGGCTGACATCACCAGTGGGGCGAGCCTAATTTCCTCCTGTAAATGAACCCGCTAGGCGCGGTTAGTCGCCGCAAGACACCAAGCGAGAAAAAGGGAGGAACGGAAAACCCATGCAGGAGAAGGAGCTTTCGCCAGTACCTGCCTCCGAGTTCAGACCTCAGTCCTCGTTACCCCCATCGTGCAGCTCTTATCATCACCCGAGGACTTTCGCAACAAACCAAAACTGCATCTCAATCACGGCGGTCCTCAGCAGTAGCCACAACCCCAAAGACCGCCATTGGACTACAGCTGCCTCCTGCATCTCGCCCTGGCGCCAATTTCGTCGCCCGCCAGCATCAACCTGCGTTCGATCGGAGCTTCCGGTTGGAGCGATCATTTCATCGCAATTCTCCCAATCCGGCGAAGCAAGTGAACTCTGCAAGAGACGAACGTAAACGACGCCAACCACAGAACAAAGAGTCCGAGTCCATCGGGTGCTCACCGCCAGTACCAGACGACAAAGAAAGAAAGAGTCGGGACGACCAGCAGCTTCCACGTTTCCGCGTTCGGCCAAGCTTCCCTATCCCTCACATCCAACACGTCGACCGATCAAGAAGCGAAACAACACGCACATCTTGAGTTTGTCCATTCATTACAGCCGAGTGAACACCAGTCTTTCCTGCTTACGGCCTCCTGTGGCAGCTTTGCATGGCCGCGGTTGTCCTGCAGGTGCTAGTGCAGACGTGGCCAGGCTGCCTTACAGTATGTCGTTGGAAAGCAACAATTGTCCTTAGCATCCTTCTACCGTCCTATCCCGTCCAATGCCCCTCGACTTTGTCTCTCGGCTGGCTTCACCTATCGCCACCTTGATCCACATGCGCGTCTTTAGTACCTTTTTGTATTCTGTTCTGCTTGTCTAATTGCGTTTTCCCTTTGCCCAGGCCGGCCGTTCGAGTGCCACAACAGAGACTTCCTGCGAACCGCTTCAGGATGTCTACACCCGTCGATGATGGCTCTCGACCGCCAGTAAGCAACAGTGCCGGCGAAGCCCTTATGCTTGGGGCAGCACCATCCGTACACGAAAAAGACCTACCCCCAATACCAGAGTCTGCTTCTACGGCAGCCCCTGCAGCACCACAGAGCAATGGGTCAGCTCTCGTTCTGCCTGGGAGCGGCCTGACCTCCGACCAGGTGTCCCCAGCGACGTCCCTCCCAGATCGAGACCAAGGTGCACAAAACGAGGCAGAGGACTACCTCAACGCCGGACGGCCGCACGAAAGCTATGCTACCACCGGCGTAAACGCCCTGGCGGCCTACGACAACGGCATGGCAAACGCTTCGGGCACGCGTTCCATTCGAGAGGGGGTCGACAAGGGCCACGAGGGCGTTGTTGATTCGCCGCCAATAACGCCCGGCCCGAGACGTCGCCGCAGCGTCCAGTTCTCGCAGTCGGACGTCCTTATTGACCCGCCATCAGCTGCCGCAGGATCCCATCAACGCCAAGGCTCGTGGGACCCAGCCAACCCGTCCCGTTCCAGACAGTTCATGTCCCGTCTAAAGGCCCTAGCTGTGCAAGGCGGTCTTCCTGCAACCAAAACGCCCGGGTCTAGTATACCAGACGGCGCACCGGTATCAACAGCCAGCACGCCAGCAGGAGCCCGTGGAAGTCGACTGGCACAAAGCCTGAACGGAAACGACAGCGAAGCGGAAGCCGATGCCGATGCGGACGCCGAGGAAACGGCCGACGAAGGTACGGGCGACATCACTGGCACCCGACCCAGGAGGCGCAAAAGGCGAATGTACATCCGCTCGCGACGGGGCTCGCACACGGCCGGTCCGTCAGCCGCACCTGCGTCTGCGGGTGTCTCGACTGAGCCCAACGCCCCGCTCCCTACGAACCGACATCGCAATATGTTGATGCAGCGGCGCGCAACAATGCCCGACACATCGGAGCCCCGCGGTGGGCTGTCTGAGGGCGAGGGTCGTGACCACCTCAACCGCCAGCATGGGTGGCGCCGTGGCAGCTCATGGGTAGGACGGAGTGAAGAACCTGATGCTGCAAATGGCGGCCCGTCTTCAGGTCGCGCCGTTGGCCACATCCGTCGCATGACCGTCTTTGGCGGTGGCGTCTCAGACGGCGACGCTATGACGCCTCGTCGTGCCTTCTTCACTGGAGACCGGGCTACGACCTACGGTGCGCAAAAGTGGCGGCAGGTGAAAAACACTCTGAGGCTTCTGAGGCAGAAAAAGGAAGACAGCTTCGACTACATGAAGTCGGCTGAGCTGATGGCGGAGCTGCGAGCGGGCGCCCCGGCTGCCCTGATGCTTGCCAGTATGATCCAACGCGATGAGCACGGCAACAAGCGGATTCCTGTGCTCCTCGAGCAGGTCAAGCTGACCATCCGGGAGAGCACCCCCGTCCAAGATGGCGACAGCGAGCGCCACTGGCTGTTTACCATCGATCTTGAATACGGCAGTGGCCCCAGTAGGATGAGGTGGACCATCAAGCGCACCATTGGAGAGATTCTTGAGCTCCATTGGAAGTACAAATTGACACGCAACGACAAGTACCTCCACACGCCTCAGACCGGTGGGCGCCCGAAGCAACCTAGGTTCCCCATCTCTGCGTTTCCCTACGTTCGCGGTCTTCGCGGCGTCAAACTGGACGACGAAGACGATGCTGCCAGTGTCCACAGCGATGAGGGCGCACCAGATGGCAACGGCACAGCCGGGGACGGTACTGCCGGCGAAGGCACGGCAACCGAGGCGGAAGGTCCTGGTGGTCGCGTGAATTATCGTCGGAGGAAGTCCCGTATCGCCGTACTGGGTGGCATCACGCGGCGCCAGTCCGCGCAGGTCAATCCTGACGGTACGCCAGTGGCTGGCGATCTTCTCGATGAGGCGGCCGCACGACGCAAATACGTCGAACGCCAGCAGCGGATGCTTCAAAAATATCTGAACGAAATGGTGCACTGGCTTATCTTCCGCGCCGACAGTAACCGTCTCTGCCGGTTCCTCGAGCTCTCTGCGCTGGGCGTGCGTCTTGCTGCTGAGGGCAGCTACCATGGCAAAGAATGTTTCCTGCACATCCAGTCGTCCAAGGGCCTTGATTTCCGTCGCGTCCTGACGCCTGGGAAAGTCATTGAACGCCACAGCCGCAAATGGTTCCTTGTCCGCCAGAGCTATATTGTTTGTGTCGAATCGCCCGAGAACATGAATATCTACGACGTCTACCTCATCGATCCCAAGTTCCTCATTATTTCCAAGACCAAGCGCAAGCAGCAGCAGCTCGCCAACGGAAAAAGCTCCGTCACTGCCGCAGAACTGGAGATGTCTACCAGCAAGAACCGCCTGAAGCATCACACACTCACCCTCCTGACCTCAGAACGCAAGGTCAAACTATGGGCCCGTAACCAGCACCTCATCGGTCAATTCGAGGAATCCATCGTGGACATGCTCAAGCAGACCCCTTGGCACCGCCGAAATCGCTTCGACAGCTTTGCCCCTGTCCGCACGGGCGTGTTCGCCCAGTGGCTTGTCGACGGCCGTGATTACATGTGGAACGTGTCCCGCGCCATTGCCATGGCGAAAGACGTCATCTACATCCACGACTGGTGGCTCAGCCCGGAGTTGTATATGCGCCGACCCGCCTGCATCAGCCAGAAGTGGCGCCTCGATCGTCTCCTGCAACGCAAAGCCGCCGAGGGCGTTAAGATCTTTGTCATCATCTACCGCAACGTCGAGGCTGCCATCCCCATTGATTCCGAGTACACCAAATTCTCACTCCTGAATCTGCACCCCAACATATTTGTGCAGCGGTCGCCCAACCAGTTCAAAAAGAACCAATTCTTTTTCGCTCATCACGAAAAAATTTGCGTCGTGGACCACGACGTTGCGTTCGTTGGCGGCATTGATCTCTGCTTCGGCCGCTGGGACAGTCCGCAGCACAGCCTTGTGGATGACAAACCCACCGGCTTCGAGATGGACGAGCAGCCCCGCGATGCCGACCACACACAGCTGTGGCCCGGCAAAGACTACTCAAACCCGCGTGTCCAGGACTTCTTCAGTCTCCGCGAACCGTACAAGGAGATGTACGACCGCACCAAGGTGCCCCGAATGCCTTGGCATGATGTGGGCATGCAGATTGTCGGCCAGCC